AAAATAGAGAATGCATGGTAAAACTTGTAAAAAAAATGAAATTTTTTTTTTCGATTTATAAGTTTCGAAATGTATTCTCTATCTTTTTTTGATATTTTTACTGGCGACTAATAGGTCAAATCAGGTAAATATCGCATCAGAATAAAAAAAAAAACTAGTTTATGCAATTTGAATATGGCAAGTAGCCTCAGACATGAAAAGCAATGCAGAAGGATCACCTGATCACAAATGTGTGAAACCACCATGAGATGATAATTGAAAAGAACAGACAAGCAACCTTATTCTTATAGCAAAAGTTAATAAAGGTATATGAATAGAATGTTTAATTTTGAAATTTATGACGATAGGAGTGTAACATACGTGTCAGAAAGAACAAATCATTTCATAAATTTGATACATTTCTTATCATAAATCCTTTTGAATTTCTGCATTCAAGCCAATAGCATCTCCAAAGTACATTTTTCTCATAGTTATAAAAGTTTTTGCTTTGATCAGGATAATCAGTAAAGAAGAAGAAGAATAACATTGATTTTTGTACATTTGACATCAGACTAGGAAATTCGGAACATACACGAATGGATTGGCTAAATAATGTATGTATGTATGTATCTATAAATTTTGAGTAATTTTAACCCTGGATTTTTTTGCAGCCTGCAGCTGATTTAAACATTCAACACTACTTTGACGAACTTGAAAATCTACATGATGAAGCTGCTAATTTGATCAAGAGGATTAAAGAATTAGGATTTGATGAAGTTGACAACTATTTATTCAATGTGCGATTCTCCCCAGACAGACAAATAAAAGAGATTCTAAGACGAAAGATGCCTTCTAAATACCATTTAAGCTATCCTTTGGTTTGTCAACTAAATGAAATTGACCTCCTCAGAGTTCAGTATGAAGATATAATCATCAGGATGCAACTTGATTTACCTGTCAATAGACAAGTCTGTCTCAATTAAATTTCTAGTTATCTATTTCCTTTCAAAGATCTTTTTATAAAATAATTAATTTCCTTTTTGTTTACACCCTTTAAAATAAATTTTTTCACACAGACAATTGTTTTAACTATTTTATTATATAAATCTATGAGTAATGTATTAAAATTGAGTTAGTTAGTTTTAAAGCTTGACTGAAGCACATTCATCTTTGTTACAGTGAAAATCTTAAGCTATAAAATTAAAAGCTTGACTCAAGCACATTCATATTACCTTAGCTGCAGTAAAAAATTTTATATCAACATGGACAATTCTGAATCTGTAAGTTTTTGATTAATGTATTTATTGTGTTTCATTTGAACTAAATTTTTGTTTTATAGAATGTTATCTGCGACTGTTGTCTAGTGGTTTTCGATAGCTTCATCAACTTCTTGACACATAACTGCTCTTGTCTTCGGCCTGATTGTTCAATGATGGAATGGTTAAGAGATTTTAAACCCATCCCTGATCAACAATTGACAAAGTGTCCATCGTGTGAACATGACTATCATGACTTGGAAGATTATCTTCAACACTCATGTAATAGACCAGGCCAAGAAAGTACAGACATCATTACTGAAGCAATGGCCAATCAAAAAAGTTCTACAAATGAAGTGCCAGATTATGGACATTCATCAAGCGTTCAACCTGAGGCTGGTGTTGGAATCGAAAGCATAGCATCAACAAGCGGCTTCATACCACCAAATAGAATGCAGAAACGACAAATTCTCATGCCAGACAATGAGAATAAAGACAAAGAAGAAGAAGAAGAAGAAGAAGAAGAAGAAGAAGTAAACAGTGCCAGACCATCAAAGAGAAGGAAAAGTTTTTATTGTAAGACGTGCAAAAAAGGAATAAGCACAAGTGAACGTTTTGTGAAACATTCAAGTGTTTGTGGGCTGTTTTCTACTGCACCAAAAAAAGCTGATAAAACTGTTATTGCGAATTTCATTTTAACAAAAGAAGCTTTCCAGAAAAAATATCGACTTTACCAACGTGAGCTTCACAATTGTTTCACTTTGGATCAAGTTGGACAGGTTTTGATGAGTGATTTGTGCAGACTAATTACATCAATTTCAGAAGAGCTTGGGCCTATCAAAATTGCATTCAATATCAACATCATCTTTGAGAAGCCAGTCACGAGTGAAGCTGTTGAAACTCACATACATTCAATCTTCAAGAAACATCATCAAGCTGATGATATAGACGATTTGGTTAAAGAATCTTTTTCTGAAATTCAATCAATAATTGATAATTATACAGAAAAAGGTAGCGGCTTTATTGTAGTTGTAATTAAAAGCATGGAAATATATATCGCACAGTATCAACCACACCATGGAGGTTGCGGTGTAAACAAATTACCAGTTCAACTAGCTCGCAAAATTTTTTGGTCACTGTCAATTGTTCTCATGATTGTTTCATGTATGCTGTCCTAGCAGGAGTATATGGTCAAGGGCGAAATCTACAGAGAGTCAATCAATACAATAAATATTTGAAAAGTCACAATTTTTCGGATTGGCGTGGTGAGGTTTCAATCGAGCAGATAAACTCATTCGAGAAAGCAAATTCAATTTCAATAAGCGTCTTCTCATACAACTTGGAGAAAAATTATGTCGTTCCTTTGCGTGTCGCTGACGTTACACTTCCCCATCACGTAAAATTATTTCTGCATGATAATCACTACTATTTGATATCAAGCTTCAGAAGACTCTTGAATAGTCGTTCATGTTACCGTCGCTATCACTGCGAAAGATGCCTTCACGGCTTTCGAACTAAAGGTAGACTGGCCAATCACTTGGAAGATTGTAAAAACAGGCCCATTCAAAAAGTGATAATGCCTTCATTTTCTAGAGGTGCAGATCGAAAAGAAAGAAATAATCTGGTACGCAGAAATTTAAAAAAAGAAGCCAAGCATCCTTTTGTCATTTATGCAGATTTTGAATGCATATCAGAGGCAACTGATAGTCCCGTTAGAGTCAGGAAACATGTGCCTACAAGTTTTGGTTATTGTGTCGTCGACTGGAAAAAAACTATCATTAGAAGTGACTTTGGTCATGGTGAGAATGTGGTTGCGGAATTTTATAAAAGTCTAATAAAAACCGAAGAATGGCTGAAATGTTACTTGAAAGTTCACGGTCAGAAGATGCTCAAGATGAATTCTGCAATAGAATTTGATTTTGAGAATGCCAAAGAATGTTGGATTTGCAGAAAAGAGCTATTGAATGATCGAGTTAAAGATCACTGCCATTTGACTGGAAAATATAGAGGAGCTGCCCACAACGAATGCAATTTGTTTTACAATCAACCCAAGAGAATACCAGTACTATTCCATAATCTAAAGAATTATGATGGTCATTTGTTGATAGAAGGTATAAATGCAAAGATATTCAATACTGAAATCAATTTGATCGCTCAAACTATGGAGAAATATATTGGATGGTTTTCTGGTAATTTTGCCTTTCTTGACTCTTTTGCCTTCCTGCCTGCGAGTTTAAATACATTGTCAAATGACTTAAGTCAGGAAGAAAAGTATGATATGTTACGTCAGCATTGGAAAATAGAGGATTTGAGTGATTTATGCGGTAAAGCTGCTCTTCCCTATGAGTATCTGGACTCATATGAAAAGTATGACGAAGAAAAACTACCGCCGATAGAATGTTTTTACTCATCACTTACAGATTCAAATATAACTGATGAAATGTATCATCGACTTGAAAGAATCTGGAAACAGTTTGACTGTCGAACAATGAAAGACCTGATAGATATTTATCTTAAACTTGATGTTTACATGCTTGCTGCTGTATTTGAAAACTTCAGAGAAACAAGTATCAAGGATTTCGGCATTGATCCACCACATTACATGTCAGTCCCTGGACTATCTATCAACTCAGCGGTGAAAATGTTAGGCATTGATCTTGAGCTTTTCATTGAGATAGACATGTATTTGATGATAGAGAATGGAATACGTGGAGGATTTACAACTACAGTGAAAAGACATGCAGTAGCTGAAAACTCTGAAACCTCAGCAAACATCTCACCAGAACAAGAAACTTGGCTTCTTTATTTGGATGTCAATAATCTTTATGGTCATGCGATGATGCAAATGTTGCCTATTGGTGATTATAATTGGGTTCGTAAAATAAATTTTGAAAATATTATGGCAACATCTGATGAAGCTGATAAAGGTTATATTCTAGAAGTAGACCTAGAATACCCGAAAGAGCTTCATGACAGCCATAATGATTTTCCTCTGGCGCCTCATAAAATGGTTATTTCTCATGATATGTTAAGCCCATTTGCGAAGAATCTCCTTGACAAGATGGACTATAAACATATTCCCACTGAAAAATTGGTTGCAAGCTTCTTCGATCGCAAGAATTATGTTGTTCACTACCGTGTACTGAAATACTACATTGCCATGGGCCTAAAAGTTACCCACGTACATCGAGCAATCTCATTCAGGCAAAAGAGCTGGTTGAAACCTTATATCGAATTCTGTACCAAAAAGCGACAACAAGCATCTTCACCTTTCATTTCATCGCTATACAAACTTTTTGTGAATAGCAACTACGGTAAATTGATGGAAGATAAAAGAAAAAGGGTGAAGGTTGACCTAGTAATGAAGGATGCAATGGCCGCTCGTCGAGTTAGAGACAACTTTTGCAAATCAATGAAAATTTTGGATGAAGAAAAGATACTATTCCAAATGACACCTGACACTGTTTTACTTGACAAACCAATAGTAGTTGGTTTCACAGTTCTTGAATTGGCAAAATTGCATGTTTACAATTTGTATTATGGAGTGCTTAAAGCTCATTATCAAGAAAACCTACAACTTATTTACTCTGATACGGATTCTTTGCTGATTGAAATCAAGTCAAACAGCCTTAATCAAGACATGGCCAAGTTTTCAAATATAATGGATTTCAGCGACCTGCCTAAGGATCATCCTCTCTATTCAGAGCATAATAAGAAGAAAATTGGCTGTTTAAAAGATGAAATGAGTGGTGAAGTGATTGATGAAGTGATTGCGATAAGACCAAAGCTCTATGCAATTAAAACTACAAAAGGTCAAGTGAAGAAGAAGGCTAAAGGAGTTCAACAGGTCGTGCTAAAAAATAAACTAACGTTTGAGGATTACCGCACTTCACTATTCAATAATGGAGTAATAAAAGCTAAGACACGTCGTCTTGGTTCTGAATCACACACAATTTACCAATATGTTAATGAAAAAATAGCTCTGTCTCCTTTTGAAGATAAGCGGTATTTGCTTGATTCTGTAAATTCATTAGCATATGGTCATTACAAGATTGAATAAAAGTAAATAAAGATCCGATTATCTCATGATTCTCGCGAAATAAATGATATTTTTGATCTCGCGAGTCCTCTGTGATATATGAGTTCAACTATTTCGCGAAATAAACGATATCATCAAATTCGCGATATCACGGTGAAAGAAGAATGCACAGTTCCGCGAGAACCGCCCCGCGCGATTTGTGTATGTGTGTGAGTTGGATAGGTGATAATTAGCTTCACTTTTTTTGCTTATTTCAAATTTTGTTTTATTTTTTTATATAATAACATTTCATTTTTCAAATGATTACATTTACTTTTGTCAAAAAACTTAAAGAAATCTTTCTTACGAGGTGTAGAAACGAATAGTATGCAATAGTAGCCACAAGCAAATGAATCATTAGCTTGATATTTTATTCGCGAATACTCAAATCGCTTGCTATTTCTCTCAATAAAATTAGTAATTAAATCAGATGGTGGTCGACCAAATGAGTCAAAATAAATTGCACTGTTTTTCCCAAAATGTACTGCTACCCAATGTGAACCTTCTTTATAACTGGGGTCAAGATTGATTATAAAATCTTTAGGCTTTGTAAAAGTTATGGGTAATTTATCGATTGCATAAACTCCACCAAAATATTTCACCTTACCCCTTAACATTAATTCAATTTCAATTGAAGTTAGCATAACTTAATAATCAATAGTTACAGTTCGCTCTTTATCAATTGTGATAAGGTTATCAAACTGTCCCAGGACAACAATTTTAACCTGACTTTCCAATGTTTCCGCAAATCTTATCTCCAGTCTGATTGTCCCCCGTCTAAGGAGATTTAGAGTGCCTGTTTCACCTCCTAACGTACCATCACCACTCAAATCAAAAGCATACAAGCAATGACTCAAAGAATATCTATCATAATCTATGTTGAGCTAAGGGATACCTTCATCTTGTCCTGTATATCTGTACAAGTTGATAAATTCACGCATGTAAATATTATTTTCATAATCTGGCTGGTAGGGTATAGTTGGAATACAATTTCCATCAACATTCAATGCAAGATGTGAAACACCATAGTTCTTAAATAAAAATGGATTAGACTTTCGATCGCCTGCGAAACTCGATTCATCGACGAGTCCTAAAATGATTCTTTTAGGTAGAATTCCTGTGAACAGATTTTCAATAGTTGTCATATTTATTCCTTTAGTTAGAGTAAAATTTTTCATTTCATTTCTTATAACAAAATATTTTGCACTAGACTTTGACAATGTATTCAATAGACTGGACATTGCATCAGGAAATAATTTCACTCTCTTGATGTGCAGTGCTAAACTTTCTATTTTCGCTTTGTATGTATTAGTGTCTGCAACTGTAGAGGCCCAAACAGGGAAAGTAGGTGTGCTTCGGGTGAATTTGAAAACCATTGGTACCCCATTAATCAGAAGTCGATCTTGTTGACAAATTGGAAGATGTAATCTAAAGTACAAGTCATAGACGCGATTCGGAACTACAAAACTTCCTTCTTTCTTGCTGTAATTTCCTTGATCAATTTGACTTGGAAATCTGAAAAGTATTTCTTCAAGGAATGCTTGATAATGGTACATGTTTGAAGCTTGTGACAAATTTACACCATTTAGAAATAAATCTATTTGCTCGAAAAGAGCATTACCAAAATTTTTAGCCATTTCAGCTTGCAGTGAATGTTTAGTTGCCTCTCCTGTATCATCTGTTACAATTACTTTTAAGTGTAACATGGTTGCTGATAAATCAGTTAAATCTTCTGATGGTGGTACAATAATATCATGGACTTGACTACTTTGTAAACTTGCAGATGGTCTGTATTCCACCTCATATCTAGATTCAATAGCAACTTGAGTTGTAGGTATACTGAAAATATTTAGTTCACTTTTACTGGATGGTGCTGATTCAACATGAAGGTATTCCATTATTAAAAAATATCACTATTTCTCTTCTTTCGTGATTTATATTTTCTCGCAGAAGACAAAGATTTCTTTTTAACTCTACGTTTTCCTCTCTTCACCTTCTTCTTATTCTTCTTCTTCTTCTTCTTATACAACCTCTTACGTCTTCTTAATCCCGAACCTCTCTGTTGTAGCATACTATTCACTTTATTCATTGACTCAGACGCGACATTTTTCAGTGACTCAGTAGCTCGGCTTTTCAACGAATCTTTAAAACGTTTCTTTTCAAGCACATCTGATCCAACAGCAACACCTGTTTTTAGTGCATGTTTACCTAAAAATTTCAATATTGGAATACCGAACCTACCAATCAAACTACCTATTCCATAACCACGTTGATAGGGAGAGCCTCTAAACACGTCAATATCACCAAAACCTGAACCAATTTGGTGGTTGAAAAATTTTTGCAAGTCAGAATCACAAGCACAATAAGTTTTTCTCTGCATGTTAATATTTTAAAAACAATTTATTGATTACTTCTTATACAACTTTTTTTAAATGCAACCCAATCAAAACTCTTCCAGAATTAAATTTAACAGCATCACCAGTCTCATCAGACAGAATGAAATTTATTTGCTCAATGCGGTTAGACCTGATTGGATAATAGAATGGTTTCATGAATCTTTCATGAACCAGTTCATTGTTGTCACTTTGTCGTATTGGTAACACTCTCAATACTCTTGAAGATTTGTCCCCAACAAAGTGCTCTGCAACAATATCTGAGTAAACAAACATTAGATGTGCTTTCAAATCAAAAACTGCTTTTTTACTTGCTTTAATGCAAGTGTCTGTAGTCATGAGGCGAGCAATGTCAGATTGAAAAGAATAAATATCAAAACCCAGAGACTGTAGAAATGCTGGATCTGTGAAATATGGTATTAAAATCTTTTTCTTCGAATATCCTCTCCTTATTTTAACAATACTTTCACTGTCTATTTCAATCACTGGAATCTGATCTTCTTCATCTACTTCAATGTCATAATTTACTTGTGGCTTGAATTTGTACAAATCTTGCTTTACTTCATGCATTTCTTTGACTAACTCTTCTCTAGCCGATTGCTGTTTTTCAACTTCTTGTTTCAAATTTGCCAGCTGAGTTTCTAATTTTAACTGTTTTTCTTGCAGAGTTCTATTTGTAGATTCAATTGCAATTTTCTCATGATTAATTTCAGCTATTTTAGTTTTCAATTTCTGTATTTGCTCCATTGGAAGTCTCATCTCTAATTCAATATTCATTCTCTCAATAGTATCAGTCAAAGCTTTTTTATCAGCTTCAAACTGTTTCAGTTGTCGTTGATGCTCTTTTTCTTTATCTTGGAAAATCATCATTTCTCTGTCGAAATTCTGTTTTGCTGCATCCATTTCCTTTTTGATTGCCAAAATTTCAGCATCCTTTTCTTTTTTCAGGCTTATTATCCTCTGTTCCTGTTTTGCTTTCATTTCAGGTGATTTTAAGCTTTGTAATTCTGATTGGAGCTTTTGCATTTCCTGTACCGTCTCTTGCAGTCTTTTTTCATAATGAACATTCCATTCTTTCAAATTCGAATCATATTCAACTTTCGTTTTTGAACAAGCAATTTGCAAATTTGCAACGTCTTTTGTCTTGTCATTTATTTGCTGTTGCAGTTTAGCAGCATTGGCCTTTTCATGTTCTATTGCGTCTTTCAGCTTAACTATTTCCTTTTCATTATCCTTTTTTGCTTTTAAATCTAATTCTTGTTCTTTGGTCAGTTGAGCTTTAAATTGATTAAGCTGATTAGTTATTGTAGCATTTACATTTTCAAGCTCTTTATATCCTGCTTCTATTTTGCTTTTCTCGCCGATTATTTCAGTCAAGTTAGATGTAAGTTTATTTAACTCTTCCACAGGTACTTTCGACTTTACATCTTCTTTCAATTTTTCAATAGTTGCATCAAGCGTTTCTTGAGTCCTTTTCAATTGTTGCAATTGCTGTTGACACAATTTCTCTTTACTTTGAAATTCCTCTTTCTCCTTTGTAAATTGTTCTTGCTCTTTCTCACGTTCTTTTCTGTAAGCATCCATCTCCTCATCTTGCTTCTCTTTCATTCTTGTAAATTCACTAGCTATTTCTTCATCTGATTTTGCATTGTTCAACTTTGCCTCTAACTCCTTCATCTTCTCATCTGACAATTGTGATTTTGCTTTCACTTTGTCTAAGTATCTGCGCCAAAATATTTTGTTATCCTGTTCGTCTTTTATTACTTTGATTGTTATGTCTTTCAATTGTTGTTGAATATTTTGCAGTTCAATATTTTTATCTTTAATCTTGTTCTCAAGATCTCTTGATGCACTTTTCTCTTTTTCAATTTTTTCTTTAAGTTGTTGTATTAAAGGATTATTTTCAAGCATAAGATTCTTTTCTTTCAGTGCATTGATTTGTTCTAGATAACCTGTAAGACTATTTTGAAAATCTATCTTTTGTTTTTCAAATTCTTTAGCTACCTCCTTTTGAGAGGTCTTTTCATCATTCAGTTTCTTAAGATGTTGTTCTGCTAATTTGACATGTTCGCTCAAAGTATTTATTTTCTTGTCTTTTTCCTCAACTTGATTGGTTAATTTAGTGATTCTTGCTATCAGTCCAGTAAATGCTGAGGATCCTTTATGCATCATTTCACCTAGATGATGTATTTTTTCTTGATCACTCAATTGCATCACGTTTGTAGCTAGTAAATTGTGAAAAGCTTGCAAGGTGTCACGTTTGACCTTTTTCGATGCGGTAGAGGCATAAGCTGCTTTGATCGCATTATTAATTTTCTTTATGACGGTATTCAAATCATCTGTTGCTTTAAGAGTAAACTCAACAGCCATTGTTTTACTTGAGTTGCTTGATAGCAGTTGTAATGAAGTAGTTCTGGCTGTGACGCTTATGTCTGTTGGATAAAAAATTTCTTGTATTCCAACGACCCATTCACCAACTAAATCGATTGGTCTTGATAGTTTATTTGAAAATTTAGAAAGAGTGTTTTCAGGAAAAATTTCCATCGATGAATTAGAAACGACTTCAATGAAATATTCTTCAGGTTGATTCCACATTTTGTATCCAACAGTTGAACTTCTTAGGATATCCTTGCCACTTAACGAAATACTCTTTCTTTTTTGTTAATGGGTTAGTTCTAGTTCTCAAAATCTTCTCGATCTTATACAACCTTTCTTCATTAGCATGCAATAGCTCATTATGGTAAAATATTGAGGTGATTTCTTCACCGCCATAATCTTGCAACCGATAAACATATCCTTGCTGAGTTTTCTTAGCTTTGATCACAGTAAATATCTCTTCGGTAAAATTACTAGTTGCTCCCTTCTCAAAAATACTTTTAGCTCTACTTATATGCACCTTATCTCCTACAGAAAATGGTTTATACTTAATGCTAACTTTAGGGTGGTTTTTTCTTATATTGTTAAGCACCATCGAACTATTTTCCGTATTAACATGAGATGGCGACATTCCTATTGTCCTGTGAAATGAATTATTGTACGACTCTACTATGTCTTGAAGCACATTGATATATCTTTTAGTAGAGTTGTGTGATAAAAAACGATAAATGCGGTTTCGCAAAGTTCTATTAAATCGTTCAACAATTGCACACTTGATAATATCATCTGTTGAGGTGAAATAATTGATTTTATATTTTTTCATAATAGCTATAAATTTACTGTTTTTAAACTCTTTTCCCTGATCACTTTGTATTTTTTCAGGTATTTCTTGCGTTGTAAGTAGTTTAGAAATTGCATTCGCTATAGTTTCTGAAGATTTGTCTTTAATTGGTATAACCCACACAAAACGACTGAAGCAATCAATTATATTAAATAGATATCGATATCCATCATTTTCCGATGACAGCCAAGTCATGTCCATTAAATCGATTTGCCATTGTTCATTTTGACGATTCACTAAGATTGGTAATCTAACAAATCTTTTGTTAACTTGCTTAAATAAAGCATACGTGTCTTGTTGATCAAGCCACTTTTGAATTTCACTATACTTCACGTCTGGCACATGCTGTTTTACTGCATTATAAAGTCTTTTAACTCCTCCAAACGAACCTACATTTTTCGGTGAGTAATATTCTCTTTCGAAAATTTGCTTGCGCTCAACCATGATAAGTCTGTATTTTTCAATCGATCTAAAGCATCAGGGTTCTTAATTAAGTGTTTTACATGTAACTCACTTTCCTTGATATATTGAATGACTGCAGTTGTTCCGTTAGGAGCTTTTCCTTTCCAATTCCTATCAGACAAATAATCAACTACCTTTTCGATATCACTACCTTTTACTTTCACACCCTGATCAATGATTTTATTGTCAGACGCTACGATGTATTGGTCCGACTTTAGTTTCAACAATAATGAAATTGGTCTTTTCTCATTTTTTCCCGTATCTCTATGACTAGATGTAGTCGGCACAACAATGCTGTTAGATGTTGCCTTATTTCCAGAAGTTTCTTCTTTTTGTCGATGCATTGCATCAACAGTTGAATGATAAGATTCTTCAGAGTCAGATCCAACTACGGTTTCACCATCATCTTCATCATCATCATCATCATCATTATTATTATTATTTGAAGCAGCATTGCTATCACTGACTAACTGGTCATGATACAGAAAATTTTTTGTTTCGTTCTGAGGTTTAAAAGATTGTCCTTCTTCTTTCAATGATTTTAATAATTTATAACGCTTTTCGATCCTTTCTTTCAATTTTCTTTCAATTTTCTTCTTTTTAGCAGCCTTTTTAGTTTCGTTTTTCATCAGTAACTGATTCATCAAGCGAACTTTGATATCTGATGGTAGGGCTGAATCCATGATGGGGTTATATTCTGTGTTAACATTTTGATTGATTCGATGTTGTTCTTCAGGTACTAAAACCATTCTTGTTACAGTATTCATTTTACTAACTGATTAGCTACCAAATTAGCTAAAATGGAAATTGCTGGTACTAAAAGACCGGGAAGTAGACCGCCTTTTTGAATGAGAATTTTTTTGGCTCTATTTGGAGGCAGTTTGCCAGCAATTTTTCTCAATTCTTGCTTGAATTTTCTAAGCTTTTGTTTTTGTTTTGGAGTTAAATGGATATGACCTTTCAAAGTATTTTTCGCGATCCCTTTTATCACTTTTATCACATTACAAGGGCATGATTTCAATAATTTTTGTCTGGAAGATTTGTGTTTTGTTTTACTTAACTTTCGAAGTAAAGGTAAAACGTTTATTGCTTGTGATACAGACATTTTACAGATCTGCTAAATCAGTTTTCTTATATAATCAAATTTGATACGCGTAAAAAATTCCATTTTCTCCTAATACATTTGTTAGTAATCTTACTTCCTCAGGAGTATCTGACTTCAAGTCGATGAATAAATATGAATAGGGCTTACTTGTTGCATGCTCATAAATATTACGAAATTTGGAAATTTTATTCGGAAACATTTGTCTGGCTAACATCGATGCAATTGATTTATCTCTAGGATTTTTAAATAGCACAATGTAATGTGAATTTAGTGAAATGTTTCTACTCTCTATTCCTTTCATGAAAAAATTTTGAGTAATAAGAATCACAGATAGATTCCTGTGATGACTACCTTTAGTAAATAACTGTGAGATTATTTTGGAAGATGCTGATTCAGCCATCAAATCATCTATTATGATTAACTTTGCATGTTTTCCATCCATTTTTTCCATCATCGCTTCAGGTAATCCTGCCACGAATGAAACTTTCTTCATGTCATTGAATATTGGCTGATACTCTGAGTAGAAATATGTAATCTCCTCTGGACTAGGTTTTATGAAAATTTCAGGATGATTCAACAATTTTCGAATCCAATACGTTTTGCCGCAACCACTAGGTCCAGCAATTAACATGGTAAAAGGATGCTTTAAATAAATATCAAACATTTTTCCCATGTAAATGCAAGCAAATTTCTTATACAAAAAATGATCACTAAGAATAATATACTCAATCTCATTGCAGATTATGTGAAAATCTAAAGAACCTCATTAAATCATAATGACTAAGTTATCAAATCTGATCTAGTAAACTGTATTTGTCAATTATTTATAATCAAAGTTAGCTAAATTTGTTCACATAAATTTGAAAACTGTTAAAACACCAGAGTTAAAATTTGCTATCTGTAAAAATTGTAAACGCGTTTTATGCAGAAAGAAGTTTTTATTATAATTTCAAATACCCCAAATCAAAGGTTACAAATCCCAAATGTTAAAAATCAATATACGAGAACTTGCTCTACTCCAGATCAAGTAGATTACCATTTAAAATCATTCTGGACACGATCAAACATACTCCTGACTGTTGAAAGAGCGCAACAGTAATTAAATTTCTCAGGTTTCGGTTGAGGTTTGTGGAGGTGACAATATCTGGACTTGCCGGCCAGATTAACTTTGATGTGGGGAATCTTGCAATCGCTCAGGGTCTTCATGGATTCCTTTGTGTGGTATCCAATCAGAAATTTGTTGCCACATCGATTCAATTCGTAGTATTCCTTGAGCAAATCCTCCACCTCTGCTAAATGAAGATCCCCGGGTTGCGGTCTGAAGTCGATCCCCAATCCACCTTCGGCAAAAATTCCAACACCCCAACGATCACTTGAAGGGATATCTAATACACAAAAACCATGTTCAATCAAACCATGTTGAGTATGATTGCTGTCAATCAAAGCATATTCCCTGGGAACAAAATGTTGATCATGGTCGTAGAGATGAAATCCTCGTATGTCAAAGAAAGCAACTATATTTTGTATTGACATGATGATTAAAAGGAAACTCAATATTGGAAACAGATAGAAACAGAAAGCAAGAGAGACAGAAATTTAAAAGATTAAATTGAAGAAAGCAAAAACTTAAAATATTGATAGAGAGTAAAGAGTAAAATAAAGAGATCAGTTGAATATTTTAAAGTTGTGTGATTAAAAGGGAAAAAAGAAATCAAATTAAATAGTCTTTTTGATGAAGAGAGTTAGGGAGCGAAGAATGGTGGCGTTATCTTTTAGCATATCCTGCAGATTTTTGGTGAATTTACCGGATAACCTATCCATAAAATCTTGTTTTTTCGCTGCTAGACTTTCAATTTTCCCAAAATGAGCTTGATATCTCTCATAGACGATTTGCCATTCTGTCATATCATAGATAACGGCTGGGCCTGGAGGATCCATATTAATTATTTCATTCTCCTCTTTCCATATTTCATCTATTGAGCGCTGACTATTATCAGTAACATGAGCGTAAATGAAAATATCTTGCAAAATACAGTCAATATGTCGCTGTATTGGATCTCTTATCAGCTCAAGCATCATACAAACACCTGGAATGATGTTAATTAACACGGAAATCACATTTGAATCCAACTTTAGCTTATTATACCGTTTAATCAACTGTATATCTCCTGTAGGTAGAAGACCCATAATTAACTCATCAGCTACATCTTCTTTCACATCACTTCCCAGCTTCAAATCGGACAAAAAACGACCAAGCTGCAGTAACTCCCATCTTTTGAGGTTAACACCGTTTCTTGTAGGAAAACCATTGTAGAAAGTTCGAATATCGACACGAGTACAACATATTTCAGAATCATCATCTCTTCCAAAAGACACAGTAAGCTTATGATCAAGACTCAAAGAAATAGGTTAGATAGAATCCCAAGTAATTGAAGGCATATTTATTGAAATGTAAATCACTGCTTTGTTGTCAACACAACAAGAAAATATTCTTAACTGAAGATCTTAGTTTTCTTTTGGTGCATTTATATATTTTGCTAAGCTCTTAAAAAACTTTTGAGATATCTCACTCAATTGTTTTCGACTCCTCACTCCAGTTACAATATATGATCCTTTTGGATAGTAAGTTACGCAGACTTTATTATCTTTCCAATATATTGCAGGATATATTTCCGGCTCGTAAGAGACGTTGCGGTTATTCTGGACAAATTTAAAAACATCAACATGTAAATTTAGGGCTCCCGAAGCGGTCATATTAACAACATTAACAAAACTTGGTCGGTCACTTGGGAATGTTTGTTTTATGAAATGTTTAGCATTTTGCACCGAGGTGAATCCTGTTGCAATGATTTTGCCGGATTCAAACACTAGTAAACTTTTCTTGTTGTCTTTAATAACATCTGCATTGAATCTTTTGCTTGTCTTACCAGATTTACCTTTGATTTCAACTCTTCTTCCTAAATCCCAAAGCGAAACAATATTAACAATTTTAGGGAAACCTTGAAGTTTGAAATTCATAATGGACGTGTGTGTGTGTGAGTTAGAGATCAAAGTACAAATGAGAGAAATCATCTGCTAGTAACTCTTTTATACTGAATGATCTTACACATAAGGAGAAATAAATTGGTTTAAAGATAAGTGGGAATAAGGCTGCATTGCTATAGCTTAAAGAATAACATTAAATCAAAGCTAATCAGTTATTCTATCTGTTAATTGTTTGGATCTGAGCTCAATCATCTTCAAAAATTTGCAAAGATAGATTTAATTACCCTAAAGACAACCTCGAATTAGACAGAAAATAAGATCCTTACTTATTTATTATGTGTGTTTTCAGTTCCAAGCCAAAAAACCAATCTTGCGCATCTGGATATTGCAAAATTTAGTATAAAAAGGCTTATTTTATTGAATTTAACTCATTCACAATTCGGCAATCATGGAGCAAGTTAATGCTTTGTTTTGTTTAAGACCTGCAAAAAAACAGGCAATTTTACATGATATGAAAACTTATTATCTGTTCAAGTATGAAAATTTGAATCATCTTTATCATAGTATTGTTCGTTTCAAAAAAGAAGGTGTTATAGCTTTCAACACTCCTGAAGCTGGTGCTTTTCTCAAAGAAATGAAGATTGAATCAATAGATCTAAAAGATTTTGGTTTCAAAATGGAAATTGATATGGACGATGAGATTAACAAAATGCTTCTCTTTGTGAAGGATCATCAACCAAGAACCTGCAACTGTGGATTGCTTCGATGGACTCCTAAAAAATTTTTATCCGCTTGACCGCTCAATCAAGTTTATGTGCTAACTTGGCTACATTGCAAAACTGATCGAGTGATTTTAGCAGTTTTTTGAAGAAATTTTTGTTTCTTGATAGAGTACATGTGGAAGTTTTGTTCGACTTTGCTTTGTTTCCTCTGCAGATGAGATCTGAATAATGGCAGATACTCAAAGTCCAAAAACGTGGTGTATTTCAGAGAATGCAATCTTTTCTGTTATTTCTTCAAAATCATGCAGTTGCAAAATTTCTCTCGCTGATGGAAAATCGTGGTGGAGAATGCGAAACCTACTATTGTACGCGAAGCAAGTGTCAGTAAAGGCAGCATTTTGTCAGAGTGGTTTTTTTTCATTTATTTTAATTATTTAAGATAAATCAGGAAAAATCATTTTGACAAAATTCTGCCTTTATTGACTCTTACTTTGAATACAAATGTATCATTATTCGCCTGATCTACTATACTATTCAACAAGATAGTGAATGAAAGAACTTTGATTTTGAAGAAATAACATAGAAGATTTTCATTCCCCGAAAAATATCACTATTTGGACTTTGACCAACTGACATTATACTGGTCTCATCTGCCAGAAGAAACTATGCATTGTTGAACAAAACTTTCACATCATCTCAATCAAATTGAACCGAAAATTTCTCGTTAAATTGTTTATAATTCTGTTATTTGCTTCTTTTGTTAAAACTGTTTCTTTTCCGAATAAATATTGTGCTTACTCTGCACATGAAGAAATAATTGCTTAAAATATTTCATTTCATTTCATTTATCTCACAATTAACTGAGTTCATTTTTGTCGCGTTTTAAACGATATCTTTATAAAGAATACATTTCCAAATTGGTGCATCCAAACAAATTTTTTACAATTTTTACCATGCATTCTCTCTGAATAGCGATACAGTAGAGAAATATAAAAGTCAAAAAACTGATTTGACCTACCAGACTTCAGAAAAAATATCAAAAAAAAAAGATAGAGAATACATTTCGAAACTTATAAATCGAAAAAACAAAACTTGAAAATTTTTTTTTTCAAGTTTTGTTTCCTTACTGTATCGTCACCCATAGAGAATGCATGGTAAAACTTAGAAACAAAAATTTTTTTTGGATTTACAAGTTTTGACATGTATTTTCTAACTGAATTTCCAATACATAATTTTTTTGTGGTTTTTCATGACGAATGTCGCTGGTCCTGGTGCTGAGACCTGTATCACAGAAGCGGCAAGTATAACCTCGAACCCAGTCACGTCTTCTTCATCAAAGGCTTTGACCAAGTTGAAGTCTTCTGGGAGCAAATCGAAACTCTTTCTATTGTAAATAAATATTTTGCTCACTATGCATATGAATAAATAATTGATAAAAATATTTAATTTCATCTATCTCACAATTAACTGATTTCATTTTTTCGCGTTTTAGTCGATATCCTTAATCTCGCAAATCCAACATAAACTATTGAAATGTCTAATCTAGCGAGATCAGCCCGGGCGTTTAATTTTACTTATTCTTTAATTAATTTGTTTTTTCATTTAGCTCTTAAACTTGTTGAGTGCTGAAACCGCATCAAGGTTTAATTTTCTTTCTTTTTATTGAGCCTTCACTTTGTGCTCGAAGCGTATGGTCTCTTTTGTGCTGGAAGCGTATGGTTTCCAACTACTAATGTATTCTGAGTGGAGAAACATCGGGTTCATTGAAAGACGCACTTGAAGACAAAACAAGTCATGCAGATGGGTGCAATATTTATGAAAGTAAATATATTGTCACATCAATTTGAATTTCGTATATTAATTTTGTTCCTCTATTTCAATTTAGAATCATTTATGAATCTATTCCATGAGTATCCTGGCAAAAGTCTAGTTCTGGATGCCGTCTCAACCATAACAAATGTACCAATTGGTGATTGTGCTAAAAGATGTGCTCAATCAAGTGATTTCAATTGTGAATCATTCGATTATTGCCTAGATGGTTATCAAAGGTAAACTTGTCGTAGTAGCTCATTTGAATAATGAAATCGACTAAAAATCATAAATAGTTAATCTCTCACAACAAATAGTCAAATAAATAAGATGAGGTCTTGAGAGTCAAGAACTTAAAATTTAAATATTGGCAATGCGCTTGAGTAAACGCACAGACCACTATTGGTTTATTCATAAGAGAGAAATGCATCCTTTTGTGCATTTCATGTCCAACATTTAGATATGTTTTATGAATTGTAAGCAAATCGTTTGAATCATTATAACAAATGATAAAGGTCATAGTCAATCTTAATTGCATAGTAAGACTGAATTTGGCAATAACCTATCACATATCAATCAAAGAATCTGCGAAAGTGAAAGGATTGATAGCAAAATGCTCTTGTATTTCAATTGTTTATTATTATTTCAAAAACGGAACAATTGGTTTTATTGCACTATTTAGAAACTTGAAAGCTGGTTTGAAATGCATAGAATAGAAAGTTGTTATTGAATATCTAATGAATTTTCATTTTTTATCTCAATTGCTTTCAGAAACGAATCTATTTGCTTCTTACATGTAAATCACATTGAGATTGATAAATCTCATCAAATAAATGCAACAAACTGGAAGTTGGCTGAATTTGGATGTTCCCATTATTCAAGTAAAAATCTTTACTTTGATCTAAAATTCTGGTTAACATTTACTAATTAATCAACCTTTTTAATTTCACAGAAAAATCTGAACTTGATTATGAACATAAAGTTGGACTGGCTTTGAAAGATAATACGAAAGAATCAATTGTTGGAACCTTTGACCATTTATCTTTAGAACACTGTGCTTCCAGATCCAACTCAGATCCTAATTGTTTTACTCTCGAGTTTTGTGAATCAGTTGACTATGATCGAGTTTCCGATAGCAGTGTTTCATTGACGAGCTGTTCATTGACCAACTTGAAGCCAAGTAATGCCAATCAACTTGGGCTCTTTGAAGAAACAAAAAGCAACAAAATTTGCTCAATTTACATAAATCACAATAAGATCACAGGAAAAAGTAAAACTGGCTCAAAGCGATCTGCATTAATAATACCGTATGAATCACCAACTAAATCAAACAATTTGAAGATAGCAGTTGGATTGGGGACAATAGTCTGTTTAATGGCCTTTGCTGGTGGATTCATTGGATTTAAATTTGCTGCTAGAAAAGGAATCATTTCATAGATGATTTTGCATCAGAAAACTGAAGATGAATGTTTATGAATTATTCATTATTGATCAACATGATACATTTTTGCAATTTATTATGTAGTTTATTTTGTATCAATGCAATGTAATGTAGCTCTTTATAATACTTTTTATACTTCAATGCTTCCAAAGGTCTTGTTTGTTCTGGTATTGCTTTTTAAAACGATTAAAATAATATTATCATTGAGAAAAAAAGAATTTCTGCTTTATTTCCACTCGGGTCAAAACTCAGTCTGAACAATTAGCATTGAATTATTTACATTTACTAACTATGTTATTATGGAACCTGCAAATATTGTGCAAAGATTCAAAGTTGAGAACTGTGCATAACTTTGCAGTGCAAACCCATACCCCATCTTGACCAGAAAATGTACAAACCAGGATGCACAAATTATAAAAGATGGGTAACGGAGGGAACTCCATCCCTCGATACTATAATAAGTATTCGTTGACAAAGCCACACGTATTGCAACAGATAAGGCATAAAGTCTCAGCAGGAGAATTTCGTTTAGACAGTGTTTGCCTATCAGTTGAAGATTTTTTCATTGTGAATGGACCTGAAGAGATTGGTAATATTTCTCAGGAACTACATTTGAGGGGTTCCAGACCATTGAGAACTGAAGATTTTCCGATGATAAACACTAATCGTCATTTCAATGAAGCACAATTCAAGATGGAGAAAAGTACTCTTCAAGATTGTTTCATGGCTTGTGTCAATGATGATGATTGTAATACACTTTCATATTGTGTTAACCAGAATAAGGAATGTATTCTGAGTGGAGAAACATCGAGTTCATTGAAAGATGCCCTCGAAGACAAAACATGTCATGCAGATGGATGCAATATCTATCAAAGTACATATAGCGTTACGTTAATTTCAATTTCTTGAAAGAATTTTGTTCCTATGAATCATTTATGAATCTATTCCGTGAGTATCCTGGCAAAAGTCTAGTTCTGGATGCCGTCTCAACCATAACAAATGTACCAATTGGTGATTGTGCTAAAAGATGTGCTCAATCAAATGATTTTAATTGTGAATTTGAGCAACGACAATCAACGAATCATCCGGACCAATCCTGGAGATTGCTAGTGAAAAATGAGTGAAAAATCGGTTTATAACTCATAAACCAGACGAAATGAAGATTTTGATAAGTTTACATGCAAAATGTTTGCAGATAATCAATGATCATTTGTTGTTAGCACAAAATTGCATTAAAAAATAAAAATATCACCACATATTGAGAAGCTGAGCATTATTGTGTGCACTTAATTGAATAGACTGATACATTTACAGAGAAATCATTGAATTGGTAATTTTATTAGATATTTATCTCATCAATAGAGTCTTTTCTTCTTTATATATAAGTAACATAATCGATATTTTTGTTCAAAACAATGGAGACGACAATGGCTCATTTATTAATCTTATTTTCACACCTTCTTATTTTTGACCTTAATCTTTTTAACACCTTTGCTTAGTCTTACTGGGGTGGCTTAACGCCCTTGCCAATACTTATAAATGAATTGTGCAAATAAAATTTTCTTCACACAATTTTTCAATTTCAGATCGATCTCTCGGATTAAATTGGATATTCAATCTAACCTAATTCTTGCGAATCACAATGGAATCAAAAACCAGAATTGATCTCAACTTTTATTTTATACTTTGTTTTCTTTACTCAATTAGTTCTATTATTTGTGATGATTTTAAATGCCCTGAAAGGGGTAAAGTTGGTGAATTTAAAGTTCCAAATGTTCTCAGTTTGATTGATAAACAAACAGGTTATCATGCTTCTGTTGAAGTTATTAATCCAACTCGAAACAATTTGGTCCATGATTATTATGATTGGAAAAATAATGTTGGATACATTGACTTGGAAGCAACCATTCAAAATGAAATGAATCGACGTTATTATTATCATTCAACAGAGGAAAAACTTGCAGTTCGAGAAGATAAATGTACAAGGTTGGACTTGACACAGAATGAGAAAGTTGAATCGATCAAAGATTGGTTTGAACCAAAAGATATTGTCGCTAACTCAGAGATGTTTAAAGATTTGGTTCATTTGGGACCAACAGGATTGATGATCTATGCCAACAGTATAAGTGATAAAGCTTCGTTCATAGGATCTGAACTGATTGAAGGTCGTACTGTCAATCATTGGTTTTATTGCACTAATCCTAATGGACCTTACATTGACTTTTATTTTGATGTTAAGACCTCGTTGCCTCATCGGTTCTCGTTGTATTATCCCGAATGGATTGAAACTCATGAGGTTATTTCAGTAAATGAAACTCAAACAGTTAAAAAGCAAGTTGATTCCGAGTCAAAATATGTTTATAACTTTTACATGTTCAAACCGCTGGTCATATCACCAGATGAACCTATTCCTTATCCATTGAGTTATGGATGTGCTCGTAAAGGTGCTCTTGCATCTACTCCACTACCAGATTTCAGTCAAGTTAAAGAGTTTAATATGGATATGGAAGCGATACTAACCCATCCTCTACAGGAACCTATCAGATCTAATGCGCGAGCTATGAAACGAGGCGATGTTATTTCATACGAAATTCGAGAAGAAACTGTTTCCATGCGTTTTATTGAATTGCCACCTCCTTTAGGGCTATTTGAAGTCGTTGGACACATTGATCGATGCGGTTATTCTTTACCAACATATTTTTCCGATAATACACTAATCACCAGTTGGCCTTATCCTGAATATACACATGGCTTCAATTTATTGTACTATCTGGTAATGAAGCCACCTCCAAATCGTACACCAACTTTCATTGGTGATATACCTTATGGACCTTTTCGAGTGGAAGAATACAGAGCCCCTAGGTTCTTCAATTATGTAGTTGATGCCATCATTGACTATTATTATGATAAAAACGCGAGTGATTCTGTTCCGAGTAAAGTAATATTTACTAAAGATAGGAGTAATGTTAACTATGATACCGTGCACGCTCCCCCTCAAGTTGAAGTGACAATTATTAACTACGAAGACGCTAACATTGATTATAAAGATCGATTCGATGTATCTAATTGTTATGAAGAACCTGGAAGCTTTACTTGGTTTCAACTTCTCTTTTCAAATCCTTCGCTGAGTGAATTCAATATGATACAAATCAAGGAATCAGCAGAAAAATACTTGACTTCATTCATCCCAATAATTCGTATTGGTGAAATTCATGCACAACAAGTTGATTCTAATGTTTATATTAGTGTTAAGCTTTATGATCGTTTACATTTCATTGAGGCTTATAATCTTTTGTATCAACGTAAAATTATTAATCCTTCAAATATCGTGCAAAGATTTAAAGTCGAGGACTGTGAGCAATTGTGCAGTTCGAGTCAAAATTGTGTCGATTTTAGTTATTGTTCGGATTATGATTGTTCAATTTTCGTTGCAACAAATGATAATGTCGAAGTAGAAACCACTGAGGACTGTAAACTTTTTTATAGAGATTCAAAGTTTGATATTGCACCATTCGTTGAAACAAATTATTTGTCGACAATACCACACGTATTACAACAGATAAGGAATAAAGTCTCAGCAGGCGAATTTCGTTTAGACAGTGTTGGCTTATCAGCTGAAGATTTGTTCGTTGTGAGTGGGCCTGAAGAAATTGGTGATATTTCCCAAGAACTATATACAAGTGGTTCCAGACCATTGAGAACTGAAGATTTTCCGATGATAAACACTAATCGTCATTTCAAGGAAGCACAATTCAAGATGGAGAAAAGTACTCTTCAGGATTGTTTCATGGCTTGTGTCAATGATGATGATTGTAATACACTTTCATATTGTGTTAACCAGAATAAGGAATGCATTCTGAGTGGAGAAACATCGAGTTCATTGAAAGATTCACTTGAAGACAAAACGAGTCATGCAGATGGATGCAACATCTATCAAAGTAAATATAATTGCGCATTCATTTGTGTTACTTGAACTAATTTCATTTCTCAATTTCAATTTAGAATCATTTATCAATCTATTCCATGAGTATTCTGGAAAAAGTCTAGTTCTGGATGCCGTCTCAACAATATCTGATGTACCAATTGGTGATTGTGCTAAAAGATGTGCTCAATCAAATGATTTCAATTGTGAATCATTTGATTATTGCGATATTGAAAACAATAAACGGTAAGTCGAAACTTCGATTGAACTTATCTCCATATCTTTTATATTTTAGTTGAATATGAAAAATTTGAATGAAAATCGTGAATAGTTAATTTTCAAAGTTTTATTTTAATATCTTATACTAATAATGATATTTAAAGTTATTGAAATATTATTGTTGAATGCATTTACAAATAGTTCTAATGAATTTTCATTTCATTTGCATCTCAATTGCTTCCAGAAATGAATCTATTTGTTTTTTACATGTAAATCACATTGAGATAGACAAAGCTCATCAAATAAATGCAACAAACTGGAAGTTGGCTGAAGCTGGATGTTCCCATTATTCAAGTAAAAACCTAGACTTTTATCTAACATTCATTTTAAATCTGGTTAAAATTTACTTATTACAATCAATCTTTCAACTTTTACAGAAAAATCTGAACTTGATTATGAACATAGATTTGGACTTGTATTGAACGATAACATGAAAGAATCAATTGTTGGAACCTTTGACCATTTATCACTAGAACACTGTGCTTCCAGATGCAATTCAGATCCTAATTGTTTTACTCTCGAGTTTTGTGAATCTATTGACTATGATCAAGTTTCCGATAGCAGTGTTGCATTGACGAGCTGTTCATTGACCAACTTGAAACCAAGTAATGCCAACCAACCTGGACTATTTGAAGAAACAAAAAGCAACAAAATTTGTTCAATTTACATAAATCGCAAAAAGATCACAGGAAAAAGTAAAACTGATCCACAGCCATTTGCATTAAATATACAATCTGAATCATCAACTAAATCGGGCAATTTGAAGATAGCATTTGGATTGGGGACAATAGTCTGCTTAATGGCGTTTGCTGGTGGATTCATTGGCTTTAAATTTGCTAATAAAAAAGGAATCATTTCATAGACTAACTTATTGTAAACAGTGAATAAAGTACCAATAAAACAACAAACTTGTCTCATTTTTTCGTACTCTACAAAATGAACAAATGGTACAAACGCGCTCAAACGTTAGAAATATTATTTTGTTTAGAAATTATTTTATTGTTCATCGAAATGAGTCTTTGTAATTTGAACACTTTTTATTTGAGATGTTGTGCCTTATATGCTATTTTATGCAATTTTTTGAAACTGAATAAAGAGAAGAAATTATTTTAATTTTAACTTTTTTTGAAGTTTTTATTGGAATACTAACGATGTATCGATTTTTGAAGCTTCTTACATCGATTAATCAGGTTGAAGTATCGCGCACGTTCTCTGCAGTTTCCTGTTTCGGTGAGATTTTTCACTGACAAGTTGCAAACGGCCATCCAATAACCTTTAGACTGGTTGAGTCAAACATCTAGTGTTCAATTTAACTTGATTAATTTGAATAATTAATTGTTTTCTCTGATTTCATCGATCAGTTAAATAATTTAATCCAAAATGAGTAAGTCAATCAATTATGAAAAGTTTTTTGTAATCTTTGAAGTCGCTCTCAATTTTGTCCTTCCATTGTCCTTCCATGCTGATTATCAACTTCTCTTCTTTCCTTTTCCCTTTTTTTGCTCTTAGGTCAAGATAGCAAGACAAACTACAGTTGTGAATATGGTTCACCCAAATTTTATGCCCTTTGTGGTATTGGGGGTGTTATCAGTTGTGGTTTAACTCACACTGCGGTTGTACCTCTTGATTTGGTCAAATGTCGTATTCAAACTAACCCAGACAAATACAAGTCTATTGTAAATGGGTTTAAAATTTCGGTTCGCGAAGAAGGACTCAAAGGTTTATCCAGGGGCTGGGCTCCAACAGCTATTGGTTATTCGATGCAAGGTCTTGGTAAATTTGGTTTCTATGAACTTTTTAAAAATGTTTATAGCAATATGTTAGGAGAAGAGCTATCATACACATGGAGAACGTCTCTTTATTTAGCTGCTAGTGCTTCAGCTGAGTTTTTTGCTGATATTGCTCTTTGTCCTATGGAAGCATGTAAAGTTCGAATCCAAACCTTACCCGGTTGTCCGGCACAACTCAGAGTTGTTGCTCCAATGATCCTTAAGCAAGAAGGTCTTGGTGGTTTTTACAAGGGACTTTCACCACTCTGGATGAGACAAATCCCTTACACCATGATGAAATTCGCATGTTTCGAACGAACTGTGGAAGCTATTTATCAACATGTTGTACCTAAACCTCGAGACCAATGTACCAAGGGAGAACAATTGATTGTTACATTTGCTGCTGGTTATATTGGTAAGTTACAAAACGAGATTTGAGTTTCATTGAAATTGACCTTGAAATGTTTCTCTCTTTTTTTCAGCCGGTGTCTTCTGTGCTATCGTCTCTCATCCTGCTGATACTGTTGTATCCAAACTCAATCAAGAAAAAGGTAGCACTGCCATCGAAGCAGCTAAAAAATTAGGAATGGCTGGTATGTTTATTTTTTTCAATTTACATTATACTTATTTACTGGCCTTTAACCTTTACTTTATAATTTTCGTATTCAATTCTCATTCATTATCATTTTAGCTATCATTGATAGGTTTATTATATCATAATTTTATCTTTTGAAAATTAGAGTAGAGTAGATAGAATTGAATCCATACAATATTTGCATTAATATTTTCATTTTTGAATGGCCAGTAAAAGTCCTCATTTTTAAATGTATTTACTCACGCAGTTAAGCCTTTTACCTTTTCTCCTGAGGTATTTGGTGAGTCAGTCGTGAAAGATCAAAATCAGTGTTCAAGTTAACCCTGAGATGTGTTTTTCTTGCTATATTCTCATCTCTTCCTATATTGATCCACATGACTAATCTATGATTTCTTGTTATTTCACAGGACTTTGGAAAGGACTGACCCCTAGGATTATCATGATTGGTACTCTGACCGCACTTCAATGGTTTATTTATGACGCTGTTAAAGTTGTTTTAGCTATCCCCCGACCACCACCTCCACAGATGCCTGAAAGTTTAAAACGAAAACTTGCAGAAAAGCAGCAGTAATGATTAAAGGCTATCTACATAAATCTACCCTAAATTATACCTATCCTTAGTATCTGTTTCAACCTCTAGTTGAAATTTTATCATCTAATTAGATTTTACCTTAATTGCGATCTGTAATATGGTACATCATGTTGATCATATAGGAGAAAACTTTAAATGATTGTTATGATAATTAAAGGAAGAGAAATCCATCTTTAAAATTTAATAAGTCTATGAAATTACTTCTTTATAGCAGCAAATTTGAATCCAATGATTCCAACATTTAAGTTGGTCGCTAAACAACTCGACAATGAAACACTACTACATCGGAAAATATCTTATAACTGTTAATCTAACGTAAGATGATTTCCAATAAATCTCAATTCATCGAATCGAGATTAATTTTTAAATTGAAAGAATGATGGAAAGAAGATAAGAAGGTGTGATGTCACACCACGTCATAGATAACGACATATTAAGATTTTTAATTTCAATAAATGGTTGATGGAAGTCACCTCAAGTCAGATTTTTTTGTGGAAGTAAAAAATTGAATATCTGCAAATATTGGCCCGATTTAAAGCAAAGGTTAGATTAAAGAAAGATTTCTGCTTGAATAATGGCAACATTCAGATTCAGCCAACTTCCAGTTACATTTATTTGACGAACTTTATCTATCTCAATGTCGGTAATATTATTCATTTCTGGAAGGAATCGGGATAAAAAAGATGAAAAGAATTTATAGTGAATATTTGAACAATTGCTCGGATAAAAAACACTGCAGATACAATTCACAATAGATTTTCTTAAACCTGATGACAAATTTTTGCAATATTCAGTTTTACTTTGTAACACAGAATGTTTATGATCTCTTTGATTTGTTCCACTTGATCAAATGATCGTTACATCCCTTTCATCTACCTCAATGTGGTTAATATGAAATTAATTTTGTTCTGATTAAATTGTTGAATATCTTATTTAACTACATTGAGATTAGAAAGCAGGAATTAATTAAGCAGCCTTAATTGTTTTCATTGAAATTTTCAATTTGAAAAGGCAGCAAGCAACAAAAGTAAAATTCTCAAGTGTGAATGGCAAATAACATTTAATTTTCTCTTCTTCAGCAATATCATACATATTTTAACTTTATATTGTGATGGTAGTTTTGTATAATAGACGACAATCCTAGGAATAATGAAATCTAAGCAAATTTAAAATTTTATTTACTACCAACTCGGGTTCTTTTATTCCATGAAAAGTTGTCGGCGTAGCTCTTTTTCTTTGGTTTTCTAGCCTCTGGAGGTTCCTCAACAGTGTAAAACCAGGTATTTTTTTCGCAGAAAGCTATCGCCTCCTCACGCGAGTTGAATTTCAGACTTAAATTAGAGATAGGGTCACCAGTTGAAGCCCAACCCATTAAAGGATTTTCCCATCTTTCACGATTTTCAAAATCTAGATACAAAATAAAACAGTGAATGAAATGTGCGAAATAAATGAGAACATGGATAATATCAAAAATGAAATCGTACCTAATTTCCAAGTATGCATATTCTTAGTTCCTGATTGCATAGCATTTTTCGCTTCTTTGTAAATCCGAGCTCTTCTCGAAGTACTATGCTCTTCAGGCATCCCAGTCACCTTAGAAATATCAACAGGCGAAATGTCGGAGGTTATACTCGAGCCACGAACCAGATGTTTTCGTCGTTCATCCTCATGTAACACAATGTTAGTATCAATAGCGATAACATCATCGACAGGTTTTAGTTCTTTTCCAGCAACTTTAATAGGTTTGTTGGTGGACATCAATCGTCTTTAAAATTAAATCAGATGAGATATTAGCTAAATGATGTCGATATGAATAACAAATACACTTATTACCTGAGTGTTGGTAGTGAAGACACTCTAAAAAGAGTGGTAGCCATCGTAAATTGGATGAATCTCAACAAAACAGATGAACCTAAAAGCATAAAATAAAAACATGAGAAGTAAATAAGATTGACTCCAAAAGTAGGCCTACGAATCCCATGAAATGAAAAAGAAAATGTAACCAACAAGAATAGTCACGTTACAAATTTACCTATGAGCCAAATAAATTAGTGATTAACCATTAATTAATCACAAAATAAAACAATCAGACACAAAAAGTTGAGATTAGTTGATCATTCAATTTTACTATTGAAGGACAAATACTGTCTGTTGTCATAAGAAAAAAAAACATTGAAAATGAATCGATTAATCGAAACTTTTCGATTTATTTACTGGAACAAAATGAATATGAAACAAGATTAGGTACTTTGTTCCCTCAAAGGTAGCCCCCAGACCCGAGTTAAATAAAAATGCGAACATGTTGCCATCTAGATTAAAACTATATCATGACGCGGTTTTTTTGTAAATAATTATAATATTAATCATAATGATGTCTAATCAATTTGAATAATAAATCTAGCTATTGATACTGTTGGATTCTTTTCCTTTCAGATTTAATTTCCAATCTAGTACTTCCGGGTAGAGGAGGTGGATCCACATGTTCTCTGGGTAACCAGCTCTACTTTCTATACATTCTATAATATAAGGCATTATATAATGTATAATTTTAGATTTAAATATACATTCTATAATGCCTTATATTATAGAATGTATGATATCATTACTACTAGAATGTATGATAATATAAATGTAAATAAACTAAATAAAGATATTATACAAATAATAATTATTGTTCAATTAATTTATTAATTGAATCCAACATATTGTGCATATGAGCAATTGGATTTATGGGGGTTACAGATATAATATTAGATTTAATCTCAGGATTAAAATTCTCAAGCGTACACCTTATACGGAATTGATACTTTTTAAATAATATTGTTTCAACAATTGAATCAATCTTTGATTCTTCATTAGATGTAGCAGATATAATCTCATTAATACTCATGCCGATAAGCTTTTCAGCTTCTTCAGTAAATGCAGAAACCCATACAGATTTAGTTGAATCTGCGATACATAGTTTGATGATAATCCGATCTTCACCTTTTATAATTTTTTTGTTGCATTTCCCGCATCTGTAATAACCATCCTCTAGTTCGATTAACTTTTTTTTACAAGACCCTAAACAAGACATATAAGAAACTGTTTTCCCAATTTGTATAACTGTTGCAATACAATTAAGAATTAACATCGAATTTGCACTGATCGCAACATTCGATCTTGTAATTGCATCCAAATTGTGTAGTGTGGTATCACTATTCCGACCAAACGCCGTTGTTAAACTTTCACTTTTGAGTTGTCGACCCGCAGTAACAAACCATTTAGTAAGTTCATCAGCTTCAGAATTTTTTGGATCAACATCTACAACAGTTGAAGCAATTGTTGTCAAACTTCTACCTCCATAATTAGATAAACGAGCCTTTTTAACAATGACAATAGAACCAGTTTCACCATTAAAATTTTCAGCATCTTTGTTCCATAAAGTAAAATTAATTTCCATTTTGGAATCGTCAACCAAAGAAATATCTCGTTTTTTTAAATCTTTCCCAAATTTTGTTGAACTAACAGTTGCCAAATTACCAGCATTTTTACATACACCAATAACATCAACCACAGATTCTAAATCCATATTCTGCAGATTACTAATCTTAACAAAATCAAATTGAATTTTAGGACATCCAGTATCATTGTTGTTATCCAATTTAATTATACTGCCAGGATGTAAGACTAATTCAAAGTCATGCTTGGTATCAGAATATTTCTTGTTGCTTTCTTTAACATTACAATTTCCAACAAAATAAATCTTTCCGAAATGTACAATATCAAAATATTTGTCACAATCTCCACGAAATGCTGTTATTTTTATGTCGCAAGATTCATCAGTCAGATTAAATGTGAATAATTTGCCAGATCCATTACTATTATTCCAAGTTCTAATAGTACTTTTATGTGTTACTCTACCACGTATAGTCCAATTCTTTATATACTGATTAATTGAAGAAATGGGAACAGTAATCTGGCCTGTGTTCCTGCGTTCTTGTGTATCATCTAACCCATGTGTAGAAATACCAGCCTCTAATAAATCCAGCGCACTAATATTTGATTTTTTGCCATATTGCAATGAAACTGGACCGCCAATAATTTCATTAACAGAAGATCCAGAAACCACGAGCTTAGCACCTGTTACAACTATTATGACATTATCACAATTATTAGTTTCCATCAATTTATAAGTACTAATAACACTAATAATTAACTAGAACTGGAATTATTAATTAGACTCTACTGCACTCTAGGGACGTAAAACGGCACTCTAAGAATCTCCATAAACCCCACTAAATTTAAATAGTAAAATGTATAATATATTAACTATAATATAATGTAAATAAAAAATTGAACTGATTTAATGTCATAAACATTAATAAACTTGGGTGAAAACACATAAACTGAATGATCTGCTGAAAATTTGCACAATAATGTATCTCTTTCCATGTCGTTGTCGTTGTGTTTTATTTAACGAAAACGAAAGATTTTATTCTTACATTCTATAATCTTTAGAATGTATTATACAACATATTGTCATCACGCTAACGCATTAAACTTCAGTTCAAGAAAGAAAACCGATTAATTATCCAACCATCATATTGTAAATCTAATCTTGATAATAACATCATGTCTGATTAATTAAAACTAAATTACAATTTAGATTCTTCTCAAATCAAATTGCTGTGATATAAGCGAGTTGATTAAACTCACATCATGTAAACCCGAGTAAACATGAAAAATACATTTGAAGAAGCAGATGGTGTTACAATTTAAAACTCTGGTTGCCCGAAATTGTTGTTTAATTTTAACCTTATCCATTTTATTCCATTCACAATTCAATTGCTGACAAATGTATGTAATAATAAATGCCTTTAGCCAATAAGTTAATAATAGAATGTATGTAAAGGTATAGCGCAGTCTTCGAATGTACGTTAATATGTTAGAATGTATGATAATAATGTATGTAAGGTATAGCGCAGTCTTCGAATGTACGTTAAGATGTTAGAATGTATGATCTATGTCCATGATAGAATGTAAGTATTTCGTGATATTAGAATGTATAGATTTCGTTATATCAGAATGTATAGTTGAACAAAGGTAATTCTTTCTTTACTGCAATATAATATACTTACATTATATAATATACTTATATACATATCTTTTAGAATACATTCTACCCATTATAGAATGTAAATGTCAAAATAGATTTATACATATACATGAACTGCAATGATAGATATCAAACCTGAATTTACCTTACACAAAATACATTTAATATAAATTAATTCCAACTTAACAAATTACTTAATATTTAAATCCAATCAATGTCACCCAATAAATCAGTAGCAGGAATCTAATTATCTTCATTCAATACGGTTCTTGCTTTTTTTAGTTTGATGATCTTGAGTGATGACGATACACTAGGAAATCATGATAAATCTTTTCCAACATCATCTGTATCACCATCCGAAGAAGAATCTGTTGAATAAAATTCGACAGATTCAACAGATTTAGCTTTACGTGACTTTACACTTTCCTTGTCTATGTTAAACGTAGAGTCTATTCCGCTGATTTTTGGTATCATGTCATTAGGACATGCACAAAAATGACTTTTCAAAGCCCATTCATTTTCAAATGTGCGACCACATTCAGTTTTTTGGCATTTAAATCTTTTGAGAATTAATGTTGGTAATACTGTTTGTTCTTGTACCAAGCTGGAAGACGATTGCGAAGAGCCAATTGGTGGGGCGAGTGTAATTAAATTTTCGTCCTCTGCATCAAGTATACCTTCAATAACACGCTGTAGGTCACCCTCTGTATCTTCTGTTAAAGTTGATTCAGCATTCCCTTGGCTATCGTGTTTGGCAAAGCAATTGTCCTTTTCAGCTTTTGTAAAATAAGCAACTGAACACTTATCACATTCAATTAATCCATGAGTTAACGTTTGGTGCACAATGAGTTTGTGATGTTGGGTAAACATGTACTTACAATCAAAAAAACAACACTGAAATATCATTACACCGGCTTTCGAAATTTTTTTAAAGGTTGGTAAAGATGTAATTAATCTAGTCGGACACCTTGCCGCTCGCTCAGAGCGGTATGGTTTGACACCATGTTTTGAAATTTTATTTGTTAAAATTGAATACATTTTGATTTAACTTAACTGTAAACTTGAAAAAATGAAAGAAAAAGAAGGAAGCGAGATGTTTTGTTCAACTACTTAAACAAAAATGATGTGTACTAGATGACGCAAACTGAGAAAAAAACATCATTTTTGTTTAGTAGTGCATATTGCACAATTTAATTTTTTTAACATATAATGTTGTCTTGTATGTTATAATGTATATTATAAAATAAATAAAATATAAATTATTTGAAAAAACCGCGTGAAATAGTAGCTGTAGGTGACATTGCCACTATTTTATGTGCAAAGAGACTAAAAAGAAAGAGAAAACGATTTAACACAAAAAATGCCAAAAAAACAACAAAAAGAGAAGATAAGGCTGTTTGAGCTACCATATCAATTTTAATGATAATTTAATGCAGTCAATACTACAAATTAATCTAATCACTCTGACTGAATGCATAATGCCCCTCATCCCCTTCGGGTCTGGGGGGAATAATAATTAAAATTAAAATTAGATAAAAATGAAAAATAGTATTTAAACGTAAATCCTTTGAATTTATATGCAAATCTTTCCTTTATTGACCATTGATTAATTTATTTCAATCACACGACTGATCAACATGATCGACAACTCAATCAAGATAAACTTCAGCATTACATTAATTACTATTTCCTATTAAAATCTATTTTTGGTTGATTTATCATAATGAAAATATATTTTAATATAATGTCCAACTCAATAAAAATGATGCTTTCCCAATAATCAAAGTAAATTCAAGGTTGAAACAGATGATTACATGACTGAAGTCCATTTTATTAATGAAAATGTTTGACCAAAGAAACCTTATTAGCTTGAATTAGTTTACAAATTTTCCAATTATAACTTAATCCAATACAATTTGTAGTTTCATTTGATTAAATTTTCAATTAAGTAATTATTCATAAAGGGAAAGTTGAATATAAAGTCAATAGTAAAGCTCAAGTCACAACCAGATGATCAACTGATTTGGCTGTTAACAGTTTAACATTTAACATTGTTAGTTGTATTACTGTAATTATTACTGTAATAACTGTGTTAAGTTTATTTAATCAAAGAATGAAATCAATTGTGTTAACAATATTAATTATTATTTTGATTGCAACTCAAAAATTGGTAAATAAAATTGGATCAATAGTCTGTTACCAGTTTCTGATCACTTTTTTTCTGGTTTTCAGGTTCACCCAAAGCCTTATGAGATGAAACAAAACAATTGGAGTCGCAAACAAATTAAAGGTATGAATTTAATCCATTTTAGTCAATCTAAATCAACTTGATTATCATCCCAATTTGTGAATCTTCATTTGATTGTTTGTTAATTTTCCCATTAAATCTTCAGATTCTCTTCATTCAATCAACAACAAACAAACCAAAATAATGCCATCTAATATCAACCAACAATTGAAGCGCAATCAAATTGACCCATTAAAAGGTTTAGTTGTGGGATAACAATGATAATCCATAATACATTTTGATTAACTCTTTAACTCACAATTTATTGAAATAAATTAAAATCATGTAAATGTCTTAAAATGTTAAATGAATAAACTGAACTTGATCCGAATCTAAAGTCTGAAAATTATACAGTCATGAAGATATCTAATCTTTTGACATTCTGTGATCTTCTTTGATGTTTCTGATAAATTTATTTGATTTCAATCATGAATGTCATTATTAAGTAGGACCTGTACTCGGATAATTGACACAACAACTTGAGCAACAATCAATTATGGATAGAAACACGTTAACACGCATCAGCAATCTATTAACTAATAACTGATCAAAGTCTGGATTGTGAAGTTTGAACTGAACTCATCTTGTGGTGAAAATGAGTTTTCACACCTTCTCATGATGATCTTACATCTTATAACAATTATGTTTATTAGCTGTTTATTCAAATAATAATATATTGATAGATTGAAATTTAGATTCTAGATTAAAATGTAATGTCAAATTTAGAAGCAAGTTTTAGTCTGGACATTAAAAATTTTCACCATAAATTAGAGCGTGTTATTGTTGTTCAATTTATCTCGTTTTTCTTTGAAATGTTATGAAAATAATGATAAAAAGAGTTAATTTTAGATTTATAATCAATGCAAAAATAAACAAAATTGATGAAAACATATAAACAAAATGTAACTGCAACAATCCAATAATAATTATGTTTTCCTCTTCTTTCTTTGCCCGGAAGCAAATGAAGTTATATTAAACATGATTGAACAACAAATTCAGCAAGTTAATCTTGTCAAGTTAAGTAAACCACAACAAAAGTTGTTGATTAGTGGATTCAGTTAATTCAGGATAAAGCTCTTTCTTTCTATGTGATATTTCGCTTGTTAGTTAAAATTAAATCGTTAGTCAATTTGACAATATCAATTAATTGATGATTGAAATTCAAAAAAATGATAAATAAACACAATTTGATAAACATTATGTTAAATAAAGGTATGATTTTATGTGTTTTGCCGGAGCAAAGAGTGAGAGAAAGAAAGAGATAACCAGAAACCCTTGGGTAAATTAACTAATTTCACGTCCTTGTGTTTAAATTTGGTCTTTTTTTAGCGCAAAGAAACACGTAAAATAATGAGTAAGATCAGAATCAATTTGATTAGTTGAAGCCTGCAGGAAGCCTTTCCGAGCGAGGACATTCTGAGATTGGAAGACAGAGGAAAAGAGAGGAGAAACCAGAGTCAAGTAAGAGAAGAGGATGATCTGAAGATTTGGAAGGAGGAGGAAGGAAATACGGAATTAACAACACTTTTGTTACAAATTATAATAAACACTAATCTGGCTGGAAAACCTTCAGTTTAAAATGTCCAACCTTTTCCCACCTGGTTACGTTGATACCGGCTAGAAAACTGTAGATTATAAATCACCGATTCGATCATCATCGCAATTATTCAAGACAATAATCCATTTCAAGTTGTTTCATTTGGTCATTCATTGATCAATCCAATTTCAGCTATTAATTGCAGTGCCATAATTGTCATTGTTTAAACCTTTTTCATTTAGTTTCTTTCAGTGTGATCAAGTGTGCAACAGTTAAAGATCAGCCTAAACGTTTCTAATTCAATATGGAAATGGAAAATTTAATGTTTGACCTTAAATTAACCACAATTAGTCCAGTTTCATTGAATAAACGTCTTATTGAATCTTGTGATCAACTTTTCCGTGTTTACCAGCAACTTTCATCTGTAGCTCCTTCTCTGGATTTCCCTGGAGTTCATGCCAATGGTATACGATCTCTATGCAGCATCATTGATAAATTTGCTTCCATGATACGGCAAAATCTTGATAAAGAAACCATTCCGTTTGAACAAATTATTGATGTGATTGAACTTTTTGGTGGCATGGGTGAAGTGGTATTGAAACAGAGACGTATTGAAATTGAGACAAAAAATGACTCCAACCAATTGGTAGATGATTCAGTGTTTCTCCGAGATGTTACAGTTTGGTGGAACTTTTGCAAATCAAATCAGTCAAGATTGACAACATACTTTGAAAAATTTACACTCTTTTTTATTGAACCAGAGATTCGATTGTTCATTTCATTGATTGGTAAGTCGTTTGGTTTCCTTTCATCCACTCCAGCTTTATTTGGTTCGCTTGTGTCCTCATCAGTCAATGGCGCTGCACTTTCTTCACTAACCTACAAAGGTAGTCTCTATTATCCTCTTCGAACTTGGAGTTTATTTGATAATCCTGTCGTAAATTCGGTTGCATCATGGCAAGCGTCTAAATACTCCGTCCAAGCAACAACGGTTTTCATACCTCGACAGGACAAGTGGTTTATTCCCAGTGACGGATCACCAACACAGTCTAAATCAATTTTCTCAACATCCAATGATAGTTCAACATTTGTAGACAAAAAAATTCGCTGCCGTCTTTTACAATCGAAAATTCATCAACCCAATGGTAAATTGGTCTTGCATATAGCTGGAGGTGGTTTTGTCATGTTTAAACCAGAGGCAAGTGAAGGAGCCTATTTACAATATTGGGTTAGCCATCTCGATGGGACTACGTTTCTATCCGTTGATTATACCAAACTTGTAACTTATCCAATAGCATTCCAAGAGGTACTTGATGTTTATCTTTGGGCCATTGGATTGAGCAATGCAGATCAATGTACACCAGAATCTGTTTTAGGTTTCAAGCCATCAAAGGTTGTTTTATGCGGTGATTCAGCTGGAAGTCACCTAGCTTTCTCTATTCTTCGTTCTCTTCATGATATCCAAGCAAATTCACCTCAAGGACCAAGAATACCTTTCCCTACAGGTTTTGTCAGCTTCTATACCAATATGTCAGTTGATAAAATTCAAACATCATTGAGTTTATCTTGCTTTGAATTAGCTCTTACACCGAGTGTTTTACTTTCAATTTATGGTTTGCTTGCTTCAGGATTCGTACTTGATGAAGATATTCATGAAATTGATGACCAAACGTCAGTTGATCAAAGTCATTATTCCCAACCAGACTTTAAGAGAGATAATATTCGAACCTGGTTTCGACACGGATCAAATTGGTTCGATTGTGATCCAAAAGAATTGTCTAAAAGGTTACAAAAAATAAGTAAAAATACATCTAAAGCATATTTAAAACCTCTGACTAGCAACGATATTGACTTACTAGCTGAAATTCCTCTGTATTTGGTTATCGGTGAATATGACTTTTTCCTTGATGGATCGGTTAATCTTGCCAAGGCTTGGAAAGGCTCAGTTACATTGGATGTGGTTAAAAACCTGGGCCACGGATTTCTCAGCTATTCAAAAATTTCAGCCCAAGCTCGGAAAGGATGTGATATTGGTTTAAAAAGATTACGCCAAGCCCTTGAACTGCCAGAAAATTAACTCAGCAACATACCACAAATTCAATGATCTCAATGGTTGATGGGATAGCTTTTCTCATCTGTGATCCTTTTTTATCTTTGCATTATCGATCAACGGTCAAGAAAGTATTAAAAAGACCACTATCCTGCCAACTAATCCAATGTCCAATTCCTGACTGGCTGTATATTAAGCTTGTCACGTTTTAAGTCGTTCATTATCCTCTTCCAGTGACAAGCATCATGCTTTTGAAATCTTTCCATATAATCTATTTAGCCAAATAATTGTCCATGAATGGCAGAAAAACACCAATGCTGTTTTCATAAGGTCAATCGAGCTTCCACCAAATGGACCTTGGACAAGCTGCAAATTCAAGTGTACCTTACAAAATTACTGTATCAATAGAAATATTTCTTCCAAACATTTTGACTTCTTCGGTGATAAAGGATTATCGTTCAGTGAATCGTTTCCAGGAATGAAGGATCGCCAAAATATTGTATTCCAATGGAAACCAAGAAAAAAGATTAGCTAGTCAAACAATATCTTCAGACGGATTCCAAATGCGTAAAGAGAGCAGTAAAAGATACAGTATCACGAGAACTAAAACAGCATGTAAATAAAATAGGAAATTACATGACACTATTTATACAATAAATTGTAAAAAACATTAAATATTAACAATTAAAAAATTTGACAAAAATAAGATTTATAACACCAAAGGAAAGTATTGTTTACAAAAGGCAGAATAGTAACGGTGCTATGTAATTGGTTGAAATAAATCGCGCGAACTGATTCAAATTTAACTCTATTCTAAAAATAAATTCTTTCATCATATTGATTGTCAAGGATAATCAAGGAAGCCTTAATTTAAAATTATTGAAAATCTTACAAATAATATTATGAATAAGTCCTTGTTTTGAAAACAACCTCAAGCTATTTGTTTGTTACAGGTAAACAATTTAAGATTATGTTAAATGATCAACTCGTTCAGTTTATTTTTTAACTTTAAATCCAGCAAACCATTTTAACTTATAGAAAAAGTATCAATCAAGAATTAACTGTACATTTAACTGACCATGACTCGCCCAACGGTCACTTTTCATTTCTTTATTGTTGATTAAAAGCTGCCATTATAATAGAGTAACTTACCAGAACAAGGTCAAGCTTAACAGGTTAACAACAATCACAATGTTCATCTTATACCTTCAATTGAAATAATTGCCATATAAGTAAAGCTATAGATCTGCAAAAAAAATAAGAATCAAAAATTGAACTCAAATATCTGCACCAATTTATCATTTGTTGATCAACCTTAAGCTCAGGTGTAGTCATATTTTACATGATATTTTACATTACATACTCATCAAAAGCGATAGTCATCGATTGATAATCATCAAAGCAAAACCATGATCGACACAAATATCATTAGCATACAACTAAATCATCATTACCATGTTAATAAGCATGAAGTTACAGACTTGTTCTCATATAAAAAAGAAACAAGAGAAACATGTTAACAATGTTTTACACGAGATGGCTTCCCTTTCAGATTACACAATAGAGCGTTTGATTCCCTCTCTTTTTTATGTTGGTTTTAAAGAAAGCTAAAATTTCTTTCAACGCACAATTGATCAAATTGTTTGATTTAGTTTATTTGTTAAATAGTATTGTATTATTCAAGTGTCTGCATTATTTAAGTGAAACTCTTACATCATTAATGAAAGGTAAGTTATAATGATATCAAATTCGCCTAAACTTCTATCAATCTTTTCGTCAAGTGAAACAATATTTTCTCACAAGCTTTTTTTTCTTTCTCTTCTTCTTGACAACTTTTCAGTTAAACACAAACGCACACACATTCAGATATCAACTGATCCCTCTTACAATGCGGACTCTTGGTTTTCATCATCATCATCATTCTCTTTTTCTCAACTTCAATAATTCCTTCCAAGTTGAAACTGGTTTATCTTGAATCAAAGAGAGAATCTGGTTTGACTTAGGGTGTAACATATCAATGCCCCTTACCTTTTTACTTTTGTACCTGCAACAACTAACCTCTTCTCTTCTTATCGCTTTCTCCCTCCTACTTTATCTTCCTCTTCTTTCTTAAACATCTACTTCTCATTTGTTGTGGATCAAGATGATGATTATAATTTTTATAAGATGATGTGGTCACTTACCTAACCTGACCTCAGACATTCTTTACCTGACAATATCTCTTCCGTCTATTTATTTATTTATTTATTTATTTTTATACACAGAGATTCCGTCTTCAACTTTAATTTGCGTCTATTTTGTGCTATTTCACACTGGATATCATTACAACTTATCAAACTGGATTCCAAAATTGTATCATGTGGATTTAAAACCTTTTAAAGTGTTCAAAATGACCTCTGACTTTCTTAGCATTGTTTTATGATGACTTGACGTTATCATTATTTATGTTCTGGTCAGAAACGTTTACTTCATAATTTTTTATTCTCTGGTCAAGTTATGTTATTTTAAATTTAATTACCATGGATTATCACATCACCAATCAATTGGTTATCCATAGAAATATGTTAACATGGCTATCATTTAATAAACTTGTTTATTTCATCAGTGCCATTTTAATCACCTTTGGTCAAGGTAAGAAAAATTTTGTAACATATTCTCTACTTTTTATTATACCAAGTTTCACTTTTATCATCTAATGTACTTAGCAGTTTAATGTGTAGTGTTGATTATGTTGACAGTTTTTCAGTCCAATGATTAACCTAGCGATGATAATAAGCCACGGATAGGTGACTTATTTACATACTTAACAAAATTTATTTTAATATTTACTATTTAGTAAGATAAAGATGTTAATAACATTGATTTAACTCACGCAAATTGAGGTTTTCAGGATGGGTGATGATAGTACATGGGTGAGTTAATCATTAACTCACTTGACAACAAACAATGTAACCCATCTAAAATCCTAATTCATATTAATCCATTTGAATTGTAATCATTTGTATGACTACACAACCATCAAAAATTCACGGCAAAGAAAGACATAATTCAAATTAAATTGTTTGTCGCTTGGTTGACGTTGAAATGGACTCTTATTTTTGAAGCAATCCATCAAAACTGGTCATTACAGTGAGAAATTAAGAACTTTATTAATTAGTATTTAATGGTTAGATCTTAACAATTCCTCATTCCTGAATATCACTTCATACATGTAATTGCATCTGAACCTACTTTTTTGTTCAGTATCCATAACGTGATACTGTTTAGCATTTGACCCTTCAATTGATTAATTGATAGCCAACCAATTTCGGTTCAGCATTGACCAATCAGTCAATCTTATATTTAACATATGAAAAGGATTCAAGACTTGGAATTTTTTAAAAGTGCAATTATCAAAAATTTCGTTATGATCAACGATATGTTAGATGAACCAAATTATATGATATTGACTTACTAACATCTCAAGTAAAGAGATCTGGGTTTGTAGGATTAATCAAAAAAATCAAACAAAAAAGTGAATCAGTTACAATTGCAAGCTTGATTTAGAATCAGTGAGATATAATTGCGGCCATCATTTTTTATTTGAACCTTATTTTCTATCCTTTTCATTCTTCAACATTTTTTTGCTTTGTTAGTTTATTTAGCTTCAAAATAATACCTTTTGAGTTAAAACGAGTGGTAGTGATGAGCTCTACCTGATCGTGATCGAAGTGATTGTAGTCAATACTTAGAATTGTCTTTTGACCATCAATCAATGCAACACTTGAGTTGAAAATTTGTCAATCAAAAGTGAATAAAAAAATCCAAATTGGTTGTCAATTGTTACCTTAAATCGTTTTAGGTCATGAACAGATTTGCTTATCTTGGTCATCTGAAGATTGTGAGCATTTAATATTAAAATGTTACTAAAATCGGTTAAATTATAACAGGATTCCATTTATTGGTTCATAAAACTGAACTGTTTAGTTGGTTAAGTGTGAGTAAAGTCATCATGAAATCATTTATCATTTGTAATTAACTACTACATGAATATTTAAAAAAAAGTTGCACTTTGGTTTTGATGGAAAGATAAAATTTAATTGTTACAACCTCAATTTGAATTTCTATTTATGATGCACACAACCAGCATCGAATGATTTTCTTGTCAAAAGTCTAAAAGACAATTGAACTAAAAAAGAGTTTAATGACAAAACAAAAGAATTTAAAATATTTTAATTTGCAAAGCTTCAGTCTTAATAAAGATATTAATAGCCATGAATACAATCATCTAATTATTAAAATCTTTTTTTTTAGTCGCCAATGGACAAAAGGCCACTTTTTTACCTGGTGGAGATATGTTTGGCTTCACAATCCCGGAAAGTACAAAAGTAGGATCCGTTGTATATCAGCTGAAAGCTAGTAATCCAGGTCGAGGTCGATTATCATATTATATATCTGGAGATTCATTCAGTGTTGCCAAAGATTCTGGTGCTGTAACGTTGATTCGTCCTCTTGATAGAGAAACTGAATCTACATTGGATGTTATCATTACAATTGTCGACGACTCATCCACTGGAAGCACTCTATCAATTAAACGTGAAATTAAAGTAGCTGATGATAATGACAATCATCCTGTTTGGCAAGGCGCACCTTATAAATTTGCAATCAGTGAATCTACTAAATTATTCACCACCGTAATTGAAGGAATTCAAGTGACTGATGCTGATGCTGGAAGAAATGCACAAATTGAAGTTTCCTGTGACCAACGAGTTACTCCTGAAGCTTGTTCCATGTTCAATGTTCGTAGTTCACTAATTAATCAAGATGGTGGACTTTATTCAGTTTCCATTAGTCTCAAAGGAATTCCACTAAATTATGAGCTAACTTCTGTTTACAACTTAGCTTTAATTGCTGTCGATACTGGAGGATTGCGTTCTTCAACAAATGTTACTATTGCGGTTGTTGATGTTCAAGATGAACCTCCTAAATTTTTGAATGGACCCTATTCCATAACTGTAAATGAATCAACACCTTCTGGAAGTTCAGTTTTAACAATTATTGTTCGTGATGGAGATAATTCACCTTCTATTCGTCGCGATATTCAATTGGAAATTGTTGATGATAAGAAAAAGTATTTCACTCTATCACGGATAGATAGTGATTCTTGGTCACTATTGACTTCGAATATCTTGATGGATCGAGAGGATCCAGAAATTCTTCTCGCAGGTGGTATTTATAGTTGCACTTTACGTGCCACTGAGTTGGTTCCAGTAACAGGGCATTCATCTGTAACTTTTGGTGCTATCTCATCGACCAATGTCACTGTTGTCATTCAAGATATCAATGATCAAGAGCCAAGATTCAATTTAGACAGAGTAATGTTGGAAGTTTCGGAAGACATTACTAATGGATCTGCTGTTCCATCTCTCAACTTGATTGTTTCTGATCCAGACGCAGGCCATAACGCAAAATTTACCCTTTCCATTGAAGATCTTGATGAAAATAATCCTGCTTCTCAGGTTTTCACGGTCTCACCTAGTCTAGCCATGGGAAGAACTCCGGTTATATTAAAAGTTATAAATTCAGATGGACTGGACTTTGAGAATCCGACAAAACGAACCTTCCTTTTCAACATAGTCGCAGCCCAAGAAAATATCAGATCCGTCGCTTTCATTAACTTGACCTTAGTAGACGCCAATGATAATCAACCGATTTTTAATCAGGCAGAGTATTTTGCCCGCGTCAAAGAAAATGAAAACCCTGGTAAAATTTTTTATTCCATCTCAGCATACGATGCTGATTCTGGTGCATTTGGACGAATCACATATTCTTTAAAAGGTTTTGGGTCGGACAAATTTTCTATCGACTCAGAATCAGGAGAAATATCTGTCGCGGATTGCTCACCTGAAACTGCCAAATCATATTCAGGCTCTGGATTAAACAAAGATATTGAATGTTTGGATTACGAAGCTCAGCCTAGTTACTCTTTGCGTGTTGAAGCAACTGATGGAGGTGGTAAAAGATCCACAGCTAATCTCCATGTAGAAATTGTTGATATCAATGATAATGTGCCAAAATTTCTTCGAGCTTTATATGTTCGAGAACTGAATGAAAAAGACGTAACTATTTATCCACCTTTAATCCTTCGTGCAACTGATGAGGATGGGCCAACTCAGGGTGGAACTAATGGTATTCGCTATCGTGTCAAGTGGACAAATTTAACAGGCTTGGCTATCGACCCTATTTCCGGTGATGTTAAGTTGACTCAATCAATTCATGCCAATTTTACCCGCAACCGAGAAACCGGTTTGCGGAAAAAGCTTAATTATGAAGCAATTATTGAAGCAGTTGATGGAGGAGATCCGCCATTATCAGCTGAAGCTGTTATACAAATTTATGTCCGGTCAGCGCGAGACGGAGAGCCTTTGTTCATCAATGAACCTTTCAACGCTACTGTTAAAGAAAATGCTGATCCTGGAACTGTAGTGATAACTGTTAAAGCTACCGATCCTGACGGTCCTGACTCTAAACTTAGATATTCACTAATTGCAGGAGCCAAGGATAATTTCATTATTGACCCCAGTACTGGAGAAGTCAAAGTTAGCTCAGCGGCTAACCTTGATCGTGATCTCTATGGTAAAGAGTATAGTTTAACCGTTGCAGTCACCGATTCAGGCCATCCGATTCCATTGACATCGACTGCTCAGTTAACTGTCATCGTTGAAGATGTTAATAATAAAGCACCAAAATTTGGTAAAGATGGATACGTCATTTATTTATCCGATTCTCAATTTGCTCCAGGATATGAGATTATGACTGCAAGAGCAACTGATTCTGATTCTAATGCTAAAATACGTTATGATCTTGATCTTGAGAGAATCAAAGTCCGTGACAAAACTGGAGCATTAGTTGGTCGATCAGAGTACTTCAATAATCTATTAAAAATTGATCCTGTAACTGGAGTAATTCGTGTCAATGGCACTGTTGATTCGGAGAAAGCTTCCATAATTGTTGTTCCTGTGGTCGCTCATGATATCAATGGTGAACCTGATGATCAAAAAGCATTCACTGATTTGACAATATACATCCAATCTCATGGAGAGCGTAATCCTATTTTTATCCCACCCTGGACTCCATCTGAGCCAACTTATGAAATCAATCTTCCAGAAGAGACACTTATTGGCTCCACTGTTTTCACTTTAGCAGCACGGAATCCATTAACTGGTAAACCAATCACTAATTTCAAAAAAATTGATTCAACTGATCCTGAAGGATACTTCTCTGTCAACAAATTGACGGGCGTAATAACACTCAATAAAAGGATAGATTATGAATCATTGGTGGTTAAGCAAATCAAGTTTTCAGTTGAAGCCGTTGGACAACCTGATAAAAACACCGAAGAATATCTCGGTGGTGAAAAATTCACGTCCATTGCTAACATATTGGTCTCTGTATCCGATATAAACGACAATTCACCTGTTTTCCTGCAAGATGTCTACCGTGCTTCTATAATAGAAACTGCTAAATGGCCTCAGATTGTACTGACTGTTTCAGCTACGGATCGTGACTCTGGTAGTTTTGGCGAGATTGGTTATTCGTTGTCTGGTGATGGTTCGGATATGTTTGAGATTGGAAATCGAAGTGGCATATTGAGGATAAGACAAGGGGCTAACCTTGATCGTGAAAGTAAAGCAAACTACAATCTACAAGTGACAGCTTTTGACAATTTCCGTGATAATGAAGATAGTAGTGAAGTGAATGGTGAAAGAAATTCAGCCACCAGTGAGACACGGTCAAATGGAGGGTTCAGAGGAATTGTTAGGAAGACAACAGTCTCCATTACAATTGAATTAATTGATGTAAATGATAATTCGCCAAAATTTTCGCATGATTTGTATGAAGTCATTGTTCCAGAAAGTGCTCCTGTTGGTTCCCGGGCTGGTTCGGTAATGGCTATTGATCCTGATGAAGGAAGAAATGGCGAGGTTCATTATGAAATATCATTTCTTGAAAATTTTCCTGATCCAAGGGAAGAATTATTTATAATTGATCGTTCAACTGGAGAACTGTTTGTTAATAAATCATTATCTGGTAAAGGAAGATCAGAACCTTATTTGATACATATTACTGCCCGTGATTCTGGAAGAGAACCATTCACTTCACATACTAAATTTTCAATTATTATCGGTGATGTTGCCGCAAACGATGGTATACCAAAGTTTGTTAGGCCAACTGAAGATGAGATAATTTATCTTACTGAGAATACCAAACCAGGAACTTTAGTTTACACAGTATCTGCCGTTGATGCAGATAATAACAATAGTCCGAATGGAAGAGTAATGTACAAGTTTGCGGAGCCCTCGCCGTACTTTGACATCGATTCTACTCGCGGAACCATCGTTACATCAAGAAATGTTGGTAAAACTGTGTTTCTTGACCGAGAAAAGCAAGAAAATTTCACTTTAATTCTGTAAGTATTGATCTGAGCTTTCCGCAATTGCATTTAATTTACTCAGCATCTGATTGGGCGATGGATCCGGATGAAACTGCAATTACAATAATCAAGAATCTTTACTTAATTCTTTAATCAAGATTAGTTGAACATCCGAGCATTTAAATTTTAACATTTAACTCAGTGTTTAGTTTGATTACTTTAATGACAGTTGATGCGAAGGTGAAAACAATTAACCCCTAAATATAATAAGCTATAGAGTGATCAATTTAGATGAATAATGTGATAAAAATAAAAAAACCGTTAATATAACAGAGTTCATCGATACTGTATTGGAAAAATTTAAATTTTGAGTTATTTTCGATATAATTCAACCCATTTATATTAATTTGAATGGGCTGGTAATATTGACAACCCAATTAAGTAAGGTTAGAGTTTTATGACAACTAATTAGAGAATACTTTTCAGTTTTATCAAACGAAAGGAGCTTTTCTTGACCCTTTTTGTGCCAATGTATGCTGCGAAAGACAAAATAAATCGAAAAGATCAGAATAAGACGCGTGGAAAATATAAAATAATAGTTCTAAATTTTGTTGGATTTTAATATGTGTTGCATTAATGATATTTTTTTGGAACAAAAAGGCACTTTTCCTCTATAGTGCAATCAAGATTTGCAATTTATTAAACTATTATCTAGTCTATTAGCTAAACAATTATTGAAACTTACTGCTGACGCCTTTTCACTCGTTTTTCAGGTTTCTTTCACTTTTCCTGAATTATCAATCACAATAAAGTAGAATCAAACAGGTTTTTCTTTATTCAAACATCTAAATTAAGTCCATCTAAATGCCATTTTTACTGAATTGATTGGAGCTATTCTATTAATTCTAACGACAATCGAACGTTAACATTATTAGGTTTGTAAAACAATAGGCGTAGTGTCCCAATTATGCGTTAGCTTAGATGAGAGAAATGAGACCCGTTTTTTTAAATTGAGAGTAATTGCTAAATTTCTTTGAATTTTTCATTAAATTTATTGATCATCATTTTTTCAGAGTCGCCTTTGATCTTGGAAATCCACCTCAAGAATCTCAAAGAATCATGATTATCCGATTAAATGACACAGACGACAATACACCCCATTTCAATCGAGTTCCTGGTGATTCTCCCATGATCTGGGAAATTGATGAAGAGATTCCAGTCGGTTCTTTGGTTGGAACTTTAAAGGCCATCGACGATGACATTGGACAAAATGCATTGATAAACTATTTTATTATCTATGAATCCATAGAAGGAGCAATCATTATAGAAACTCGTGATAACATGGGATTAATAAAGGTTGCTAAACGTTTAGACAGAGAAGAAATTGAATCAATCAGTTTAGTCGTTCAAGCTCGACCGGCATCAAAATACAGGAAACTTGACCAGCGTAAAAGTTCAGCTTACAATCCAAATGATCTTAGTCAAGTAGAAGTAAAAATTATTTTGAAAGACATCGACGATAATCCACCTAAGTTCAACCAAGACTACTTTTTAACCGGCATTCGCTGGGATACTCCCGTCCATAGTGACTTGCTAACTTTCAGTGCAATAGATCCAGACCCATCCGATAGTCTTGATCGAGGTAACATGATTGAATACTCGATTAGCGAAGCAAAATTTGTCAATGGAAATAAAATCACTAATAACATGTCCCATGTTTTTGATCTCGGTCGGACAAACGGGAGACTACAAAATGACATGATGCTTAAATCATTTGTTGGGGGATATTTCCTGCTCACAGTGCAAGCAATTTCAACCAATCCCGCCAAAAGTAAAGCAAAGCGTGAATCTCGTCAAATTTCATCTGTGCCTGTTCGTATATTAATTATACGTGAGAAAGATTTTGTCAAATTTGTGTTCAACAAAAGTCCAAATACTGTTGAGTCAAATTTGAATGAACTTAAAAATGATCTGGAAAAGGCTTTGGAACCATTAAGCTTGAAATGGTCATTCAATTTCCAGGAAGCACATTTCCATGAACGAAAAGACGGTTCTCTTGATTTTGAGGCTACATCTGCATGTTTCCAAATACTAGATGCACCAATCAACTTTTTAAATGATCCAGAAGCTCAACATGGAGCTATTGTTAGTTACAAAGACGCTCTGAAATCTCTGAAAAATAATTCATTTTCTCAATTGAAACAAATTTATTCTAATTATGGAATCGTTTCCATCGAGGAATGCATAAAACCTTCAAGCCAACCGCTACTTTCCAGGCAACAGCTTGGAATCGTTTTAGTTGCCATATTTATTGCTTGTTGCACACTATTATTAACTCTCATGGCCTTAAACATGAGATCTGATCTTAAACGAAAATTGAATACTGTTTCTAATTGTGTTGGGATAGCCAGTCAATCCCAAATCGGTTCCATGCTGGGCCCCCATTTGGTGGTTCCAGGTCAACCTCCTTTTAAACCCGCTCCTTTTCTCAATATTCCCAAGTAAGTGAAATAGTTTATATCTTTCGATGATACACTCAACTATTGTAACAATTATAAGAATTTTTGAATTTAATTTGCATTCAATCTTTTCTTTTTCAATCTACAGCCAAGAAAGGATCTATGAATGGCAAGAAACAATGAACCCACAGTTGGACGCTTTATCCGCTCGAAGTTTTCCCACGTTAAGGTGATAATTTAGTTACATGGGATTTGCAATTTTCATCTCACATTTTCTGTACCCGCAAGGTTATGGATACTCATCACTCTCATCATCATTTTTAAATTATTGTTCATTTTTTAGTGACAAAACCTTATTTTAAAATTAAACTTATTAGTAATAAATCTACTGTAAAAGCAATTATTATACGCGAAGAACGTAATTTGAAATATTTAAATTGTGATAAGGTTAACACAATAACCAAAATTCATTAATTATTTCATATCAACTTGTATGCAATCATTTCTATTTATTTGCTTCATACAATATATAAAGTCAAAAAGAAATTTTTGCGGGAAAATTGTGATCAAAATGAACGGGTTCTAGAGAAAAATTTCACATAACATGAAAACCAAATTAAACTACAATCACGAAAAATTGTCAGAGCTTATTCAAATCCAGTTTACTGAAAAATTAGCGTTTAAACAAGGTGGAGGAAGAATGACAATCCGTATTGCAAACCGTTGACTTAAGAGATAAAACTTGTTTTTATATTTACGTTGATGGTTTATTATTCTTTCACATGTAAAACAGTCTTTCGAGTAAAAAGTTTGGCGAAAAATCTGTTGTCTCAACTGCATAAAAATAGATCCAAGTTCAACTTTGAACCCAAAGTGTGTCAATCAGAGAAACTTTTTATTCAACAAAATGCCCATGTAAAACCGTCTTTCGAGTAAAAAGTTTGCTGAAAAATCTGTTGTCAAAGAAAAGCTTACTTTATACCAAAATTATATGTTAATAAAGTAAAAAGCATGAAAATAAGACAATGTATAAAATATTTTAATATAAATATTTAATTTAAACAGCAATATTTGATAAGTTAGCTTCCTTATCTTCTGAAATGGATAATTTGGATCCCAAGTTGACTTCAGGCGCATCTACGATACTTTTACTTTGCACAAGTCTAATCCAACAGCTCACAGACAATGGATATAATACTGCAGCACCGACACACACCATGACAACACCAGGATGATCAGCAATTGTTGCACTAAATATTGTAGTGTAAAGGAAAACGGCTCCTAACCCAAAAAGAGTTTCAAGTGCCGTTGAAATGGTGAAAACTTGTGCCGATTCATTTGAAGGAATAGTGAAAACAATGAGACTACGAATTGCAACGCTTGCAATCCGTCCACATGAACCAATCACATACCCAGCAATGTAACCCCGAATCGACAAAAAGAGTCCTCTTATAGTGAAAAATGCAGCCAATGATAAAGATCCAAATATAGCGATACTCGAATCAGAAAGACCTAAATATTTAAGGATTGAAGGTGCAATTGAAGTGGCAATGGTTGGTGGTATGTAAACAAGGGTCAACATTGATGTATATGCATCTTCAGTCAGTCCATAAACTCGCTGAGCAAACTGATAGGCAATACCGTCTTCTCCTGAAATGGATGCATTACAAATGGCTCCTGATGTCAACAACAATATCAATCGAAGTCGACCCTGATTTGGTCTTTGCTTTGTAATCAAAAAAATGCACTCCTTAACTCGTGAAATGCGAAAAACATCACTAACAATTTGAGAAAGAGTAGCGTTTTCTTTTTCCGGTTTTTTCTCATAAGTAAAGGCTGGTTTCATCAAAATTGTGACCAACAATCCAAATAAATACAATGCCATACTAACAATGAGCACGCCAACATAGTTTTTCGATTGACCTGAAATCCAAGGACTCATGGCAAGCACCTTACCACTGGCATAACTCGAGCTTAGCATAGCTATCAAAAGTACAAATGGATCTCATTAGTTTTTCATTTTCATTTATTTTAGGCAGAAAAGCATTTTGGTTTTGTAAAAACGTATTGAAGGACTTGAGTTCAAAGCTATTGTATTGTAAACAAATTGTATTTATATTCTTGGACGCAATAAAATATACTTTAAACCTTTAAATTGTGTCGATTATTTTGATTAAAACAATCAATTGTAAAGTTAAATACAAACTTTAGAAATAAGTAAGTTATAATGAATTATAACAAGACCAAAACGACTTTACGACAAGACCAAAACCTTTTCTTACTGTAATTTTGTTTAAACTTACACATTTTGGCTAAAAATTCAAGCACACCAAATCTAACGATGACAAGATGGCTCGGAGTTCCCCATGTAGTTGAGGTATAAACAGCACTGAATAACAATGTGGTTCCTCCAGACAACGAGTAAGGACTATAAGCGACCAGTAAACCCCACCAAGCTATTGATCAATGAGTTTAACATTATTGAGATGAATCAATTTTAAACAACTTGCTGATTCAATTCGACTACTTACGAGTTTTAAATGCAAAAAGATTGATCAATAACAGGATAATCATACCAATACCTCCAATGAAGGGAACAATCATCATAAGTTTAAAGTATTTTGGATAATTTCCTAGCCAATAACCCATAAAAATGGACACAACTAAAGATGGAGCGTTGGTTACAAAATTTTGCCATCTTTTGAATGAATTGGCTGTTCGAAGTATCTCTTGAGTTTCACTAGAGTTTGCATGAGAAGCAAAGTTTCTGCAAAAATCTGGATCCAATTTAAGATCATTTAAACAAACTTTATCCTCCATCAGTTGTGTTACAACCAAACCTTGAAAAATAAAAGCACAGGCAAAGATGCAGGTCAAATAATCAAATTTGGTTAAATTTAAATAACTAAAAAAGGATTTGATATTCATTATGGAAAGTGTTCAATAAAAGAAGCTGCGACAATAAAATTCAGGTTCACTGTGAATCTCACAACTGACGGTTAAAAGAATCAATTGCTGCATATTTATACTATTTGTAAATGAAATATTTTGGGTACAAATTGCACTAAACTGAATATCGAACTTAATTGGATCGTTCAAGGTAATTCTTTCAGTTCCAATGTGATTTCGCCATTGATTGATCGTCTTAATCCCTGCATAAATAGTAGATATAAAGATGCTTTGGTGCATTAGATTCAGCTTAAGGTAACATTTTATCAAGATCTTTCGTGCACTCGGCTGAAAATAGATCATCCAATGCAATGGCATAATTCATGGTCTTATTAGTCTTCAAATTCAGCATTTTATTTTGATACTTTGAATTGAACATTCAACAGAGCATTTTATGTTGGTGCAACTTGAGGTAAGTGCAAATAAAACATTCACTAATCAATATTGTTATTGATTTGAGCTACTATTCATTAACAAATATCTTGATCATGATCTTCTTGTCTGATTTAGAGCTATCTTTAGTTTGTATTAACTTAAGTTAGTTAGACTTTACGATTTGATCACGATTCTAATTTATCTTGAACCCATTCCCATCCAAGCCGATTCCAGACATCTCTTGATATTCATTCTGAACTTATAACAACCATTTTCCTCTTCCTTTTGTAATCCTATTCGACTTTTCCCGATATTTGAGTATTTGGTCTAAAAGTCTAGCAAAGATTGCAATGTAACTGGACTAATTTTCTCAGTTTTAATTTGTCAATCATGTTGCTAATATAATTCCTTGTTATGAACAATAACAATTTCATGGACCAAATATTTATAGCATTGAAAACTGGCCAAAATATCACGCAAAAATATCCTTCACTCTTTGTTTGTTGCTAAAAAGACACAATCAACACAATTGTAACATTTTTGCACAAATTGACACTAACACTGTAAGAAAAAGGGACAATAACGGCTAAATATTAGGTTAGCTCAAATTTAGAGTATGTAAGTTTGTTAAGACATAAGACCTGATTCCATTTGTGGGTTTTAAAGATTTCTATGATGAACAGTTCTCGAGAAAATCGAGTTTAAAGTTGAAACTTTGATCGCGTTTTGTACAACGGCGCGACCAGATTTATTCATGAAACTAATAACACAGATGTAGATTTTGATGATGAACCAGAAAATGAACTTATTTTAAGAAATAAACTTTTCTGTTCGAAATAAAACAGATAAGTTCGATTTAAAGTTAAACCGATTTATTTCTGTGATCGAATGAGTTAGAGAGCTGAAACCCATTATTCTTCCATAAAAATAGTTTGCTCACATCATGAGTCAACTACTTTTTTCAAATTATCGACAGTTCTCTTTATTTTGGCCATTAGCCCCGAAACTTTGAACCTAAATATTTCAATAACGGTAGCACCTAAAATCAATAAACTTTGACCAATCATTAGATTTTACTAAGGGCTTGAATATAATAAGACTTAATACCTAAGAAAATCTGAACTATTCATTTAACAATGAATGTTCTTCCAGCACATAAGATTGAGTTTGAATAACCATTCAAATTGATAAATCAAACTCAACATAAGTAATAAAATGTTATAACTTTTGTTTTAGGATCGTGAATAATTTAATATTACAAAACATTATTGTCCATGATAAAATCTAATGTTTGGTCAAAGTTTGTTAATTTTAGGTGCTACCGTTATTGAAATATTTAGGTTCAAAGTTTCGGGGCTAATGGCCAAAAAAAAGAGAACTGTCGATAATTTGGAAAAAGTGTTTAACGTATGATGTGAGCAAGCAATTTTTATGGTAGAATAATGGGTTTCAGCTCTCTAACTCATTCGGTCCCAGAAATAAATCGGTTTAACTTTCAATCGAACTTATCTGTTTTATTTCGAACAGAAAAGTTTATTTCTCAAAATAAGTTCATTTCTTGGTTCACCATTGAAATCTAAATCTGTATTATTAGTTTCATGAATAAATCTGGTCGTATCGTTGTACAAAACGCGATCAAAGTTTCAACTTTGAACTCAATTTTCTAGAAAACTGTTTATCGGATGAATTATTTAATAGTACCATTGGACTCAGTTTGCATTTCTCTACAAACCCACAAAGTCTCAAATCAATTCTCAAATGTTCGAGCCTTTGCCACTACTTTTTACATTTCACTTGCAACTTTAACCAGAAAATTGGTTTATTTACCAAGAAATGGGTTTATATGAGTTTATTTTGTTGAAAGAGTTGTTTCTCGTGCATTTAGAACCCAAGAATCGCAACCAGGATGCACTAATGGCAAGTTATCAAATTGCATTGAATTATTGATTAGTGAGGAATCGAATTGGTGAAAGAATGATGGTTGTAGGTGATGCCATTCTCGAAATATCGAGGCTCAAAGTTTTTGGGTTAATGGTCAAAATTAAGCGAACTGCTATTAAATTACAAAAATCATCTGATCTATGGTGTGTACCTACAACTTTTATCGGTAAGTATCAAGTTTCAGTTCTCTTACTCTCACGGTCATAGAATGCGGTCGGTTTGACTAAAAATCGAACTGATCTGTTTTACAGAAAACGGAAAATTTTACTTCTCAAAATAAGTTCGTTTTCGGGTTACTTATCAAAAGTTACATAAGGAAAATGAGTTTCATTACAAAATCTGCTCGCACCGTTGTACAAAACGCGTTTCAACTTTGACGTCAATTTTTTCGCAAACTATCGATCACAGAAATTTTTCAACAACACAAATGGACTCACTTTTATGCCCTAACAAGCTAACAAAGTCTAAATTTAAAAAAACTTGATTTTCCCCGTTTTTGCCCATTTTTCTTTCAGTGTTTGAGTCAATTTGTGCATAAATGTGACAATTGTATCTTTTTAGTAAAAGCCTTGGATTTTTATGTCTAATATTTATTGTTATGTGATAATTTGAGTCAATATAAAATTTTAAACGAATAAATTTAACGGCTATTTTGAATTTATTACAAATAAAACATAATACACTACTCGAGATGGTTGAGATTACTAAAGATCTCAGACAATTAAACTAATGAAACGGTGTTGACGAATCATATTTCACGCGTTACAATAAGACAGTATTTAATTATCTCTTTCTAATAATAAGTGGGACCATTTTACATTAAATTTGATCAATTAATATCATTTATTGCATTTCTAGTCAAACAATTAATCCAGTTTTGTTTATAAATTGTAGGTTGTCATGGATATTGAATGTTTCTGATTCTCGAAAAAGGTCAATATTTCAAATATTAGTGTTATTTGGTGTAACTAAATTGTCTTGCTATGGCCGAAGTTGATCATATCGACTCTTCATCTCCATCTTTAGTTAATCACGATGACAGTAAAAGTCCCGGTTACCATTTCATTTCAAACTTTCAATCGATGCACGATTTGATTGAAAAATTAATCCTGCTTAAATATGACAAGGAGTTTTGTCCTGTTTACAAATGTCAACCTCTTCATAGGTAATTATGTCTGATATTGTCAAGTTAACCAATTATTTGATCAATCTCATGTACTTTAGGTATTACTTTACAATCCAAACCAATCCAGGAGAGCAATTTTATGTATTTTCATGTCTTTCCGTTTGGTTGATTAAGGAAAAATGTCAACTAAAGATGACCAGTGAACTTAATCCACAGGATTATGAAGATCCAAATGTAACAATCCATGGAATCTTGGATGCTGTTCGTTTAATTGTTGACAAGGTGTCAATTGCTCCAAATAAAATTAAACAAGGTTATGGATCAGAAGTCATTTGGATTCTCAATACACTAACAGATAATGCATTGAGTAAAAATCAATTTTCTCGTTCACCAATTGTGGTTAAAGTGTTGACATCGGATAAAGATTATGAACTGGATAATATTGAAGAGGATAAAATAATTGAAGATGAAGACGATATTGAAATCAATTTCAATGATCAATTTACACTATTAGATGATGAATATGGAGATTTTGACAATGAAATGGTTACCGATAAACTGTATACTCAATCCTTGGTCAACCGTCCACAAGCAATACTGGCTAGCAACGTTGACTCGGCCGAGTGGAAGATTGAAGTTGAAAGAGTTTTACCTCAGTTGAAGGTTATCCTTCGTTCATCTGACCACAAAGCTGATTGGAGAGCTCATATTGAGGAAATGTATCGACATCGAAACGAGGTTGAAAAACATTTCGAGACAACTTCTACTTCCTTGAAAAAATTGTCCGATGAAATTAACAAAGAAATGACTCAGATTGGAGCAAGGGAAAAGTACCTTCAATTGCAATTGGAAACATTAACTTCTGAATATAATTCACTGGAGGCTCATCTCAAGCAAGCAACGGAAAGTTATAAAATGGTCAGTGGTGGTGTTACCGAGAAATCGCGTAAATTGGCTTCGATTTCAGAGGAATTGGATTCAGTCAAGGAAGAGATGGAGAAAAGAGGAACTGCCATGACTGATGGAACACCTTTAATCAGTATTCGTAAAGCCTTAACTACAATTAAGCAGGAAATAGTATCTCTTGATATAAGGATTGGAGTTGCGATGCACACTTTGCTTCGTATTAAAGTTGCTGATTGTACCAAAGATGCGCTAGAGAAACAACAACCATTTAAAAATAATCGAATGGATGAATTGATTTTTTAAGATAATTCGGAAAAATTAACACTGTAGGTGTTTTTTCTGTGTTAAAAGATTTGACTAGTTCATTGTAGCTAGAATAAATATTTAGAAACCTCTTTTATGTATTGAAAATTTATTAATGATTGAAATGGTTAGATTTAATTTGAAAAACAGTTTCTCACTTTCATCAAATCAAAATAATCTCAAGTATACTCGTCTAAGAATATTTGATATTAAAACTCGATCACAGTTTTAGGTAAAAAAAATAAATTTAACTGCTGCCATGGCAAAATCCAATATCAGCTTTAGACGAAAATGATAAAATGTATTGGAAAATCGCTTAGAAACAACAATTCTTAGAATTCACTCAATTATTGCAGTTGTTTGATGATTATTTCACTTTTGTGGAATTATATTTGAAGAATTATCAGGTTAGAAGTTGTTAATTATGAATATGTTCACTTGGCATCTTTTCTTCTAAGTCTATCCATTACTAAAAAGGCTATGATAGGGTAAGCCAAAATGAAGCTTCCAAAAGGCCATAGTCCATTTTTCTGTGGATAACAGGAAATAAAAAAAATTATTAGAATATAATAAAGTCAAATTTTAGAAAGGTAAATGCATTACCATATGAAATGGTAGCTAAGTAGGTGCAAATTTATCAAATGATTTGGATCATCAAATTTGACTATTCTACTTTTAGACTGGATTTAAGAAATAACACAAATTTTATCGGTGAGATACAGTCGAGTAGACAGTAACTTCTTGCTTCATTGAAAGGTTACATATATGAAAATTGAGATGATAATGCATTCAAAGTACTAAAAATGACAACTCAAAAATTAATTCGTTGAATACTTACAGATGAACTTTTAGTTTCTAAATTTTTCAGTCTATTTGAGATACCTTCAATATTTTTTTGGAGATTCATAATTGTTAAATTTAATTGATGATTTATGTCACTTTGTTCTTTTCCTTCTTCTTTGATATCTTCTTCTCCTTGTGCGGTAATTATGACTTTTGAGTCTTTCAATCTTTCAAAGGCGGTCAATGAATCCTAAGGAAACAAAAAATGAGACTATGAAATTAAATTAGGCCAAATTAAATCCGTGGACGGTTAGAAGAAGTAGTCAAGTTAAAGGAAAATTAAGAGGAAATAAAAGACCGAAAATCTTACCTCAGAAACATGATCATATGTGTCAGAAAATTCATCTCCATCACTCTCCATTTGAAAGGCAGCTCTTTCAGTCATAACATATAACAAAATACTAAGAAATAGATGAACAATTTAATCAAAAAATAATAATAATTAAGTCAATTATTGAGACAATAGACAATAGTAAAGCCAAATAGTAGATCAATTGACAACAAGTAAAATCCCAATTTTGTTGACACTATTTCGGCTGCCAAATAAACCTGCAATAAGAGATACACAGCGCTATCTATCAGCATAAAAATAAACTACTTAAGTTTTTCATCGTTTAACTTTAGCGGTAAGTTTTTCGTCGTTTTAATTGTTGGTTATAATTAGTCTTTATCTATTATGTGATGCTAATATTTACCCACAATTTGGCTCATCAGTCCCATTATTAGCTTAATCTTTTTTTGTTAAACTTATATGAAGTAAGTGGGAGAGAGACAGTGTGTTGCTTTAAGACTTCGTCTATGAAAACATGGATCTATGATCGCTTCGGACACACACAATGTAATGTGTTTTGCATAACGCAAATTCAAAAGCAGAAAAAATCGCCAAGAATCGAATTGGAACAAACAGAGCTAGCATGCAAAAATATAAAATAAAGATAGCTTCAAAAACAATTCACTAAATAACATGGATCGTTGGATAGGTTATGGACATTTTGGTTGGGAAATAATTCAAACAAATGATAACCGATTTTTTTCTGGTTGACTAAGGCCTTACCAGTATCTATGATTGTACACTGTAATAACCAGAAAGGATCTTTCGCTTTATGTTTGGGAATACTCATGTTCATAATGTGCCAAAACTGATTTGTCTGAATACACAATTATTATTTTTAATCGTGAAAAACAAAGAAACATATTTCAATGGAAAAATCTGCCAGAAATGAAGTTTGAAGACATTTCTATTGAACTATTTTTACTTGTCTCCGATTTTTTACATTATCTTTCGACAATGAACCCAATGAGCTGCTCAGAAATGAAGAACTGACAATGAATTTCAAGTTGCCAAATGGGAAAGAAATGTATTTCTACGGATTCTGAGAGACTATCAATATTTTGCGATTCTCTTTGATATCTTGTAGTAAAATATGTGCAATTAACCTGCTAAACAGAATCATTAATGGTGTGATGATAGTTCGTTAACTGTTACACTCGATTGGTCTTTATTTGATTCCAATTAAAGGTTATTATTCATTTATAGCGTATTTTGTATGGTCGTCGAGTTATAGAAAGTAAAATCCAAATAAATGACTGCAAAATGACATTCAACACTGTTGACTTCGTTATTGTTGCATTATTGCCTTTCAATGGTTAACCAAGTCTGTTCATATTGTTCATTTTACCTTGTAATTGATTATTTTCCCTCAGATGTCAATAATTCAAACAACAATTTCCATATTGTAAAGGTAAGAATAAAGAAAGTTATAATTGTCATCCTTCGATTGTTGAAAGTTGCAAAAAGGATTCAAAGTTGATCAAATGAAAGATCAATCTGAATAAACAAATTCAAGGTAAAAAAACCTGAACACAACAATGGATAAAATCAGTGTTATTACAATTTAAACTTGAAAAGGAAAAGGTAAAATTGTTGTTTTGACCATCAATTATTCCGTTTGATCAGCCATTCAAATCATTCATTTATCTGATCAACTTTGCATTTCAGGTAAATGCGTAATTGAATAACTCAGCTCAATCTATTCATAAATTTGGACTTTCACACTTTGGATAAACTTTTGATATCACATTTTATGCTGAATTTCTGGTCACATCTTGGTTTTAAACGATTAATATGAACATTTAAACTGGTGATGAACTTCAATATGTTTTGACGATCGTCTGTCCAATAATCAACCTCCAAATGAATGTAACTCCTCTACTTGAAATTAAAAAGTTCAGTGTGATTATAATTGTCAAGATAAGTAAATGAACAAAATGTAATAATTTCAAACCAAGGATTTGATTCCAAATAAGCTTACAAGCGATCAAACGACTTTATCATCAAAATTTATCGCTATAACAGGCAAAACGCTAAACTTGATCCACGTTATCTTCATTAAAATATTGACCTCCATTTCTTCTGACCTAAGGTCAAATGGTTACAAAGTATCTCTCTTCTAATAATAAGTTTCCAATCAAAGTTCACTTGTAAGTTTCCAATGTCAGGTATATAATTAATAACAGGTAACCAAGAAAAACCATGAAGCTTGGAGTTCACTTGAATCAGCATAAGATTAACATCAATCTAGATGTCATTGATAATTACCATTGTTGAATGAAGCAAAGCACAAAATTTGACTTAATTGTTGAGACAAAATAATTCATTAAAAATATGGCAATCAACCAAAAAGCAAGCAATTTACATCATTGACCGAACAAATAAATAACCACTTGAGCTGTCTTGTAACTGTTCATCCAACTGCAAATTAAAAACGTTAAAATTTCTACAGTTTAATAACGATGAGATGAAACCAGAGTGACAAAAATCTACAATAATTAACAATTAAGAACGAAGTTAAATTAATTTGAAAAATCAGGAAAACAAGAAATTAAAAACAATAGATAACCAAAGCTAAAGGCGCCTTCACTCAGCTGACTAACCAACCCAGAGAAATACAAAAAGGTGCCAATTTCAAACTGACAAATTGATCTTGATCAACTTGAATCCGATTAAATGTTGAATGTTATTGATTAATTCATAACATTTTAATAAACAATAAGTATTCAAGAAGTGACAATTGAGTAAATTGAATGGAAATAAAAAACAAGGTTTTGTCAATTAAAGGAGGAAAGCAAAGAAACCAAAGCCACCACCAAAAGAAAAAGGTTAACTCAACCAATTCCCTCAATAAGCATATTGAATTGTAGGTCAATCAAATAATTGTAGCAGTTAACGCAAATTATCATTATTACGATTGTGACTGTGATTATAATAATGTTTATTAAATTAACTTTCACTTTCGTATTCACTTTTAATATTAACCTAACCTGCGTTAACCTAAACTTAAAACCAGTCGGTGCAAAAAAAGTCAGCAATAATCCTGGTAACAGTAGCAATACATTCACATTAGTAAAAGCAAAAGTGAAAAATCAAACCTCCTCCTCCTCTTCGTCCTCCTCCTATCATCATAAGCTCTCACTTTCATCAGTTGATCATCATAATCATCATTAACATGTTACTGATCAAAATGCTCAATCAATTATTATGGCCACAATAATTGTTCACAATCAAATCTATTTTAGTTGAAATACTCACTGAAAAAGTGTAAATAAATTGTTTCTCCATCTCAATCTTTGCTTTGCTTTTTCATCCCAATCATTCAAATCATCATCATAATCATCATCACCATCTTCATTATCTTCATCTTACTCCCACAATACTCTCACTTTAATGTTGTTTAAGGAGACAAGGCATGAAAAAAAAACATAATCAAGTGAACAACAATCAAAACTGAATCTCGACTGGGTTTCACTTTCCCTCATCACCAATCAAGCCAACAATCTTCCGACGACTTCAACTCATTTAACTTACAACTGGAAACAATCAGGCAACATCAATTGAGTAACAATTTGAGTCTTTTTTAACATTGCCAACAAAGTCAACCAGTCAACAACAACGACCAAGAGTGGACCTAAAGTGGTCGAGGCGACTTAAAAGATCAACTTTCTTCCTCTTCCTACTATTAACAATCATCACCACAATAACCACCACAATTACAACCACAATCATCATCATCATCACCATCATTTTCAACATCATCCTTATTTCCTGCTCATTTAGCCTTTTAACTCTTTCAAAACACTTTCACTTTTCACCTGAAATCATTTATATTTTGTACTCTTTGCATGCTTCATCTTCGGGTTAATCCATCATTTTGTTTATTAACATCATCATCAAATTACTATTTATCACCATATTTAACTAAAACCAACAATCACACATAATCATAATGGATACATCACCAATAATAAAAGTAGCAGCGTTTATTAAACCTTTACAATCTCATTATTTATTAACTTCAAATCCATTGTCAAAGGTTACATCCAAACAATCAGCTGGGACGCAAGTTGGATCAGTGAAAAAATTAGTGACAATCAGTAAAAGGTTAAAATCAATTTTACCAGTTTTTAATGTTTTTAGCGTTATTTTGTTATTTTGTATCATTGGATCTCTTGGTGCACCTTCAACCTCATCATCAACCTCATCTCCATCATCCTCATCAACACCAAAATCATCATCATTTTCATCTAGTAAAAAACCTAATAAACAAAAGGTAATCTTAATCCTTGCCGATGGAGTTCGTTATGATTACATCAAAGACCCTAATCTGAAAGGGATTCAAAGGATGGCCCGGAATGGAGTTAAAGCTGAATATGTTCAACCAATTTTCCCATCCAACTCTTATCCCAATTGGTATACAATAGTTACAGGTATTTACAATTATCCGATCATTTGAAATCAGTTAACAAAAATTGTCTCTTTTTTATAACCTTTACAATGAAAACAACCAGATCTGTGCCAAAAAAACCAGATAAACCCAAAATGTAAACATTGTTTGATTGTGACTTGTGAGATTCATTCCAACCTCAGTTATTGCTGTTTCAATCTTAACCAATTAATCAGGATTAATGAAGATTCCAAGTGATTGTTAATTACTTCAATTACCAGTAAACAGCAATTAGTTGATGTCATTTGTTTTTAAGTTAAAACCCATTTTCAAGTTAACTCATCAAATGTTTGCGCCAATACATCACACCGAGCCAAATGTTGTTACATTGGTCACTGGTGAAGATGTAACTGATGATAATTTGATTAACACCAAACTGATTAACATATAAATTAATCAGTTAACCATGAGAATGGGAAAAACTTCAGAAGCAATTGAATCTTTTTTTTCTTGCAAACACTTTTTACTCGACAAATTGAAGGTTTCAATGGATTTGAACTTGAATCTGTTACAATTGCAGTAACCTAATAATTTTGATTTTTTGTCCCTTAACTTACAACCAATCTAATCACTATAATTTGAATTCACCTTTCACTATTAACTCATCAATTTTTTCCTTGTTCATCAAAAAAACTCAAATCATGATCAACAAGAATCAGATTAAACTGTTCTTGTCTGATACATCATGTTAACATGATTGTAGTGAAAGAAGCAAAATAACTCATAATTTAAAGCATTGAATTGAAAGATGAAAATAAACATTTTTCTTCAATGAAACTGAAAAAATAACAAAATATAAATTGAAAGTGAAGGAGTTAATTGATGATAAAGATGCTAATAGGAATTGATTATTGAAAGTCAAGTTGGATGATTATCCAACTATTAAATCACAAATGGAAAAGCTAATTAACTTACATCAATTGTGATGGTTAAACGATGAGCCACTTTACCAGGAAGTGTTATTGTCAAAATTAATCATTAATTGTTGACAGTAAACTAAACATTTAAGAAGCCTCAAGAGCATCAAAATGATATTAAATTACGAGTCGGAATGGACAGTTACACGGTCATCGTTATTATTATTACTTTCATCAATTGACTTCCCCATATTAAGGTGTGCTTTGCGAATGGACTTCATCTTGATCATTTTCATCTTCATTTGGACAAAAATTAGGCTTTAATCATAAAAGGTCACAAGATGAAGATGCAAACATCCGGATTGATTAGCATTCCAATCAGGTCAATTGCTATTTCAGTTAATGATAATAATAATAGTAATGATGATGATGATGGAAGCTATAATGATGATAAAAATAATAACAGCAAAAAGTATTAAATGATAATATTTGTAACGGATAAACTGTTCAAGTTGACCTTAAATATGACTTTATCAGCCAATACCAATAGAAGGTCGACCTTTTTCGAGACTCAATTGATTCCTTTAATTGTTTCAAGATTAGTTTCCATTTAGCCTTAAAAATTGAACCTTTCATGATTAGTAAATTGACTAGAATTGAATTTGAAATGATTGTATTGCACTTGGTCTTTGCAAGGAAAGAGTTGGTCTTGTTGGAATCATGTCTTCTGGTTAAACTTGCTTCTTTCAATTAGCTGCTAATGACTGTTAATCATGATGTGATTAATTAGCTAATGATTGATAATATGGTCCTTAATGATTAACTCATGTGTTGATTCATCTTCAGCTTCAATTTGTTTCGTTTGGTTTTTAAATACATTTACTTATTGAAAGTCTTTGGTTTAAAAGCTAAGGGAAATATTTTCATTGAAATGAATGTAATTGTATTTCATTGAGTAGCAATTGACAATAATGTTTGGTTTAAAGGCGAAATAACAGCTTTTCTGATCTTGAGAGATCAGGTTAATGGGACAATTGTGTTGTAACAATTATTCACGAACAACGTTCAAGTCATATTGAACTGAATAAATTGTCCTCAAAATGGAAACAATAAGTAACAGTAGACTTAAGATATTGATCAAGATAATCAATAATTGTGAATTGTTTATGACTTTACCCTTAATAACATTGACTAAGAGTGATTGAAGTTAAATAATTTGAGTGAAGACATTAAAAAATGCAATGAAAAGTGATATTAGTTTGACTTTAAAGCAAATTAAGTAAATCACTTCGATCATTTGCAATTACATATTGCAACTCGAAAATCACTTGATAATACTTTCAATCGACGATTGATCAATTAATCTAGATAAACTGAAACTACTTCCAAAATGACTGAATCAATTAAAGTAATATATTATAATGATTGAAGGAAGATTGAATTTAAATGATTGCCTGTTCAGCGTCAATCAACTTTCAATAATCAAATTGAGTAAAAGCTAAACATTATTTGCTTTTTCACTTGTCAGGCCTTTACGCTGAAAGTCATGGGATGATTCAAAATTTCATGTACGATCCCGTTGAGAATGACACTTTCCTAATGAGTCCTCATCCAAATGCATCCCATCCTCACTGGTGGAGCATGGCTGACCCTCTCTGGACAACAGCTGAGAAGCAAGGAGTTAAAACTGCAGTTTTCTGGTAAATAGAAATAGAAACATGGAAAAGATGAAATTTTGATGTTTAATGAAACCAATGAATATCTTAACATTACCTTAAGGTGGGACGGATGTCAAGTTGAGATACGCAACACAACACCATCAATGTGCCTTGAATATCAATCCTATTGGACTTGGCCGACCGTTCAAAATGATACTCTTGACGCTTGCGATGAGATATTGGATAATTTTGAGAAGGATGATTGGGGTTTGGCTTTGGTCTATTTTGAGGCTGTTGATGCCAACGGTAAGTAATTATGTAATGATCACAATTAAATAACAGAAATTAGAGAAAATAAAATTAATATTATTAATAATAATCAAAACTGTAAAAATAAGAAGAAAAGCGAAAAAGGCCAGAAAAATGAAAATGGAAATGAAAAGCAATCTTAATCAAATGGACCTCAGGGTAACCTTGATTGTATTATCAATATAAATATTAATTCATAATTTGTGTGCTGAATATAGTATTTTGATTATTATTCAGAATTTATTTTCTCTCACCGATAATATTTCAATTTTTAACGCCTCACCCTGAAACTTTTCTCTTCATGAAAATCATCTTCTTTTCTGGCCTCATCTTTTTTATTTTTCCTTCTAATGATGATTCTAAATCAGGTCATGCCTGGGGCTCTGAATCAAGCGCCCGAATTGAAGCAATGAAAGATTTAGACCAGGTCATAACTCGGCTTCAGGATGGAATTGAATCTCGAAAAATGACCGACCTGGTAAGTTTGAATCAACAATTAATTTGATTTGATTAGATTTCTCACTCTTCTTTGGTTATAATTTTCAATACAATTTACTTTTTGCTCAAATCAAATTTCAAGTTCACAGTTCAATGGATAACCCAGTGACTTTATATTTGACATTTTTTTCAAGTTCATCTGATGTTCATGTTAATGATGGTGTTTGGGTGCAATTTCATTATGACCTTTTATCCGTTTAACAACTCAATTGAGGCCAATTTAAGCATAATCAATTTCACTCATTCCATTGATATAACAGTTAACTGGTTTCAATTGACTTTTTTTGTTCTTCTTGTTATTAGTTTCTCTTGTTTTTTCACCATTTCAGGGAAACGAAAGTTTAACCACAATCATCAGATTAATAGTTTAATTCAACTAAAAAAAGGTGCTCAGGTTATCTGATTGAGTGAAAACAGCATGAAAAAGGCTTCATTTTAAGGTGAAACGAAAAAGGTTGAAAAGGTTTTTTAGGCAAACATTTCACTTTATATTCACGGTCATCACTTTTAACCTGACCTTTGAGCACCTTAAGGTTAATGTGTATTTGTTAATGAATTAAATTGCATTTAAATACATTAAATTCATTAGTAAATTGTTAACCTGAAGGGGTTTAAAGTTTCTCTCTCTTTTCTAATTGCAAATTGATTTGTATCGTAAAACATGATACAAGAAAATTAGTTAACTTTTCGTGAATTGTTATTGATGTAAAATAGGAAAAGGGTTATTATTGATCTCTTTTTAAGAACAGTTAATGATCAAATTAAATTGGTTACAATACATTTTGAAGGTTAATATTAAGATCCATATTATTCAATATAAATCAGAATGATGATCAATTGAAATGTTTCCTTGGATATCCATTGACTTTTAAATTAACGATTGATGAATGATGGAAACAGTTAATGATAAATCAGCAACTAGATTAATGATGTTACCAAGTTGTTCCTATTATTAATGTACAAACAATAACATGATGTTGCATGTAGACATCTTGTTGGTAATAACATCTTGTCAGAATTTAGTCTTTCGCACCTTAATTACAGAATTAGTTGATTGATTTAGTTAAACATTCTTGGAGTACTTATTTAGCCAAACTAATCATTCTTCCACTTGATTTGACACATTTAACAGGTAAACATTGTACTGGTCTCTGATCATGGAATGGTCACTGTTATTGAAGAGAATGGCGAACAAAATGCCAAAGTGATTGAAATTGAAACCATTGTTGACCCAAATGATATTGTAGTCATGTTTGACCGAGGAACCACTTCTATGTTATTACCTGTTAAAGGGAAGGAACAAAAGGTAAGTTGATCAATTTACATGTAAAGAGAATGGATAAAATTCTTGCGTAAAAATTGTGGTCAAACTGAAAGGGTTCTTGGATTTTTAGACCATATGAAAGCTGACATTGGACTAAATCCTCGAAAAAATAGTCAGAACTCTTTCGGAACTCAATTTCTTAGGGAATTGACGCTTAACCAGGGTGAAGAAAGCCATAGAATCCTTATTTTAAAGCATTAAAAGGCAAAAATTAGTTTCTTTAGTTGGGTTTTGTTAAAGTAGCAAATGAAAGCTTTCTTTCGAGTCAAAAGTTGGGACTTTGTAGGCTTGTAGGGGCATAAAATTGAGCCCATCAGTGTTATTAAAAGTTTGTGTGATCGACAGTTTTCGAGGAAATCGAGGTCAAATTTTAAACTTCGAATGTCTTTTGTTCAGTTATTGAACCAGATTTTTTCATTTAAATCAATTTCTTGGGGTAACTCTTGATGGTCAACCAGAAAAAGCACTTGTTTCGGTAAATAAAATTTGAGTTTTCTGTACAACAGACAACTTCGATTTTCGATTTAAAATTACCAATGGACGAAGTTTTTATGACCATACAAAGATCTCAGTCTTGACAAGTTTTACAAAATTTCTTCAATCGACAGTTTTAGATAAAATAGCTTTCAATGTTCGAACTTCGATCGCTTTTCATCGACACAGATTTTTGCATCAAACTAACTTATCTTTCTGATTTAACTTTTAACAAGCGCGACTTCGATCACGACTGATCACAAAATTCATTTTACAATACATTCAGTCCACATTTAAAAGACTTTTTAATGAAAAAAAGCATCGTCAATGAGAAAAACTAAAAAATCTGGTTCTACGACTCAACAAAATGCATTTGAAATTTGAAAGCGATTTTAAACAGTACAATGGATTCAGATTTAATGTCCTGAAAGTCCACATACACCACTTCATCCATCACCTTTTAATCAATAATACAATGTATCTTTAACTTGGACTTATTACTACTCTCACTATCAGGTACTTGATGATCTTAAAAAAGCAAGTCCTGCAGGATTAAGATTCTATGCTAAATCCGATATCCCTATCAAATATCATTTTAAAAACAACCGCCGAGTCTCGCCAATTTTGTTGGTTGCTGAAAAGGGTTATTTTGTCCGTGGGGTAAGTAGATTTATTTTTATTACCATTTCCTATTAATCGTGTTAACCCAATTTATTGTGTTTTAAGGTGACCATGTTCAGATTGTCTGATATCTTCTAGTATCTTACCTTTCTGTTGCATCTAACGGTTTGTTTACTTTTCCTGTTAAATAATCCATTGTTTGCTTATTTTGTTTTTTGTTTAGTTTACTGATTATGGTAAAACCAAACCTTTACCGGACATTGTCTATTCTGGACATCATGGCTATGATCCGTATGCTGTTAAAGAGATGAGGACAATCATGCTTGCAACGGGCCCTGGGCTACGCAAAGGTTACACTTCACCTCCATTAATGATGACCGATCATTACAACTTGGTCTGCCATTTACTTGATATTAATGCTCAACCCAACAATGGCTCATGGCTTCGAATTGAAGGAATGCTTGCTGAAGAATCAAGTCAGCGTCACAGTTCCTTATGGCCAACAAGTCAAGCCAATCATGTTTCACAATCTAATTACCTATCAGCACTAACACTTATTACTCTTTTTTTAATTCTATGCCGCCATCTTTAACTCTCTCCTGTATTTTTGTGTGAACTTTTTTTGTTCACTTGTTGATTCAAACTCTTTATTATTTATCTTTTGCATCTTCATCATGTGTATCACCATATCATTAACAAATTCAACACCATCACTGTCACCATCATCATCAACGTCTTACTTGATTGTTATTTTTTTTGTAATATCAGAATATCAAAGGAAAAAGAAACATATTCAAGATAAAATTTTATCTGACTAACATTTCATCAATCAAAGCGGATAACGGTCTCGGTCAAGTTTACATCAATTTTTCAGTGTTCATACATTTCCATTACTTGGATGCTTATTTTTATTACACTTTTTGGTCCATCAAGCCATCAATACTTGGCAATACAATAAGAGGTGAAACTCAAACCGCATAATTTTTGCTTCACAGTGGATAATATATTTTGTGTCAAGAATGATTGGATAGCAATTAGAGCTTTACAGACTTTAAATAATATCTCATGATATTCAAGGATTCAAATAACCAAGCAAAGATTTAAACATCAACTTGAGGCAAACCCAGGGAAAAGATGAGAACAGTTGACAATCTGTTGTGTGCAATCAAAGGAGCAAAAGCTTGACGAGAAAGCTTGCAAACCATTTTTTCTTGTTAATTATACATTCAAATTGTTGGGTATGACAACGGAGTTAAATTTAATACTTCAAGAATCCACTGAATCTGTAGACAAAGGAAAACATCTCAACTCAATAAGCAATCCCTCTTTAATTACCTTTCAGATTAATCGTAATCATTATCTCTGTGCGAAAAGATGAAGTCCTTTTACTAATCATGGCTTTCTGTTAAATCCATGAACCATTTGAAAGGCAGAAAAGTTTAAATAATTTGCTGATGATGTTTGTATTAATGATGAACCCTTCAAATGATTGTTACGTGAGTTACCATGTCAGGTATTAACCCAAAACTGGTCGCCAAAAAGGTATTTTTTTCAGGTATTATATTGACAACATTGAAGCATTCCAAGAGCTTATCGAGATGAATGATGGCGACCAGAACACACATTTAAGGGTAAAGCAATTTTAATTATCACGCTAATTGTCTTTTTTCATTTTTCTCATTCATTTTTTTATTCTCTTTTCCTTTTCTTTAGGTTAATCACTTCACTAATCCATAATTGAAAGATTTAGTGGAAGCAATGCCAAAAATGATGATCATAATTCCCATCATCACCATCATCTTGAAAAATCGCCATAAAAAAGCATTTCAAATCAACCGTTCATCAATAACCCTTGACAACGTTATTATTAAATTATTTGACTGTATTTCACTTTTGACTCCCCAAGGCCTACAATTGTGGTTCAATATCATGTTAAGGTCAATCTATTTTAAAAGGGATAATGTCAGGATAATCCAGAAATTTGGACAGTTAATCAAGTGGATCATTAAATAATCATTTTTGTCCTCCTAAAAACTAGTCAGTAACAAGATGTAACGCGGTAGTTACCCGATGAAGCCTCAACCTATTGGATAAGTGGTTAACAGGTTGAAATGTCTCATTGGGGTCTCAACATTTATCCAATAGCGTAAAGATTGATTCAAAATGTTTTGATGGAGATTAGTGTAAATGTTTAATGATTATATTTGATGATTGTTAGCATACGTTACGATTTTTCAGCTTGATTGTCAGTTAAATTTGACCATTTCATTGGCAGACCTTGCAAGAGTTGTAAAGTAAAAACAGTTTCTCAAAAAAAGTCTTCATTTAACCGGTAATCAAACCCTCAAGGGTTATGATCTGATTGTATAAGATTGGTCACAAGAATGAATCAAATATACAATTTAATTTATTAATCAAAAAGAAGCTGATGATACGGTTAAAAAGGTAGTCATGAAGAAGGATGAGAAAAAGAGAAACTTGGCATTTCTTGGTGACGGCTTGGAATCTATTATTACATGAGTTATACTCGGAATACTGGTTTCACCGAATGGAATAAATAATATCAGTTACTGGAATATTGCTTCAAGCTTATTACTAGTTTGGTTTGGCTTTTTTTAATCACAATTAGGATCACCTAATATATGAAATGTACATAAAAATGTAATGAGATGAGTTTAGGTTGATCCCATAGAGAGTGTGTGCTCTAGATTGTTGATCAACTATCATCAGTTGATTGTAATCATATTTTTATTGTAAATCGGCCCAAAAAATGGTGATAATCAAAGTAAAATTAAGAAGCATGGTCATCCTTGTTGCTATTATCATGATCGGGTTAATGATGAAGAGAGAAAGCAAATTAAATTCTAGGTTAAACAGATTAAGGAGAGTAGTTTGTGTATCAAGTTAATTGAAATTGATTATTCCCTAATCTAAACTCAGAGTGATTAACCTTTCCAATAAACTATTAAAATAAACATTTTGTTTACATTTTTACTTGATTTCATTTCAATGTGGCATTTACAATGCAAATCATCTGAACCAGTTTTTAAATCATACAATTGATTAATCAGATTCACTGATCAGATCGACTCTCTAGATTGGGTTATCTGGATTAATTAGACTATTATTGTCAATTAAACTGTGAATCTCGTGATAAAATCTGATCTTATGGTTAAATGTTTACTTGAAATTGACTATGAAAATTTGAGCCATTATTACCCAATTTAACATGATATGAATACAAATTTAGGGAAAAATTTAAATCAATTATTCTTCGCTAATCTAAATTGAAAATCTATTATTAGATTTTAAAGTCAAGGTTGGGTTTAATTGTTGCAAATATTGTATCTGTAATTATGTCTTATATAAATAGCATGAGTTATTGTTGAATCTCAAGACTAGTTGAAACATTGTTGGACATTAGTATTGATGAATCGGATAACATTGACTTACATGTGAAGGCCTGAATAATGAAAATCAACTAAAATAGAGAGATGATTATAATAAAGGTTAATTTAGGTTAAGTTGAAGGTTAGTTAGGATCATAATCATAATAATGATCAAAAATGAAGCAGCAACACTTTGGGTTAACAAGAATGGGCGATAAGACTGTTAGAAGTAAATGGATGAATGTTGATTGATTGAAAGATGATAAACTGATCAGATGACAATGACGGATGACATTTAATGAAGCTATGGTTAATCAAAAATGGTTAAAACTGTATTCAGTTAATGAAAAGTGGTTAAATGATGAAGATAAAACAGATGACCAGAAAAAAAGGAGCAAAAAGATTGTTGAGGTTTAAAAATGAAGATGAAACATGCGAAAGTCAATAGATTTTAAACCAGTTTTCCTCATCTTTTCATGATATTGTTGATCGCATCTTAACCATCATCACCATCATTTTCATCCTTCTCATCACCATCTTGCTTCCATATTTAAGTGTACATCAACTGGTCCTTTCAGGGCTCTTCTGTTTTTCCATCTGAACCGGTATAGATTGGGCCAGTTTCCATGAGATTGAACCATTTGGACGATTCAGTGGGCAGGAAAGGAGGAGTTTTTTTTATCGCCCTTTTGTGTGTCTTGATGCACCATTGATGCGGATCTTTTCCCCATCATCATCTTTATTTTATTTTCTTAGAGGCTCTTCATCGCTCATCTAACTGTTTAGTTTCATTTAAACCTTGTGGTCGCTGTAGCTAACCTTTCAGACATCAATTGAACATCATTTGTTTGTTTTCCTTCATTGTTAACCTTTCAACTCATCATCACCTTGTGAGTTACCATTGACATTTACCCTTGACAAGTGGATATAACTGTCACTGGACATAACCGTTTCAACCAATCGCTTCAAACCTCCATGGAAAGATAATCTTCAAATTTTACATTTGCACCCTTTTTCACATCTTTTGTGTCTTCTATCAAACAAATTAATCATCTCTTTACCTTGTTACCAAAATTACAATCAAAAATGAAAATACATTTAACTGTAAGTTGAACTTTATTATATTTTCAATTTTCCCTCTTAAACTCAACATACTGTTTACATTCGGTGTTGCCAGAGTTAAACAGCTTTGTGTTGTTTTATTGTAAATTTGTGTTAATTTCAATTTTTACACTTAAAAGTGAATTTATTTACCTTTGTTGATTTAACCTTTCATGGATTTTTGGTAAATTTAAAAATTGGTAAAGTAACTCCTCTCAAAATGTGACTCTTTGGTTAGCTTCGTCTATTTTCAAGGCAAATCCTTTAGACCTTATTTCGTTCGTTTTCACCTGTTTCATAAATTTCTTGGTTAAGTTTGTTTTAATGTTTAATTTTTTAGCTAAATTAAATTATATCTAGACTTTCAAAGATTTTCCGACTACATGAATAGACTTCCCTGGGAAGTCGCACTATGAGAGGGATTACTGTACAATCTGTTCTGGTTATGGATATGATTTTTTTGGTGCGAGTAATAAAAAACTGTAAAATTAGGACTTGATCTTGTTGGATGTGAACATTGATGAAACAATTGCCATATCAATTTTCAAATGAACCTGGAGTGAATTGATTGACCCATATCAATAAGTGATTGAAATTGTTGGTTATATCAAATTTGCTCTCTTCAAAATGGGATAAAAATAAGATAAAAATTGTCAAATAGCAAAATCAACATAAATACAGTTTTGCTCTTCTTTCAACTGCTTGTATACCCATTACTTATTAGCCTAATCAATCCTTTTCTTACCTTTTTCAAGTGAACATCTTTAACAGCGATTTACTCTTGTATGTTTAGCCAACAGTTCATGTTACAATTATCTCACAATCAGTAACAATTGTTGTTGAGCTGCAAAAAATGAGCCAAAATAACAATTAATTGCATTGAAGATTAAAATTGTACTCATTATGTTGTATCAATGGGCTAAAAGTATCAAAGAAAGTTATTATCCCAATTTTGTGTCCTTTAACTATATTAGTTGAACAGAATCAAATTATAAATGAGAGAAAAATGAAACAAAATTATCAGATAATTTCAATAATCGAGACTATTTAGTGGTTGATATCAGCAAATCAGCAATAATAACATCTTGACAATCTTACCCATTAACACAGCTAAACGATCAACATTTGTAAGATGATTGTTACAATTTAAATTGTTATTTCTTTAAGGCCTGACAATCGTGATAACAGTTAGAGTCATGAGTGCTAATATGAAGTAACATTTAAAATACAGAAATAATCTTAATCAATGTTATTTTATTGATACATGGATTTGAAGTCAGGCCAAGCTTGAAGATCTGAATTGTTGCCTTGTTTGGGTTAATTTCAATTTTATTTCACCCTTAATTCATACTTTCAACGTTAAAATGAGTTTGAATTGTTAACTTAAATTTCTCGATTTGTTTCCAACATGAAAATAATGACAAAAATCAAATCATATTGTAACGGTTGATCAATTGGAATGACAATGTTTACGTTTTCCTTTCATTGTGATTTACCTCCTAAATTAACTTCATTCTGCCCTCTCCACAATCATCATCACCATCATCATTATCATCACTAGTAACATCATAATCAACAATCCTTCATCTGATTTACTTTTAATCTTTTTCCCGATTCTCCTGCCATTGATTGATTGCTCTTGACTATTTTCAGGTCACTTTGTTAATTCAGTTCACCCTTTAATTGTGTCCATTTGCTTGCCAGTTCATTTCTTCATCTTCACCCAATCAAAATCTCCAATTCAATATGAATTATGTTCCCAATACACTTTCAATGGTTCATTTGCTTCTATGGATACACTTTCAATCCCTTCAACCCACTCATCATGATCAATCAACGATTCTTACACTAACCAATATTGATTGTTCCTAGTGTTTTAAAATAATCAACAATTTAAACGAAACTTTCAAACCTTCAAACCAATCCTACAATTCAATCTTAAATTGTTTTCATTTCTCTTAATTACATTTAATGGTCAGTTGGATAACATCTAAGGCAAAGTAAACACTAATGATCAACTTACAGCAATTTAATTTACAACATTAACCAAATTGCTATTAGCTACTTCAACATCTAATATCATTTGAATGCAATAAGCAATGCATTGTAATTGACTAACTACAGATGATTTACCTTAAAATAAGTTACAATGTTTAGCTTCAACAAATAGATCTGATTGAACTTAAGCTAATTTCAATAGTGACCTTCATGCTTAATTCAGTTCCGCATTTGGATAACAAGAATCATGAATTTACAAAATTAAAATTCATTTAAAACCATGACATTTGGCTGTGACAATTGATGCAAATACAAATGAGAATAAATGAGTTTTTTTGCGTTTTTCTTGAGTTTCATAATTTAAAATTGTAATTAGAACTGTTAATTTAACTTAATAACGGTTAAATACAGTTGAGGTCAATTGTTATGGGTATATTTTGCGTTTATGAGCTTTGTTTTGGTTCTAATTGTAAATTTGAGCTTGAAATGAAATTATTTTGAGTTAAAAGCTTTATTAATTAACTTAAATTTGACATTTCTCTTAATAGTTAACAATGTTATCAAATAATTAAAATCATCATTTAATATGTATTTGTTGATTTGTTATGCCAAAAGGACAGGGAAAAGAAATAGACTTTTATGCATTTGTAATAACATTTCTGAGATCTGAAAAAATGAACCTTAAATTATAAATGATAATAATGATAAAATAATTACAATTAAAGGTGATGTTACAATTTAAATTAAAGGGTATTTGTTGTAATATAATCAATCATTTTTGTTGATTATAATTTAAGGAAGCGTATGACGAAGGCCAATAGACGTTAAATTTCCTATAGGATTTCAGTCAATATTCAATCCAATATTTAATCCTTTTAGGTGGAAAGAGCAAACGGGTTAACATTAAAATTAAGCAGGTAATTAAGATTAAGGTATTTCATGTGAGTGATATTGTTGGTTATAACTAAATTGTATCCTAATTTAACTCAACTGTTAACAGATTTCACAAGTCAATTTTTATATACCATTGAAATACATCTAACTTTGGTTGTATCTTGTTTGCTGATCTGTTGTACAATTTTGTATAACAATAACCTGACAACAACCATAAATATATTAAGAGTTGAACAATTCAAGTGATTTCATTTTTTTGTTTTTGATTGTTATTGCATTAATCAAGCTCAAGAAGTAACATTAAACCTCAAATTAAAGATTAGTGAGTGTAAAAAGGAGAGAGAGATCAAGACTACTATTAATCTTTGTACTTTGCTGATGAAAGTTAGGAATTTTCAAGCCACTAGTCAATTGAAATTGAGTTTTTAATTTCCTAATTAATAGGTTTCAGCACATCAAACAACAATTTAAGTTTTGATTTTCTCGAGATAAACTATTTTAGTTTATTATAATTTGGGTTGCACTTATCACAATAATTTGCAATTCAGCTAAGTTTATGGTATTTTAGGCTACCATTAAATGTGTTGATTAAATTTGTGATTTCTCTCTTCTTTTTGTTTTGAATTAAAAGTGAATATGATGATTGAATTGATGATTAAATTAGCAACCTAACTCTAACTAGGAATGTTAATTCAAATATTTACATATTTATAATCAACTTGAACAGCACCTTTGGTGTTTTCTTGTAGTATTATTGTTAATAATAGCGATCCAGTGATCGATTGTAACGATTTGTGGCTGAGGCAGTTGATGATGTTGCGTTGATTGTTCCTGTTGATTGACCATAACCTGGATAAATGGTGTATGGATTTGATTGAGCATAACGTGAATGTTCAAGAGATTGTTGATATGGGTCATGATGTTGACCATAATAGGAAGAAGATGGATAAGCCTGGTGAGTTGATGGTCCCATTGTCCCAGAGTGATAACCATGAGTACTACTATGGACACCAGATTGGGTTCGAACAGGATCTGTTGGGTATGGATAAAGGTTGGAGAGAGCATCTAGATCACTTTCTGATCGATAATGTCGACTCCGGGAATGATGAGGATATTGTTGATAGTAATGTGAACTATTAGAAGTCGCTTGGGTTGGATGATAGCCTGATGATCGATGTATTGTCGGGTTTTGCACATATGATCCTGACCCATAACCAGGAACACTTGGGTAAGACGAATTTGGGTTAATGTACCTTAAATCGTGATCAGAATGGTGATGTTGACGATAATAACCACCAGACCCGGGAAGACCTGATGATCGAGCCGCTAAGGCTGCTGATGTTGCACTTGCTGATGAAGAATGAATTGGAATTGAAACATTGCGACGAGCATAAGCTGATGGTGATATTGTTAGTAGATCACGTTGATTTTGATAGGATCCTGTGGCAAGGTTAGGATTGTAAGATGATGGATAATTGGTTCCAGATGGATAGTATCGATCTTGATAAGCTGATTGTCTGTGAGAACCTAGTGACCATGTTCCTTGGACATATGGATCAGGTGAATATTGATTGGATGGATGATGAAGATTAATTGAACTTGGACGTCCATAACCTACTCCGGTTGCTGATCCAGATAGATGTTGCTGTAAATAATGCTGTTGATGAGCATACCCGTTTGATTTGGTAGGTGTTCCCGGATACGAGAGTGTTACACGATCCATGGGAGCCGGAGTTGGTATTGATGATGATGATAATACAGATGGAGGTCGATTGATTGTTCGATGAGAAGATGAATTTGAATGATAAGAATGAGGTAAATCCGTAAGAGATCTTGAAGCTCCAGCAGCTAATTCTCTGTATAAACGAAGCTTAGCAACTGGAATGGTTGGTGACAGAGGATGTCGATTAGGTTCAGAAGGAAGCCATCGGCGATTTCGAGTAGTAACATCCGATTTATAATCACTCATCTAATAATAAAACCACAAAAAGAAAAAAAATCAACTCCTGAGTTAGACCTGGTCCTGTATTCCGAGATCTGGTTTGGCCTAGATTCAGGTTAAAGTTGACATTGATTTTTCATTGCATCATAGAAGTAAATTTAATCAAATTTGTTTGAACCTAATTGTACAGGGAAATGAGAGAAAAAGAAAGAGGTAAGTTAATAAATAACATATAGTTAAAAAGGAAAAAATGAAAGATGAATTAGAATAATCAAATTAATGCTAATAATTTTGTAAATGTAACAATAATTTTTACATGTACAAATAATGCACAACATTAATGTACAACATCAAAACAGAGATTGAGTGGGAAATGATATAAGCTGGAAACGAGAGGATCTTAAAATATTTTTTTAGACTAATCGATACGTTGAAAGAGATGTTTTACCGGTAAAAAGGGTTAACAATGTTGTGCAATGGTATGAATAAAAGGGTATCTTTTGGTTACTCCATTGGTAACAGTTCAACCGACATTTTTCTGCCTTCCATCTCCATTTTGATATCAAAAAAAATTGCTAATTTAAATAATCTTCTACCAGTGTATTTATAAGTAAAGCTTCTATCATCATTAACAAATTAATAAAGATTTTAATCTTACCTTTAATCCAATCAAACCTAAGCCTGGTTGAAATGTTGAAAGTCATGTAATATAGCATTGTTAAATGTGGAGAATCCAAGATCATTTTGTGACCATATCTTCTGTTTTATTCTGGTTGTAATTTCATTTTAAACAGCAACTTAATTAATCATGGTGAAGTGAGTGACCGTGGACAGTGTTAATCAACAAAAATTGATCTTAAATAAATATCTAAATCAAAATATAATTTATTTTCAAAGGAGTAATTTTTGGTTAAATGTAAACAATATTTACTGGTAAACGATTTCTTACATTGAGACAAAAGCGCATGATTCAACATTACAAATCGAGTTCAAATGGCTTCAACTGTTTTCTGGTGCTCAATCGTAGACTGATTAGGATCAAAATTATTTAGTTTTACCAAAGAAAATTGATTTACATTGGACTCTAATCAATTGATATTGTTATTTGCCGTTTCTTTTGGTTATTTTTCATACACCTGACGAGTTATAGTGATGATAATGGACATCATAAAGGAGAGAAATCGTAAAATTAACCAACAATTGGAATAAGAAAGTAACAAAAGGATTATTATAACCATTGATGAAATGAGGTTGACAATTTGGACACGGATTAATGATTTGAGAACAGTTTTGATTGCTAACATTTCTGTTTCTCTTTCGTAACAAGATACTCTTTTTTTCACAATTGCATGAGTTCACCCTAGTTGATTGAATTAATCGGGGTAAAAGTGCACCACTGTTTACCCTCAAATTGATTGCTCAATTAGGTGATTGTAATTGTTGTGATGATTGATCATTGATTTTTGCTGTGTTTCCATTGTTCTTGCAATTCAAAGTTAATCCATTTAAGGTATAAACCAAGACGGTTACATTCACAAATACAACACACACAAACAAAACAACAACAAAGTCTAAAAAAAGTAACAATAATTACCAAAAATGAGTATCATTATTATTATTTTTCAAATAATACAACAAGTGAACAATCAATAATCAGATGCCAAATGATTGAAATCCTTTTATCTTTGGACAATTTTGATAATAATTTCTAATTGTATTTTCTTTCTTTCTCTTCCCTTGATTACAGTTAATCACTTTTGGTCTATTGTGGATAACCATACCTTCAACCAATGCAGACATTGAAAGTGACGCTTATGGACCTAAATTGGTTATACGAACCCCAAGAGCAATCAGTGGACTGTGGAAACGATTCTTTGGCAGGCGAAAGCAATCGGTTAGTTTAGCTTATTAATTAATCATTGTTGAGCTATTTTTGTAGCTGAAACTGAATCTACAATTGTATCTGAAACATTGTTTCAACTGATATATGCCAATGATTGATTGTGCCTGTAAATCAGCTGACAAGAGTATCATTTAAATTTAACCATGCAAGATTCATCTTGAAAGGTTGATTGATAATTAGCATGTTAATGGTTGATTAGTCTATCTATCATTGAAACCATCATTTTTCATTATTTTCTTATTCCTATTTCCAAACAATTATCCTCTCTGATCAAATAATGATGAATGTGTTTAGTATTTTTTAGCCGCTTAAAAAACTAATTAACGTAGGTTAATGTTGCTGTTGTTAATTTGATTTTTACCTTATTCAGGATGGATAGTTAATTAGGAATCAATTTTGCGTTGATGAAATTGATTCTGATGCGTTAAATTTTAACCAGGACAAAGAAGATGATTAACTGGACTCAATTTATAAGGTTTTACTATTGTAAATAATATGATTTTAGAATGGCTTTTTTTAGGTAAATCATTTAAATTAAGAATAAGAGAAACACGAACTTGACCTTTCCTGAATAACAGTTTTTTTTCATGTTGCCCAACATTGCGAAAGACAGAATTAGTTAAAGATTTTTTTCCCTGATAAAAAAGATTCTAACGGAATTGATTATTTCAGATACTGAAGCAAAATAAAACAGATAGACAATCAATGATTTCATCAACCAACAATTATTGTTATTCGTGCAAACCAGTTGTGTATTTACTGACCAAGATCAGATTATTTTCAGAATCATATAAGCCGGTAAACAAGGTAACAAATAGATTGAACCAAGATATGTTGATTAAACTGATTAATAAACATAATTCATGATTGACCATCAAGATTTAGGTTCTATCAAGATAGCCAAAGAAATATTGAAATACATTTTTATGCTTCAACTATCGTTATGAAAAATTGTCTCTTATGCTAATTGTCCCAACCAATCTTGGATAAAATTGATTAAATTGCCTCAATCTAACTGATTTTTTGTTTCTAATTTACTTTAAAGGGATTCCAAGGATCGGCTCAAACTCAGCAACCTTACAATGTAGCTGCATCAACATATTATCCAGCCTTTGTTCAAAGCGCTGTTCCTGTTTTACCTTTCCAAGGTCCACCAGGTTTCGGTCCTGCTGCTGCTGTTGCAACCGCTGGTTATCCTTACCACTATCCAGCTCATTTCACCGGTTTTGAAAGCTACTCACCATTAGCTCAAGCTTCATCCATTTATCCAGCCTTTTCTTTACCAAATACATTTGCTGCTTCAGCTCAACCCGGTTTATCAGCTCCATTTGATTTCCAATCTTATTTTGAACAATTACTTCGACCCGTTGCTGGTTCTGCTGCTGCTGCTGCCGCTGCCTCTGGTGACCAAGAGACATCAGCTTCAACTCTTTTATCCACTGCGGTGAAACCTGATGCTGCTACTGCTGCTGCCCTGAATAATTTCAAGAACTTATACTACCCATTTCAACTGTCATCTGAAGGATCGGGTTCCCCTTCAGCTGGAGAATCATTCAACTTGCAGATTCCTTTTGGACGCAAACACACTCTTAGACGAAGCTCACAAGACAAGGTTTCCAATGTTGGCTATCAAATACAAAGACTAATCTCTCCAGCTCAACAACCCAAACAGAAACAATCAGTTAAATCTTCAGTGGCTCCTCTGTCTGCAAAATCACAATCAATTCAACACGCACACCAGAAACAACAATATGCATCGCAAGTTGCGGCCGAAGATCAAATTAAAAACCAGAAATCATACAAAGAGCAAGAACAACAGCTTCAAAATGCTCTATTCAACCCTCAAGAGTATATTGCTTCGATAATTCAACAAGAATTGGTCGCTCAACAAGCTCAACTTCAAGGTAAATCTGTTGACAGTAAATCAGTTGATCAAATGACTTCATCTTCTGAAAGAGCCTCAACTTACTATCCATCAAACTACTATTATGGAAGTGGAGGATCTTTACCTTTGGCGATGACCAAACCAAGAGCAGTCTCAAATGTTCCAAGTAAACAAGTGGTCACTAAAAAGTCAACCACTGTCTCATTAACTGAACCATCTAGACCATCACAGTCCAGTTCAGTATCATCATCTTCATCATCTGATCCAGTTTCTCCATCAAGTTACTCTAAGGCCAATTCATATCAATCTCAAGTTTACAAAGAATGATTAAACACTTTAATAACTTATTCCTATCTATAAATTCAGTTTGATTCATTTTGGACCATCAAAAAGCAAAATCAATCGATCATTCTTTAAAGTACTCTAAAATTTAATCAATCTTTTGATTAATCATCTTCAAACACGGCATGGTTAATTATTTGAAACAGGATTAGCTCTCATCTTATTGGAGAATTAAAAACTGATCTTTACCAATCAAGAAACTACTTGATCAACAAATGTGCCTCCGACCAACATTTATATTACTTTGTTTCCAACAAATAATCATTCCCTGAAATTCAAAGCCTATTTATTTCTCATTTTTTACAGTTTACCATTAAGTTAATATAAAAATTTGTTACAAACAATCAATTGTATCCACAAAATGTTGGTCAATTACATTTCAATAAAAGCTAATGCTTATAAATACCAAAAGTACCTTCAATTTATCACTTCTATTTCTTGTATTACTTCCTAGTGAACATTTTCTGTCCTAACAATGGTTCAACAATTAAATCAATAGTTATTTAACTTATGAACACTCAACATTTAAAAATCTGATTTACAGTATTTAAGGCTGAAAATGGTTGTCTAAGCTTTCGCCATCTAACGTCAGTAAAGTAAGTTTGGAGTGATTTAATGTTGTATCGCCATCTGCGGTATTAAACTTTTTTTACCTAAATATTTGTCTCACCTAGAAACTTTTTTATTTTGATTGGTTTGTTTATTTATTTTGTTTTGTTTTATTTGTTATCAATTGTACCTTTAATGGTACTCGTTAAGGAATAAACGTGTGAATATTTTTTAGATCATAATGGACGCTGAAAGTGTAAAAACTGGACTTACCATCATCAATGAGCTTAAAGACATGATCCTATCAAATCTGACAGCTGCTGGTAAAGAGAAAGTTGGTGAAAAAATCAATACAAATCTTGATATGTTGGCTTCAATAATCAATGGAAATAGTGTATCTAATTGTAATGGTAATGCTCAAGGAAATGCTAACTATGAAGCTGAGATTTTAAAAAGGCTTAGAGCAATTGAGGGTAAACTGGATATGACACCTAAAGAAACTTTTCCTGACAAAGTGATAACACATTCAAGATCTTCACATCGATTATTTCATGGATCTCATTTATTATCGGGAGCTAATGCTAAATTTCAAAAAATACTCAATCAATGGTATGGTGTACCTAAGCAATCTTGGCGATGTATTTTTCGTGCTCAAACACATAACTTCTCAGCTGATTCCTTTCATCGCCACTGTGATAATTTTGCTCCTACCTTTACCATCATTTTGGGACATAATGGTGACCTGTGTGGAGGCTTTACCGATATACCATGGAGCATACCTGCTGACCCAAAGGGACGTTATATTACTTCAGAGAAATCATTCCTCTTTAGTTTGATTAATCGTGAATCAACCGATCCAATTAAATTTGATGTTATTAAAAAGCGCTTTGCAATCGTTCATCATCAAAGATATGGACCCATATTTGGTGGTGGTGCTGATTTAGCTTTATCAGACAATTGTGATGCAAACATGGAAAGCTATTCCAATTTACCTCATTCGTATGATGGGGAACATGCGAATAATTACATACTCATGGGACATTATTATTTCTGTGTTAAAGATTATGAAGTTTTTACCATCACCTGACAATTTTTACTGGTTTTTACTATTTTCATTATTTGAAAATACATTAATTCATTGACTTTTCTGGTCTGGAACAGAAAATTGTTACTTCTTGATGACGCTTTATTGAAAGCATGAGATTTCCATTATAGTAATTTATTACAATTCAATCAGGGAGAGTTATTGTTAAAAATCCCTTCAATCTTCAACTTCTTTGTAAATGTGAAAATAAATTACGAATTAAGAATTTTAAAGTAATCAGAAAAGTACAAAAATCTTGAACTCAGTTTACTTTGATTAAACCATGGTTAAACATTGTATTATAGAAATTAATTTAAAATTCTATTAATTATATTATTAGTTTAATTTTTGAAGTGGTAATGTATAGAAGTTCAAGTAAATACATGAATTGTATAAATTTAAAGTTTGTAAACCTCTCAGGATTCAATAATTATAAAGATAATAATTTGGAAGTTGATACAGGAAATGAATGAATTAAAGCAAGTTTTGTCGGCAATTTCGTCTTTTTCAAATATTTCGACGAAGCAGCTTAAAAAACAAGATTTCGTCTCATAATGGTTCAGCTTTCTGTCAAAATGTCCAGCAAATTTTCATTACGGAATGAGAAAAAACGTCAACAATTTAGCTTAAATAATACATTCAAAACCACTGATAGAGTATAATAGTTTCATTGTTAAATAAAGTGATTATGATTACCCAGTCAACTAGCACATAGACGACAGAAATGCGGTTGAGGTAACTGACAAGTTGGATGGCAACATCAGTATTGTACACTTTCGTATAAAAATACAGACTTTGTAAATGACAAAATAAATAATATCTAAAAGGTCTCGATCTTTCAACTCTACCTCAATTTACCACTGAGCTGTTAATTAATAATAACAATTCAAATGTTTTTAAAGTATTGACCAGTTATCGGTACCGACACTGTTGAGGTAGATATCGATACTCTTGTGTAGATTAAAATATTGTGTTTTACGCGAAAAACGCAAAGAGGATTTTTGTATCATTTCATGTGCTGGTTACATTGGTAACGTTGGCTCTAGTTTGTATGAGCTATAAGTTTGGGTTGACTGGGTATTCAGCTTTAATTTTGAACTTGAGTAGAGTTGGTGCCTTCTTGGCCAGTGAAAAATTCATCCACAATTTTGTTAATAGCATCCAAATTTTGTGCGATTACTGTATGATGGTTTCCATTGAAGAATCGTTCGGTTCCCAACTGTGGATAAAAATAAAAGGTAAATTGATTAAATGTGTTTGTTTATTTTCATGGAACTCAAAAAAACACCAAACTTACCCTGATTCCGTTTGTGACATTTTTAAAGGTAGATAAATCATCTTTAGCTCTGATATGACAAATTTTAAATAAATGCGATTTGATTTTTGGCTTATACTTGAGAGTTAATTGTCCTTTCTGTAGAGTTAATTCATTAATTTTAACTATACTGTCTGCTTTAACTTCATCAAGACCATTGTTGAGTAAAATTGTTTTAAATTTAGCAAATCTTTCACTTCGGTTTGGACAGCTTTTCAGTTCCGAGTCAAATTGATCGACATCCAATTTGTGCATTACTCGTTTAAGAGTAGATTTTATAAATTCAACTTCTTGAGTATTTGAATCATTGCAAGCATGAGTATGTACAAGAGTAGCTGCTGCATGTTTTAATGTTTCAGGATCAGAATCAATCAAAACTAATCTGGAAACAATTGGTCCTTTCCCATTATTTGTCAAATAGCGATTTTCTAACTCGCTTGAAACAGCAAAAGCCACAAGTCCACCAAATGAATAACCAAGCATATCTATTTTATCATCGCTTTGATGTAGTTTAGTCAGTTGGTCAGCCATATAAATGGCTGCTGCTTCGAGTGAGGTAAATGGAGCTAAATCATAAGTCCAGTTGAGTCCAATAACTGGTCTTTTGACTCCATCAATCAATCCTTGCATCAAATCATAGTTACCCTCAATAGGAGGCAAATAATATACTGGCGATGTTGATTTATCAAATTGATTGTGTTCATTTAAATTGTGTGTCAGCTTTGTTGGGATTTGCAGCAATAAAAGTGGATTCAGAGGTAAATTTGAGGAATCATTGGTTTCTCCTGGACTCACACTAGCGGCTTGAGTACCATTTTTAACTTGTTTAGAGAATTCTTTGAGTTTGGATATTTTTAGAGCCCGAATTTCCCGTGAATTGATTGAGATGTTAAACTGTTTCTCGAGAACTTGTTGAACTTCAATAGCCATCAGCGAGTCCATTCCAAGTTCACCTAAGGTAATGTTAGGATCAAGTGAGTTGATGTCTTTAATGCCAAGAATATGGCTTATTGATTTAATTATATCTCCAGAGTCTGTTGCTAAAGATTTTTTATCAAATGAACGAACCAAACTTGATAAAACAGGAACAGGATAAGCCAATGCTCGTGAAAGAACCGAGAAACACGAATGAATACGCTGTGCTGCAGTTCCCCGAATCGATTCAACTTTGACACCCATTTTTTCAACAACAAACCCAACATCACCAACAAAACCCCATTGAATGGCTAAACCATGAAGACCATCTTTATGACGCTCTTGACAAATTGATTCCATGTAGCTATTGGCTAGACCATAATTAGTTTGACCTGGATTACCCCGACCACATGCAACTGATGAGAAGACGACAAAATAATCACAATCAGGAGCAAAAGTTCGAGTCAGTTGATCCAAATTACGAGTAACTTTAACTTTAGATGAGCATACTTTCTCATACGTTTCTTCATTTTGGTCTGCCATTAAAGCATCAGACAGAACCAATGCACAGTTGAATATTCCACCAATACTACGAGATGATATTTGCTCAAATAAATGGTAACAATCATCTTGATTGGTTAAATTGTGCTCCGAGATCGTGGTTTGAACACCAAGCTGGGCAAATCTTTTTAGACAGTAGTGGTGATAAGCAGATTTTGGACCGCTTCGTGAATTTAAAACCAAATGACGAGCACCATTTCTAACCAGCCAACAAGCCAACTCTAAACCGAATCCTCCAAAACCACCAACAATGATGTAAACTTTATTTGGGTGGAATTGAGGAGATTTTATTGATGTGATACCGAGAATGGGATTTGTGGCTGGTGAAAATGTTTGATTATCTTGTGTAGAGATTTTCTGGTCTTTGCTGTCATTTTCTGGCTTCACTTTGATCAGTACTTTACCAATGTGTTTACCAGTTGCCATGAAACGAAAAGCTTTCTCAACCTCATTGATTTCAAAAACTTTTCTTGGTAAAGGTCTGATTGTTCCTCTAGCAATTCCTTGTTCCATGAATGTGTCAATTTTACGCTTTTCTTGTTCCATTAATGCCTTTTTACCATTGACCCAGCCATTGGGATCAATAAATGAGTCTAATAAAATTCCATGAAAGGTTTTTCCTTGATCAAATAGGCCCAAATTTAGTTTATTGTTTTGCATTATATCGTATTTACCAATCTCAAGGAACCTTCCACCTGGTGCTAAACATCTAACACTGGCTAGAAGTTTGTCTTCAGATAATGAATTAAGAACAACATCAACACCATAACCATTTGTATGACGAAGTACATGTTCCTCGAATGAAGTACTACGAGAATGTGCAAAGCTTGTAGCATCCAAAGAAGGAAAGTGTTTCTCAAGAAACGCTCTCTTCTCTTCTGATCCGATTGTTGTAAATACTCGACAATTCATGCTCAAAGCAATATTGATAGCTGCCAAACCAACACCTCCAGTACCAGCATGAATTAGTACCGATTCACCTTCTCTAAGTTGTCCACGAATAAGAAGAGCATAAATAGCAGTGGCATAAACAACTGGAACAGTTGCAGCGTCTTCCAAACTCCAAGATGATGGAACAGGCCATGTAAAATCATTTGGCCCAAGAACCACTTTTGTCGCTAAGGCTCGATAAGGAAGCATTCCCATGACTCGATTGCCATTAGCATCAACACCAGCATACTCTAAACCAATAGGTGTTTGCATTTGAACCTGAGATCGCCAATCTGGATTAAGGTTTGAAGGCAATCTTCCAGTTGCATGCATAACATCCTTAAAATTAAGCGAGGAATAATTGATTTGCACTAACGATTGGCCTTTATTAAAATCAGCAACTGGATTAAATTGTGTCCACACAAGCGAGGAAAGATCACCCGGTGTTAGACATTGAATGTAGGCATCTTTTGCTACAGTTAAACATTTTTTATCATTTTCTGGTTTGGATGGGATTTCGAGGTGACAATAATCACCCCAACCCAATTTGTCATCAAAAACGTTGAATTTACAATCAATGGCAGCAATTTCAGCAAATGGCGACTTATTAAAATTGACAGAAGTCAAATCAATTCCTTTGGAACCAGGTCGAAGAGCAATACAGCGAAGTCTTTGTCCATTTGGCTCTAAACTTAAACACTTAACAAGACCAATAACACTTGTATCTGATTCATACTTTGAAGTTAACCAAATTAGCGAATCATCTTCAGTTTTGAGGCAACTTTTCAGCTCATCAAGCCATGAATATTCAAATGGATTAACATGAATAACTTTGTGTTTCTCAACCTTGATTGAATCTGGTGCCTTTTTAAACATGAGTCCAGTCAAAGGTAACAAATCAGAATCGATGTAACGTATGCTCATGCAGATCCATTGATTAGCTTCAATTTTCTTGACTAATTCAGTTGAATCAACTACATTTGGAATGTAATCTTTTAAAAGACTTCCCAGGAAAGGAGTTGATTTCAAGTCGGTTAATTTTGTTGATGTTTCTCTCGTTAAAATGAGAAGATTGCCATTGGGTTTCATGATTGAATAAATTTTGTCCAAACATTTAATCAACTGGTCAACAGAGCCATTTGTCAATTTGTATATAACCAAATCATTTTTACCCAATTGACTTGGTGCTTCAGATTCAATTAGATTCCATATAATCGTGTTAACTGTACCTGAAAGCTTATCAGCAGTTTCTTGATCAACAGGACTTGATCGAACCAAATTGTAGGTAAGTTTCATTGAGCCTAATGATTGTGCATCGACAAACGATCTAACAGAGTCAACTAGGAACCCTTGAGAATCATTAATTTCAACAACACTCAATTTAGAGCAAGGATCACCGGCATAACACTCATGAGCAGCAGCAGTAACAACAAATGGACGCAAAAATCGCTGGTTACTATGAAGAATAGCATTACTACCGATTAATAAATCATTCGGTAATGCTTTCGTAATCTCGATCGATGGCGATTCTCCTCTAATCAAAGAGAGTAGATAATTAGCAAATGAATGCTGATCTAGTGTAAGATCGACTGTATTTTGAAGAGATTCAATTTCGTTTTCTTTTACTGATCCAAGTCCAAGATATTTTTGTTTCAAGACAGCAATAAGTCCATAAATTAAAGTGGAGTATCTTTCAATTGATTTCTGAGTCATTTCATCAACAGCTGAAGTCTCATTAAATGGAATAAAATCGTACGATTCAAGAGAAACTGATTGGTTTCGTCTATTGGTATCGGAAGCAAACAAACCCTTGACCCAAAGTCCATTAGTTGACAAGGTTTGAGTGATTGGATCATGAGTGACAGTGAACTCAGGACAAAGAGTCTCTGTTTTCTTGTTTGAATCTTCAGAATCAGCCTTTTGTACCTCGTTAGGTTGGTGACTTTTATTGAAGCAATTAATCGTCTCCATGATAGCAGTTGGATCGCAAACTAAAGATTCAAAACCAGTAGGAATATACAAATCACGGTTATGTTGATTTGAAAGTAAAATCAACTGCAAGGCTGAATCAGTGAATGTTATCCAGGTTTTAAGAAACCGAAAAGTTGAATCGTGAGTTCGCTCCACAATGGATGCAGCTTTAAGCTGAGTATTGGTTGGTTCACACCATTTTACAGTTCCTTTGAGCCCGAATGAAGAAGCAGAGTTTAAACATCTGAAACTGGGCCCATAATCGTAACCTCTAACTCTGAGCTCTTTGTAAATATCTTGTTCACCAAGCATAACCTCATTGTCAGCGTTTATCTCGAGTTGGGATAATTTAGAAAATGAATCTTTTACATCTTCCAAGTTAGGATGAGCAAACACTTTTCCAGTAGCAACAACTGTACCACTTTCAATAATTGCAAAGGTTCCATTGTAAGGCAAGTATTGGACAGTAAATTTAACTTCCTTTTCGGGTAAAACGGTAGCTCTGATTAATTTAATGTCACGAAATTCAACTGGAAATCGAGTTACTTGGATTTGATGAAATTTGGCTGCAACATGCCAGGCACCCATTAAGAGACCAGTTGCTGGATAAAGGATTCGTCCGTCAATCTTGTGATCAGAAAGATACCAATCTTCTGCATTTGCTAGGTTAACCTTAAAATTAACGCTTGTTGATGCTCGGAATGGATTGAAATATTCGGGAAATTTGAACACTTTCCAGTCATTTGAATGGTCAAATTTAATTAACGAGTGTAATGATAATGTATCAACGGGAACTGGATAATTTACTGGTTGATATAGATTTTCAAGACAATAGTTGAGGCCTTCCTTTGAATAGAGTTGACCCAAGCATGAAAATAAACTCTGTCCAGAGATAACTCCTCTTGAAATGTCTGATAAATTGTATTGAGAGAATTGATTCAATGCAAGTTCATTGTTTGTCTTTGAACATTTAAATGGCTTATTATCCATATTGAGAAGAATGACTGAAGTTTTATCTTCATCCTTTAAAATTTCCATCGTCTTAATGTAATTGTCAGGATAAAGAATCTGCTTTATTAGATAGTTCTTGAACGAAACTAAAGATCCATTGCTTCCCGGGTTGAGGAGGAAATTTGTTGATCCAGTAAAATGATGAGAGTCATTTGCATCAACACAATCAGTTGACTGGACAGGATATTTGAAAGGAATTTTTGACAATTTCAATGAAATTGTTAGATCAGCCAATTCCGAAAACGGTCCTGAAATCAAACAGGATTTGTCCGATTCCTTTATGGAGCGGATTGTGGGTGAACACAATGATTTAATTTGATCCCAAGATGATTGAACTTCTAAAACTGGACTGACAATCGTTTGATCAGCAATTTGTATAAAATGTCCAAACCAATAAGCGATAAGGATTACTTTTTGTTCACTTAATGAGTTTTTCAAATAAAGATTTATCAAGGATCCAATCGAGCGAGTTAAAACACCTTCAATCGGCAGTTTGATCGATTCTAACAAATTAATCATTCCCAATTGAATAGCAATTGAAGTAACAATTGATTCCAAAGGATTTGTGATTCTTTTCTCTCTATAAACTAAAGCCGATAGATTTACTTTGAAGGGTTGCAAGTATGATGATAAACGGTCAATGGTTTGTGAAAAAACTGGTAAATTTCTGAACGAAGAGTCGATGTTCATTAAATTATTTGATGCAGTCAGGTAAACCTTTTTATTCTGGGTCAAGTCAAAATTATCTCCAAGGAAATGAGTAAACTTGTAACGTCCGACTTCACCTTCAACCAGAGTATAACCACGGACAGGCATTCGTCGGGTTTTTGAGTATTGATTGAATAAACCAAGAAAAGGTTTAGTTAAAAGTCGCTGAGATTTTTCAAGGAAATTTTGTATGAAATGAACACCATCATTTGAACGACCGGCAATGTTGATTAATCGAGGTAATCCTGGTAATGTTATGGCATAATCATCGGGTGAAGACTTTTTATTATGACCTTTCAGAATGACATGAACATTTGCACCACCAAAGCCGAAACAATTGAGGGAAATAATTTCTCCTTCAAATGGTGTGGTTGAGTTAACAGGAACTATTGTTTCATTCATCAAACCTTCAATTCGTGGATTAGGCTTGGAAAAGTGTAAATTACCAGGAATTAAACCTTTCTGGAAAATACAATTGGCTTTAATTGTTGCACAAAGGCCTGAAGCTGCTTCTGAGTGACCCATGTTTGACTTTAAACAACCAATCATTAAAGGCTTTGATTTATCTCGATTGATACAAAAGACATCATGAATCGCTTTCATTTCAACTGGATCACCGGCTTGAGTACCAGTTGTATGGGCTTCAACGTAGGATACTTTAGTTGGGTCCAGTCCAACCTCAGTGTAAGTTTCATACATTAATTGTCGTTGAAGATTAACCGAAGGAAATGATATTCCTTGATCTTTATAACCATCAGTGTTACTGCGACAGTTAACAATGGTTGAGTATATGCGCTTGGCATCGGCTGATTTTTGCAGTAAAATGCAGCAAACACCTTCTGACCTTCCATATCCATCGGCAGATTCATCGAGACATTTTGATCGGCCATATCTGGAGACCATTTGAAGATCACGAAATTGAAGGGTAACAACTGGAACCAAGCAAATGTTGTAACCAGCAACCAAAGCTTTATCACACAGGCCTGATTTAATTGCTGTGAAGGCTTCATTGAGAGCTGCAAAACTTGATCCACAGGCTGTATCGAAATGGCAAATTGGTCCTTTGAGGTCATAAATGTAGGGAATCAAAGTTGTATAGATTTGTCTGTAGTTGGGAACATCCAATGGTTCCTCACCCCAGGCCATATCAGTTTCTTGGAAAGATGAACCATAAAAGAAACCAGTGTTTGTCCCTCTCAAAGAGTCAACGTCCAGACCTAGAGTTAAAAGGAGTTGAAACATTTACTTTAATATTTAATTAAGGGTTGATTGTGCACATTTTAATCTAAAACATTGGCCGTCAATATGAATACAGTAAAATAGTCAACAATGTAACAACTCAGGGTTGCCTCAACACTTTCCACCCCAAAAAAACATCTATGGTGCCAACAATGTTTACATTTTATCAAAAGATTAATCGTTTTAAATGGTAAATTAAAATTTCTTCATTTTACCTTCTTACAATCATGATAAACAAATGTATTCAATAACCTCCATTGAATATCCTTGATACTTCACAGCTTGGCCTTTTAATATTAAAATGATTGCTTTCTCTTCCTTCCTTTCAACTTCAAGGATTAATTACAATCTTCTAGTTTGCAAGTGTAAGAGATATTTAAAGCAGTTAATCAGTTAATCATCCTTTTTATACCCAAAATAAACAATTATACAAAACTATCTTCAAAAGCCTGGAGCTCAAACTGACCATTTTATAATGCAACTGTAAAGTGTTTCACATCAACGAGGTTAACTCGTTTCTATTAAGCTTTTGTTTCTAAATCACAATCAAGGTGAAAGATTCCCTTGCCATTTCTGATTTAATAAGCATATCAACTCATCGACTTGATTTTCAATCATGTTTCAATCAATCTAATTTGACATCCCAATCAAAATCTCATTTGCTTGCATCAATGGGTTCATTAATTAAATGATAACTTATAATCAAATAATCAACAGGGACAATTGAATTTGATTAAAGCAGTTTAATCCTGTATTCAAAAGATTGACCATATTGATCAGAATTGAATAAATTAATAACTAAAGCTCATAGCTCATCTTTAAGTGCTGCGTTTAATCTCAGTTGATTATTTAAATTGATGAAAACTGACCCAAGTCTAAAATAATTGATTATAATGGTAATTGGAGCTGCAAAAAATTAATTGAAAATCGTTAGATAATCAAGCAAATCAGTTGAACAGTTTTTTGTTTTCATATTATTAAACGGCGATAAAGTTGATCAAAATTGAAACAAATCAATATTCAAACATTTTATAATGAAAGCAAGGTTGATTGATAGCGACACGTTATGAGAATGAAATATTCATTAAACAATCAAAGGCTTATAATCACCAATTTGGTTGAATTGGTTTTGTGTTGATGATCAATAGCTTTGTTTTTTCTAGTTCAATTTAGTGATTGTATTTTAAATTATTGGTTAATTGAACATTAAGATTCACTGTGATTAAGAGACTAACCTGAATCAATAATGGCTTCATATGAGACTTCAAGTAACTTTCGCAATTGTGGATCCAAAAGGTCAGCTTGATGGTCAGAGATTTGAAAAAGTTTGGCATCAAATTTGTTTAGGTTACCAATTTGACCGCTTTGGTAAGGAAAATCGTTGCTTCCTAAAAATCAATACAATAAGTGAATATTAAAAGATAAGTCCGAGAAGGATATTTCAGGGTTAGGAGTTTTGATCAACAATCAAATTAACAGTTAGGTCTATCTTTTGACGCTTGATATATCATGAATTTTTACGCATCATAGAGCTCGATACAGGGCTAATCAACTGAATAGACTTTGGTTAGTAATTAAGATCCATTGGATGATGATTATTAAGGTAAGGATTAGATGCAAACCCTCTCATTAGGAATGCAGTTGAATGCTAAGTCCTCATAAGTGTAAATCAAAAGCAATTTCAATAAAATCGGTTACAATATTTGACTGCTAATAAATTACAAAGATGTTTAATTGTCAGCATTAGTGAAGGTGTAAAAATCGTTAATTGGTTAATTTGTGGCTATAATTTATAATTTAATTGCGTTTTGATAAATGCTAGTTTAGATTGTAATTTAAGTGCGATGTAAATGTCTGAGAAAAGACACTTCAAGTCGGAAAAACTAACACGAAAACCTAATTTGTTTCTCGTTTCTTTATCAATTTATGAGATATTTGAGTAGTGTTTTTGGTTAAGTGATCAAAGAAAGTGTTAAAGATAGATTAATTGAAAGGTATTTACCTGCAGGGAAACGCTCATTTCCACCGCTCATCATATCAGTCGAGTTGAATAGATTGTCTAAAAATTGGTCAACTGACTCGGATTTTGGAAACCGTCCAGAGATTCCAGAGATGACCACATCATCTTTGACTCTCCATTTACGACGGATAAAGTTATCGTTGAATTGCACATCCATGATTACCAATAAACGGTTGAATGCTACAACCAATGGTAATACTAGGTACACTTAAGATAATAGCACCACTCAATAGAAAAGTTGATTAAAAGTTGGGAAACAATTTGAATGGTTGATAATTCAATCGTTTATTGGATTATCCATTTGACGATGGGATTGATGAAGATGCTACTGATTCCAGACACAGAAATAATGTGATAAAAGATGAAGATGATTGAAGATACTGAGGGTGAGTGAGAAGAAGCATAATGATAAAAAGATGACTGTGAATGAGTTGTTTAGCTCCCAAGGCATTCATCCGTTTGGTGTATACTGTTAATTAAAAAGTTAAGCTAATATTTTTAATCGCTCCGCCTCGGAATCTCCTTCTATCTTTCCTTCACGGCCAACTTTCACTAGGCTATTAATTTGCAATCTCATCTATCATTTAGCGATTCCCAATAATCTAGAATCTAGATCAGCTAATCCATTATCTGATCCAGTAAAAATCCTGATCTGATACAAGACAATAGACGATTCAAATTTTCGCTCCCTCACTGGCTAACCATATGATAACCCATTTAATGCGCCTTAATCTTGAGCTAGCAAAAAATTTCTCATTTTTTACGTTGACTTTTTATACTTAATTATTGAAACTTCATTGCCACGACTTTTATTTTAATGATTGTTCACCTGATACATTGTACAATTATTGACCATTAAAAGGATATTGATTCGTTTCATGATTGATTTGCCCTTCCAAATATTGGGTAAGTAAATTCAAGAGAAAGCTATCTCATTGCCTATGAACATTCATTGTTGTCGACAAATCTTTAACCTTTTTTTAAGGTTTTTTATGCTTCAATTTTCTAATTCTTCTTTCTCTATTTCAATAACTAGGAACACGATATAATCTATTGCCGCAGGGTGAACCTGAATTTGGATGAGAATCTGGTTCCATCTTGTCCTTCTTCCAGTGCTTCTTCTAGTCATTCTTTTTTCTGAAACTTTTACTTGCTGGGGTTTTCCACTCTTCTCTGTTTACATGAGCATATTGCAAGTTATTCATTCCAGCCATTGACGCTCAATATTAGTATCATCATCATCATCAGCATCATCATCATGCTCATCAATATCAAAATCATGTTTTTCTTCTCAAATAATATTACGAGTTCTTCTTCTTTTTTCCATCAAAGTCAATGAAACTAACCTTTTTCAAACAACAATTCAGTAAACAACAACAACAACCGCACAAACTACTCTATCAACTTTTCATAGTAAATGTTGAAATAATTCAATTCAACATTACCTTGTGTATTTATTAATACTTTTTGTTTATTAGTGTAACTTGCATATTAAACAAAATTGGTTAATTTTCATTTATTTTTTTTTTGTTATTCTTCTTCTTCATTTCTGCATTCATCTTATTACCTGAACATAGTCAAGGTGATAACAATATGAAGGTTATCATTTAGATAAACGTGCTCAATTAAACCCGGAATCATATTATTACTATTTTCATTTTTCATACCTTATAAACAAGTAATTAATATGTTAAAAAAATGAATTGTTCAAGTTTTACAAGAACAATTCAATCTCCCAACTCATTTGGTGTTTAATAATTGATTAGCTTAATAACTTAATCAATGAGCAGTGAAATATTAAGAGTCAACCATTTTTAATGACTACCTAGAAGTAAATCAAAGGTACTGGACTGATAATAATTGTCACCTCAGAAATCAAATAACATTTACAATGATCTTGGTTAATCAATGACTCTCTTTGAAAATAACCAGAAAAGCTCTTGAAATATCATTGACATAAGCATGAGTTTATAATTTAAAACAAGATTCAGGTATAACTGAGTTTAGTCAACAATCTAACCTTGATTGAAATAGATTACAATTTTGTTTTGTTTTTATTTTGGGAAAAAACTCAGAAACGGTAACTTTCCTGAAAATATCCTTAATAGAGCATCAATTAATCACCAGCAATTGAATGGATGTGGAAAAATTTGAAATAAATTTACCAACTTTTAGCTCAAAATGGAAATGAAATTCACTGACCTGAGGCAATTTGGATGAATACTTGATCAATGTTAACGATGACCATTTTTAAATTTCAATGGAAATCTTATTGTAATTGTAAAATTAACTTGATTGACTTCAATTTAATCATATTTCACTGTTGAGAGATTCATTTGTTGCAAACGAATTCATTTCAACAGCAGACTGTTTGTTAAGACATCAACTTAAACTTTTTTGTTTAATCAAGGCTGTTAATTAGAGGTGTTTTGCTTTGTTTGATCAAGCTAAATTAATTTTCATGGAAACAAACAATTAACTCTTGACTTTGATAACAGTCTCACGTGAATTGTAACAAGGTATAATCATAGCTAACAATGAAAGATGAATCAAGTTTAACAAAGGTTGTCACTAATAAACACATCAAATTGTCATTGTATTTAAGTGGACAATTTTCTTGAGTTAATTGTGGTCACATTTATATTCATATGAATAAAAACTTAATTCATCATTCATTCAATAAAATATTTAAACATTTGTTAAGTTGACTATTTTAATTGATAAATTAAGAAATACATTAATGTCGATATAACTGTTAAACAACTGAACTGATAATTTTCAAGCTATCAAGTTATAAATTGTAACTTGAAACAATAACAATCTCTGAAACAACCTGTGGGGAAAAAGTTTGAGAATTTTCGGTTTTTTTCTTATATTCTTATTTTTCTGAAAATTAAACTGAAAGGTCTTAAAGAGTTGCATCGATTCATTTATTTTTTCAGCGAATCTTGTTCATCGGATTATTCACTGAAAACTGAATTCGGAAAACAACTTTGAGTTGAACTGCACAGTTGTTCACAGTCCTCGACTTTGAATCGTTTTACGGTATTTGAATGATTCATAATTTTAGTGTTAAAATAACGACGATAAGTCTCAATGAAATGCACACGATCATAGAACTTAACAGTGACATATATGTTAGAGCCACCTTGTTGTGCATGAATTTCACCAATACGAGTTATTGGAATGAATGAAGTCAAGTATTCTTCTGTTGATTGCTTGATTTGTTCAAGATTGTATTCACTCGTATAAGGGTTTGAAAAGAGAAGTTGAAACCAAGTGAAGTTTCCAGGTTGTTCATAACAACCAGAAACGTCGAATCGATCTTCATAATCAATGTAATCGTATTGGTAATTAATCATGGTTACTTCAACTTGAGGTAGAGCTAACGAGATCATAGTAGTCATCATTTCGATCTTTGGTGAATATGACTTTACTTGGAATATAATTACTGGCATTCTGAGTATAATAATAGTCAATAATGGCATCAAAGTTATCATTGAAGAAGTTAGTTGATCTGTATTCTTCCACTCGAAAAGGTCCTAAAGGAATCTCGCCAATGAAAGTTGGTGCGTATTGTTGAGGTGGTTTCATTATCAGATAGTACAATAGATTGAAGCCATAACCATATTCAGAGTAAGGCCAATAGGTGACTAAAGTAACATCAGACGAATGATCTTCTAACAAATATTTACATCGACCATTGTGTTCATCAACTTCAAATCGTCCTAAGGGATGAGGCATTTCAATGGAACGATAGAAATCAGTTTCTTCTTTAATTGCGTATGAAATAACATCGCCTCGTTTCATTACACGAGCAGTCGATTTGATAAGGTCACTATTAGAACATGTTAGTATGGTTTACATGTCCATAGTAAACTCTTTAACTTCACTGAAATCTGGTAATGGAGTAGATGGACGAGTAACTTTACGAGCACATCCATAACTCAGTGAATAAGGAATAGGTACATCTGATGATATGACCAGCGGTTTAAAATGTAATAGTTATAAACATATTTTGACCTGGAATCAACTTGCTTTTTAACTGTTCGATTTTCATTTACTGAAATGACTTCCTGAGTCTCGAGCCATTCAGGATAATACAACGAGAACCGATAAGGCAAAGAGGTCTTAACATCAAAGTAAAAGTCAATGTAAGGTCCATTAGGATTGGTACAATAAAACCAATGATTGACACTACGACCTTCAATCAGTTCGGATCCTATGAACGAAGCTTTATCACTAATATTGTTAGCATAAATCATCAATCCTGTTGGTCCCAAATGAACAATATCTTTGAACACCTCTGAACTTGCGACAATAACACTTGGTTCAAACCAATCCTTGATCGATTTCATCTTCTCATTTTGTGTCAAGTCCAACCTTGTACACATATTTTCTCGAACAACAATCTTTTCCTCTATCGAATGATAATAATAACGTCGATTCATTTTATCTTCGTTGATTATTACCGATTCAGAGTTATTAAACAAGAATCAAGAGTAATCAAACCCAAACTCAAATAGTCTAAATAATCGGTTTTATTCTGTTAATGATTCAAGTTACACTGAACAACTCTCAACTGATCAAATGCTGAAATAATAAATTTGCTCAATCATTCATCAATGTATACACGAATTAATTTGAAACAGAAAATTTTTAATTACAATCGAATAAATCTTATTTATACAACTTGAATTCTATTCTTATCTCTAACCATTCCCTTGTGAAATTTCAACACAAGACAGACTATTTTTAAAAAAATTGGACATCTAATGGGAGTTTGTGGTCATTAAATCATATAAATATAATGACTATTTGTGCACTTTGATAATTTCCTCAATTTTCTTGTTGAAATCATCAATACTCTTTGAGTTTCGAATATTTTCTCCTATTTTCAATACTCGATTATTCAATTCTTTATCATTTAACAACTCATCGATAGCCATTAGCAATTCATCTTCAGTAACGTGATGAGGACGAAATGATCGACCAATCTTTTTGTCCTCAGCTCGTCGGCCATTATCATGTTGATCACCAAATAACGGTAAAACAATGGAAGGTTTCCCAAAGTAAAGTGACTCAACAAACGTATTATTACCCCCATGATGTATTACCAGATCAACTCTGGGTAAAATAGCCATTTGGTTGAGAAATTTAGCACCAATCATGTTTTCGGGCAACTCGTATTTATCATGGAATAGTCCTTTTGAAACAATGAACAAATGTTTTGATTTGCCAAGAATACCAACAAGTCGTTTCATGAGTTCAACATCTGCAGCTCCCATTGAACCTAAACTAAAAAGGATTTTCTTTCCTGGTCGATCGAAAAACTTTTCATCAAAACCGAGTGGATCTTCTTGAACTAACCGCACCATATGATCTAGTCTGAAGCATTTATCAGGAACTGGACCGAACTCGGAATAATCCAGATCTGATGGGAATGAATATACATTAAGATAAGGCGATGACTTTGAAATGGCAAATGGTTCAGGTTTCACTCCTTTAGAAACGAGCCATTCATCGAAGTCGCTTTTAACATCTTTCATAGATTCAGCAATAAACTGTTTATAACTGATTACTGTGTCTGGATCAGTATCAATTGATAAACCAAAACAAGACGGTGGTACATTCGGTCCTGCATATAAATTGAGAGGATTACACGAGGTAAGATGGATCCATGGTTTGCCTGAATTGACGACTGAAGGAAGTGTCACATAAAAATCAATAATGATTAAATCTGGGTCTATTGATTCAAGAATGGTTGGTATTTGGCCATCAATTATCTTTGCATAATGAATATCTCGATTAATTGAAGGAATGAGCAGCTCAATAAACTGTTCCCTAGGAGTTTTGCTAAGTGTATGAGAATAACGATTCACGAAGTCACCATTCTTTTTTTGTAGATCCTGATCATCAGGCACTGTTGGATCTTTTACAATCTCAACCTTAAAATTGTATTCCTCAATTGGTTTACACCATCGTTTAGGAACAGCGAAAATACATTGATGTTCAAACTCACTCAACATGCGTGCTAAGCCTATGCAAGCATTAACATGGCCAAAACTGTGAACGAGAAGGAAATAGAGCAAATGAATTCACTTATTTACTAGATTGAATTAAATAAGTTTACATTTATTAGTTGATAACTTACGCATCCATAGGGATAAAAAATATCTTCATTTTCAGCTTCGACAAGCAAGCTTGATGAAAAATATTAACTCGAATGAAAAATTGAAAGGCTGGATACGAAATGATGTGAACTATGACATAGACTAAGGTATGTAATTATTTGCTCAGCTTATTTTATTGAGGTTAGACATCACTTCACATCACATGCTCGTATTATCACTTCTTGGAGATATTACTGGAGTATTTATTTGTAAGTTATTGTGCCAATAATTTTTTATATCATTAGGGATAATTGAGATTTGCTTCGATCTAAATGAGACATTAATCGTCTGCTGGAGGTAAATTCTTGAACACAAACAGATTGTTATTATTACATTTGATCAATAATCTGGCATTCCATTTATGAAACCCTGCATTCATCAAAGTGATAGTTAATACGTATCTTCCATTGTTCCAACCATTAACATTTCATTTCGTAGCATGGAAGCCATGACTAAGATACATCAATTTGAATAGTCAGAGCTGTATCATAATTCAGTTTACTCAGAAATTCACGTTTAAACAGGATGGGAAAAATGTATGGGAATCCGTATTTTGTAGCATTCTGTTGGGGAAACTTTTTTGGTTATTCAGGTTGATGGTTTATTGCTGGGTTAGGAGTATTTATTTATGTAAAACTGTTTTTAGAGTAAAGAGTAAAGAGTTGGTAAAAAATCTTTTGACTCAACTGTACAAAAAGAGACCAAAGTTTCAACTTTGAGCTCAATTTTCCAGATTATCCACCAGAGAAATATTTTCATCCAGAGATTTTTTCATAAAAATCAATTTTCCTGATGTAACTTTCAAGCTTAACAAGAAAATGCATTATTTCTCGAAATAAAATTTCCTATTTTTGTACATAAGATCACTTCAATTAAACCGACTACTTTTGTTACCGTAAAAGTAAGAGGGCTGAAACTCATTTTTTCATAACTCATGAGTAAACATGATTTTGATGAAAAAGTTGGTTCAATAAGTGTACAAAAGGCGATTGAAGTTTCAACTTTAATCTCGATTTACTCGAAAACTGTCATTCAGAGAAATTTTTTAATAGCACTAATGGACTCAGTTTAATGTGCCTACAATCTCACAAAGTCCCAATTCAAAACTAGAAGGAAAATTTTTTGTCCTTTGTCCTTTACACTGTTTTGGTACATTTTGGTCATTTTGGTTTTTTAGTGAGACTCATCACCTAACAATGAAGATTGGAGAAGTATAAAAGTTAAGACAAGAAAGCCAAGACATGATTGTTAAATAAAGTCACTTGAAAATCGTTTTCTGAGTTAATTTACCTTTATATATTTGTAAAAAGTGATCTAAAAAAGGGACAAATGAATAAATCGACACAACTTTTCACTCGAAGCATAAAAAAGTTTCAATAAGCTTTTTGTATCACTATGCGAAACAAATGTGGTTTAAAGTAACTCGAGTCTAAAATTGCTACATAAATGTTTATTAAGGTGAAGCAACTTTATCATCATTTGATCAAACGACAATAAGTTATTTGATCAGTAATCGTTTTAATTATGTTTGGAGGTTAACTCTCATTTTATCCTTTTACGTCAGCAATTTCGTTACTTCATTTTGAAGATACCATATTGACCAACACTGTTTCTGCTTTAATGGGTATTAAAAAATAAAAAATTTTGACATTTTCCATCGAACGGCATACAGCATGTCCCTCTAGCATGCAAAGTTGCTGAGTGAGAAACATGTCAATGTGAACATGGTATAATTTGATGAGTGTCTGACGATGTAACATACAAGCTGTATAAATATATGGCTATCAAATTAGTATAAAAGTCAAGTGTTTTTAGAGAAAAGTATCAGTTGAAGATTCAAAATCGATTTACATTGTTAGTGATTTTTATTATACATTCGTTCAGTCTCATCAAAATATAACAAAAAAGTGAAAATGCAATTTAATAAAGTTCTATCCTAAGTCTTTTTAATAGCAATCTATGCTATCTTCGAGTTTGTTGCAGACCAGATCAACGTCTCAGCAGCTAACGTTCGAGTAGCTCGCACAGTTCATCATTACAAAACCAGTTCCGATGATCCAATCGATCTAAAGGATTCTGCAAATGGTCTATTAGCTAATTGAATGAATCTTATGTATTAAACTAAATTAAATGTATTAAACTTGAATTGAACACTCCATTTTTTATCATTTTCGGTTAAAATTTCGAATTAGCAGAGAAAGCAATTAAGACCATTCACTGATTATTATATGCTCGGAAAGTAAGTCCATTGTCGTTCTATAAGTGAACGATCGTTAATAAACAAAATGTCATGTCATTATTTTATGACTTTCTTCGTTTGCCCACAGCGAGGATTCATTGTTGCATTGGCTAGTGACTTAAACACCCTGGCCAACTAAAAAACTTTGCTTCAAGCCTCTTAAAAGCATATCTTTGCCTGCAAACCTCTCAACTGCTGAGATTAAAGCCTGTGATTTTTGCTAGTTGATGAAAAAGTACATGTATACGAGCATAAAACAAGATCATCTAACTTGTTCCGCTTGTATTCTAGGCACTTCTGCCTGGGTCGACCTAGCAGTTAATTTAAATATATTTCACCCTGGATAAAGGCAAACACTCTTTCAATGATTTTAGTTGACCACCAGAGCTTTGATAAGCAATCGTTCCGGTAATTATTATCAGGTAACAAGGAATCAATGAGGCCAAGTAGAATTGAAGCTGGTTGAATAAAGCCTGTGAATTAAGAATGAAAAGTGTTAGTAATCAAAATTATTTGTGCAAATCTCAAAGATTTAGTATACAATAGGGAAACCTTAACTTGCTATAATTTCGTTGGTTTTAACCAAACTGATACAAATGAAAACCAGGACAAAATTTCATTTAATTGCCCGCTAATTTGTCGAAAAACAGAATTATATCAAGTCAAGAGTTTATGCTAGTAAATTCCCAAGCGAATGAAATAATCAATTTACCAGTGATGATGCAGTAAGATGAGAAAGAGTTAATTGTCAATTCTATGTTTACATCCGCTATCGAGTGAATCAAAGAATATGATTCTCCTGAATGTATGTATTCAAATAAAAGTTAGAGCAATGAACGCTTGTGATATGAAAAATTTAGGTGAACCGCCATAAAGACCCACTGTTCCTGGACTATTAGCAAGCGTTTATTTCTGGGTACATCAATAGCCCATAAAAAAGGACGCCAAGACACATAACCAAAAGAAACAGCTGTAAGGTAAACAAAAAATACATTAGCACATTACAGTAAGATAAGAAAATTAACTTACGATGAGGTCATTATAATCTGAATTGGATAATTGGCTACTTTAAAGCAAAACATTGTCATAGAAGGACCAAAAGTTATGAAGACACAGTCACAGAATTCAACGAGAGGCACGATTTCATGCAGTAAATGAAAATTGCGCGAATAGTCCTGAGAATTGATGAATAGAAATGGTTTCAAAAATTAATTTCAAAAAGATTAGATTATTGAAAAATATCATCAAACATTTCACAGATGTTGAAGCTCAGGCGTATTTGATTACGGTAGCTAGTAGAAACTCCTTGGTTACCTGTGGCATACCGTCATTGTGATTACAGCACTCTAATAAGGTCATCTGATATTGTTGTTTATTGTAATGGTTTACTTTTAATTATCATAAAATCCAATTGATCTATCAGGTTGATAGTATCAGCCATTATCCGAGTCAATTTGCTGTTTCGATGGATGAAAAAACAACAGAGCCACCGAGAAAGAAGTTTCACACATTGAATTCGATTAAGATCTGAATATCAAAAGAAGATTACATAGGATTATCAGAAACAATGTAAAATGTTCATTTGGTTTAATTAAATGATGACTGTGAAACAAATGTTGAGGTTACACCGTAAGAATTTATCTCATTCAAGTTGAACACATAAAATTGTCTAATCGCAGACTCATGACTCAACGTAATTTTTTATCAATGATGCAACAGATATAAATTAATTAATTAATCAACAATTTGAAGAGATGAAAAATATACGATTTATGACATTGAAATAAAACAACACAACATGAGTCAAAAGTGAATGTTATGAAATCAAACTGAACAACAAAACGTAATATAACAACTTACCCTGCAACAGGGAGGGGCCAGAAAAGTCTTCCGATTTATTTTGTCACTTTCACTTGTAAAAGACTTTTAAATCAACATTATTAGTGTTATTAGTGCAATGGAATCGAATGAAGGCAAAAATAGATGAATGATGAATTAATTGTTTGAATTTTTGTTTTCATTATTTATTCCATTTTGTTAATACTTGTATTTTGTTTTGTTTTGTTAGTGTTTCTTTACATTCTATCTTATCTACGTCTACTCATCATTCGTCATGGCCTCAGCTACAGCAACCTACTACCCGCCTGAACCTAAAACATATTATGGTTCTAGGAGGTTAGAGCCTTTTTTCCGTAACGTCGGCCTTTCTGTTGATCAGGTATGGCATATATTTTATCACCATTGTCTCTTGTGAAGTTATAATTGATAACCAGCAGCTGACCATCTTTTCTTTCTTTCATGACCCAGGGTAATTTTTGTTTGGTACAATTCACTTGCTTATTATTGGGAATTTTTTACTACCAAATTAGCCGAGTAATCAAATTAACCGACACTTCCAAACATTTGATCATGTTAATACCTGGAATCGCTTTGTGCTATTTCTGTTTTGGTTACCAGACAAGCAACTTATTTGTTCTAGCCATGTTATGTTATATAACTATGTGTGCCTGTGACCCTCAATCTGTCCACAAAGCTGTCCTTTTCATATCCATGCTTTACCTTTCTTACCTTCACCTGCTTCGGCAAATAGATGATTATGGTGGTTACTCTATTGATATCACCGGTCCTACCATGATTATTGTACAAAAAGTTTCCAGCCTCGCATTTTGCCTGCACGATGGTCATGGACGACCTGAAAAAGATCTTACTCCTGAACAAAAAGCATTACGAGTCACCAGGGTTCCAACACTTCTAGAATTTCTTTCATACGTTTTCCACTTTCCTAGTGTAATGTGTGGTCCTTTGGTGTACTTTAAAAATTACTTGGAGTTCATTGATGGTACGAATTTTTCAAAACACATCGAGTCACCTGAAGCCGAGAAACGAAGTGTCCATCCCGGCAAAGCAATTCTCAAAAAATTATTTATTAGCGTCTTCTTTGCAATTATGATTGTTGTCTATTCTCCTAAATTTCCTATTTCTAAACTTTGTGGTAAGTTTACACTCTTTTCCAGCATCTTCAAATTCTCCCGCGTCTTCCATCTAATCGATTTTTGACTTAATTTTCCACTAGACGATAAGTTCCTAGCAGAGTCTTCCTTCATTATGGTTGTAGCGTACATGTTAGCGTCAACAGCTAGTGCTCGTTTTAAATACTATTTCGCATGGACTTTTGGTGAAGCCTGTTGTAACGCTGCTGGCATTGGCTTTAATGGGTTCAACTCTAAAAACCAACCTAATTGGGATCTTCTTGATGCAGTTGATATTCTCAGATTTGAGGTAAGTTTCATCATACAATAAGAAAATGTAAATGTTTTGTTCGATCTTTCAAAAGGGAAAAGTATATTAGTAGTTGTTAGTATCATTCAGCCCGAGTTCTCTGCACTGTTATCATTACGGTCAAGAACACAACTTGTCTTTGACCAAAATACCCTTTCAGCTGAATCGGAGCTAAAATTTTCTACTTATCTCCTTCCTTTTTCCAAATAAAGGTTGAGACTCTAGTTTGATAGATAAAGGAAGGAAATAGTCTCAAGTTATTGTTATTTTTTTGTTCAAATTCTAAACTAAACAGATTGTAACGAAATAGTTTAGAGGTGTTTAAATGTATTGGCAAACGACGATTAGAGTGAACCATCAAGGCTCAACTTGTTTCTGTTTATGCTCATTAAGCGTTTTTACCAATCTTGACATTTCCTCATGACACTAATATTTTGTTGCTATTAACTTTCTTACTTTGACAAAATCTGACATTTAAATTTACTCATTTTTAATGGCCTTTTCAATATTTTTACTCTTAATTATAAAAAAATAACTAGTATCCATATCTTCACAATTCATCATTAGTTTACCTTGAAATGTTGTTCTTCAAGAATTGAATGTACAGTATTTTGTTGTATGCTTCAGCTGCATGTACTTTTTTCGTTCCTCTATCCGGTTTTCGCTTCAATCGTGATGAATGCCACGTAATCGATGAGCCAATTTCAGTCTTCCTGATAAACTTTTCTTCCATACTAAGCAAGAAATTCCTCCTTTTGGATTCTATTCTTGTCTCCGTCAATGTGTTATACATTTAGCATTTACACTCCATTATCAGAGAATGTTTATAGCCATTGAATAACCTTTTCTTGACCAATTGAATGTTCATTATTTTATTGCTTTCCTCCTTAGTTTTCTTGGTTCTGTTTCTTGAATACAAATGAAATTCACTTGAAGGTTAATTATGGTATATATTACGATATGTTGATAACCATTTATTTTCTTGTTCACTATTGAACTTTTCTTTCCTCGTTGATTATCTCTACTGAGTATGTTTCTATTTCATCACATAATCAACCAATCCATCTCATTATAAAAAGTGTCAGTCAAAAATAATAGGCATCGATGTACAACCCTTTCAGCAACACCACAATTCGTTGATTATTTATCGGTAAATCTTTTTTAATGTTTGATATCAATGTTTAAATAACAGATTCGTTTGCCACGATATCAGCTCTTAATGATATTACGAAAAGGTTTAAGTATCAATAATGGAAGCTATTAATACATATATTATGGAGATTGTTTGTATATCATATTTGTATAAATCAGCATTGTTATAATTTTGGTTTGCACAACAAACTACAGAGTATCAAAGTTTTCTATCGACAAAATTCATCAAATAAATCTATTAGTTTAATGATTTCTCCGGGAAAAATAATCAGATAATCCAATCAATTAACTAGAGAATACCATCAAATGACTTCGTTGATTTAGACTCTGATAAAACCCAATTTAGAAAACAAATTCAATTAAAAAATAACTGAGTCTGTTGTATTAAATCAAAAGTTACTCTCTGACATCATCTCTTTAATTGATGTACAGCTATTTTGAATCAATGTTTCAAATTTAGTTTACCAGGAAAACCATCGCTCTATTTTACTCTATTTTTACTGGTCAATTAAAATGTAAAATATACTGATGGCGATCAGACAAGAAAGAAGGAAGAAAACTATTAAACTTTTAAGATTGAAGGGAAGCAGTCAATTGGAATCATTTTTTTGCAGCACTCAGGGCTTTTCAATACTTTTACACCTTCTTTAGATACTTGAAATGTTCAAGATGTGTTACAACAAAGCATGCAACAATGAAACTTGCCAATACTGTCAACAAATTAATGGTGTTCTTATGCTTACAATGAGTATTGTTTAACTTATTAATTAGCTTATTGAGATGAAATCTCAGTTGAATCAACTAAAATCGATTTTTCACTACACTTGAAGCAATTTTTGAACTAAATTCATCTCTATTATGTTCCAATTTTCTACCAAAAGCTGATAACTGTAGTTATTCTTCCTGACTTTTGGCACATTTAAACATTTTAAACTAGGTTACCTGGAAATTTGCCTGATTGTCCAGATTTACATTGGAAATTCTATTATTAGCACATTACTCTTTTTTCATTTTCAGCTCACCGAGTACATTGTAAGACTACTTGAAAAGTTGCTATTGATATTAAGGATTTCCTGAATAAAAGTACATTAGTTATCCTAAATTAATTATTTGCGTCAATCAGTGAATAGCATAAACTATATCATATTCCTATCCTATGATAAAATTAACTAAATCTGATGTGTGATTCCATTTTGAAAACGTTTCATGATTTGTAGCCCTGTAGATCATTTACAGTCCTATTTAGCTCAAGTTAAATCTTTTTTATTCAAATAATTTTATCCATTGATAAATCTCACAATTGTCAGTGATAATTAGTATTCTTGAGCAAACTTGTACTTGCAGAATAAGTAATCGAAGGTCGACATTTACAGAAAATTAAAATTTTTCATTAAAATATCATCACTAATTTTATTATCTCTTGTTGCAGTTTTCTCGTAATCTTCGTGAAGCTTTGGAAGCCTGGAATAAAACAACTCAATCATGGCTAAGAAGGTCAGCATACGAAAGAGCGCCTAGATTCCGGATGCTTGCTACTTACATACTGTCAGCAATGTGGCATGGGTTCTATCCTGGTTATTATTTAACGTTTTTATCTGGAGCTTTATTCACTCAAGGAGCTCGAACTGCCCGACGGTGTCTCCGTCACCATTTCCAGTCAAGCAAATGGCTATCCTTTGTTTATGACATAATAACATGTCTTTTTACTCGAATCATGATGGCTTATCTTGTTTTCCCGTTCGTAATGTTAGCTGCTTATGACTGTTGGAAAGTTTACTGCCGTTTGTACTTCTTTGGCCATGTTATTGTTTTACTTGGCATCTTTGTTCTTCCTCGTATCATCAAACCTCTCAAAAAAAGTCAAAATGTTAACGGCAATGAAAAATCAAAAACCAATTGAAAAACATAAGATAAAAAGCCAGACTAAAAATACAAAGAATTATCTTGAACAAATCCTAGGACTCCATTAAAAGCGCACCAATTCACAAAATTTATCCGAACATGGCCAGATAGAAACTCAATCCAAAAAGACAAGCAGTATTTGGAAAAGCTGACGAATTAAGATTGATTAATTAATTCGTAAGATTACTGTGATTTAGTGCATCTTCCAGTTAAAAGTGAGGCTGAAGAGCTGTCCATCAAATCATGCGTTCATTTCACATCACAATTTCATCATCCATTCAAATCCATCAAATCATCAAATAATTAGCTTTTCATTATTTTAGTAACATCTCATAATTTCTACCGTGATAACAACCGCTGTCCTTGCCCTCTTCTCAATGATCTAAACACAACGGACAACTTATTAAACTTCAGCATTGTCATAATTCTCTTGTATGTTTGAAGCAAGTAACTATCTCATAAAGGCGCTTTGATTTTTCGGAACTAATGCTCACCAATAACCATTACAAGATAATTGCCACGCTCAACATTTTACTTCGAATCATTGATATTTAAGATTTCCCAGCGATTTTCTACATCGTCGTAGATTAATTTTCTTCCATACATTTTTAATTTTTATGTTTCTTGTCATTTGAAACCTGGAAACGAACAACGACTTACTGGAGAACAGAAGATAAACTTGAAAAAATTCTTAGATCAAGTCGCCCTTAAGTGATATGAGAATGTATATATTAAGGATCAAAATCTCGAACAATGGCAACAGCTTGGTTTTTTCAAATCATTTCATTTCATCTGTTTCACCGATAATCACTCTGGAAATAAGGGGATCTCTATTTGCCCCTAATGTGTGAAAAATTACGTCTTCTGTGGCTCTGGAATTTGCAATTCTAATTTGAAATAATTAATAGCAATCTAAGTTTTACTTTTTATATTTCTCGTAATATTTACAAAAGATGATTAATGCTTGGTAGTCTTAAGGTCAATTGAAAATCAAAAACATATCTATATTATTACTGTTTATAATAATATAGTAATAGATCAAATGTTGAACCCGCAATTTATCCCCTTCATTGTTATCTTATAAATCAAGAATTGTAAAAATCATAGTTATTGCTCAGCATATCTGTTCGATGTCTGTTTCCATTGTCAATGAATAACTAGCAAACTTTTGAAAACAAGCAATTGAGCTTTTAAATGTTTACTTTTTTATATACATTTCTCGCTAATAGATGAGTTGAAAACCAAATTAGCAATTGATTTTAATAAAAAAACAATAAATTCACCCAAATTGAACAGAAACACGATGATCATTTAACCGTTGTAACATTGTATCGATTTATGTAAAATTTGGATTGATTATCGTAATTACTGATCAAGTAATGATTGTAAGCGTATATTAAACATAGTTCATGTATTGTATCAAGCTCTTGTATCAAGCACTTGATTGTGTAATTTAATATTTTAAAATTCTATACAATTAACTCTTCATTATGTGATACTTGTTATGCTAAAGATACTTATGAATAAATTGTCAAAATTAAAACAAATGCCAACAACTCAAATTATTGATACATTCAATTTCATTGCAACGAAACCAGTTTTAGCTGTTTATTTCCTTGTAATCATCGAAAAATTATTTTACATTAATTAAGTTATTCTTCGAGCAGTAATCAATCATTATGCGATTGACGGACGGCTTGAAATGCCTTAAAGCTTTTGTCTTCGGCTTGTGCTATCAGCTTGGCTGTTATGCAATGTTTATGCCTCTATATTGATTACACACTCTCATGTTTGAAATTGATAATTAAGATTAATCAAAAATTGAAATATATTTTGAATATTAGTGATTCGTGTATAAAAATTGATGTGTTATTTTTATTGTTTTAATATTTTTCTTCATCTTTAACTGTGATTCGTAATTCTGGTTTTTTGGCTTTTAACGAATTTACATTAATTTCATTTTTATCTGTTTTCTTATAAGATGGATCCCAATGTTGAACCTTTCCCGAGCCTAAAAGGACAAAGACTGATGCTCCGAAGATGGTTAAGATCGCCGAAAGGTAAAACGTATTATACCAGTGTTTAGGAGTTGGATTGTTGCCAACCAATATTGCGACAGATTCGTTCATCAAGATTTGAGAAAGGTCTGAAATTGTTCTAGAAAGTCCATTGAATGTTCCAGCAAAACTTGGACAAATATCTAGATGATTGGATCCTGGTCCAGCTACATTCAAAGCTCCAAAGCCTTTAGCAATGGTGGCTAAGATAACAACGGTTCCAACATGTTTTCCAACAAAAGGTATCAAAAATAAGCAGCTCGCAGCAACTCCATAGCCTTTACATCGTTACAGGAAAGCGAAGTTATTATTCAGTTTTCATTATTCAACTTTAAAACAAGATTATTAATGATACTTACCAATTGTAGTGGCAATTTTTCTGAGTTTAATGGTTGTAAGAACCTCACTTGCTCGTAGCCAGTCAATACAGTAACCAGCTAGATAATTCACCATAATTGAGACTATATATGGTAGAGCAGTCATGACTCCGTTCTGAGTGTAAAGACATTTAATTATAGAGGTGCTAAATAAATGGATAACCTGGAACTCACCGATTTATGGCTAACATCGAGAACATTTTTATAAAATGAAGACAATTGCAAGGAAAAGAAACCAGCGCTCCAACTATAAGTAAAGTTAGCTATAAGAACTGCATAAATTGCCGGTGATGTTAACAATGATGACCATGGTAAGCTTTTCTAGAGTCGAGCAAAATTTGATTCAGTAAGATTCATAGCTCTTGTATCATTACAGTTAAAAAGGTGCGTTTTTCATTATATAAAACATTACATATAAAATAGACTTGAATGTTTTCAATAATAATATAAAATTTTTAACCACTTACAGGTTTCCCTGTCCTGACCAGTCGATGCTGAATAATTTCTTCAAGTTCATTTTCTGAAATAAAAGGATGTTGACCGGGATCATCTCGAATAAAGAGAAGCACCATCAACGCAACTGCTATGGCTAATGAACCGAAAAAGTAAAAAACGAATGGCCAACCTCCAAGGAAATCACCACTAACCATTAGCCCAACCAGTGGATGGGTCACAGCATTACTGAACAAAGCTCCGGATAATATGACTGAACTGGCTATAGTTTTTTCTTGTTGTGGAGCCCAATGAGCCAATATAACTTGACCTGTTGGTATTGCGATGGCTGAACAGACTCCTTGAGCCAATCTGGCAAAATAAGAGGCCCAATAAGATCTAAGAGCCAACGTTGGAAATAAAAAGTTAATCATTCCTGTTACGAATATTCCAATGGAGGCAATTTTCCGTGGCCCATAAATCTCTGCCATTCGACCACCGAAAATGGCCATCCCTATTGATCCCCACATATAAGCTTGGAGAATACGAGATTTTTGGGATTCATTCCAATCGACATGGAACTTGCGATGAATATCTGATTCAAAACAACCTTTTGATTGTATACCTGTCGAGTTATCCGTTGAACATGAAACATCTTCAATCATTGCTACAACAGCTAAACTCATGCTAATTTTGATTGAAATCAGGGAGAAAACTTGAATGGCAATAATCGTGAACACAATCCATCGAAGTTTTACTTTTGATGTTTTCTTGAGGGACACTGTAGAAGGGTGATCTATAATTTCAACTGGATTGACCATAATTTAATTTGTCTTACAGAAATATCACAGTCATAAAGAGTTTCTGAATAGTTTATTCAAGACTTGGTGATTTCTAGTTTATTTAAACAGTCAATACAAATAAATGTTACCGATAATGAACCATTCTGGTAAATTTTCATTTGGTTTATTTTTATTCGGATTATGCTTAATGATTAAGCTTGGAATTATCATTGAAATGACATTAACAATGATCAATTAATCCATTGATCAAACCACGCGTCGTTTAATGTCGATTTTATCCTCCAAGGTTTTGTCTTAATCCAGAATTTATCTATTATATTATTATTTAGACATAAATATTACATGTGTATAAATACAAATGTATTTTTTGTTAAGTCTCAACTTAAAGTTATAATTTGGCCAAAAGATCAAGGCGATGGACGATGGACTCAATTTTATTCCATAGAAAATCATTATACCCTGATTTTTCAAGCATTTCTTATAAAAATCACTATTTCATCAAAGGACGATTCAGCTCACGACATTTGGTGCTTAAATGAAACCAATTTGAGTGTATGAAACCATCTAAATAAAGTGCATTCAGGATGGATTGAATTGATGAAATAATTGCTTTCGATCTGTCGACCCGAAAAACTAGATAAATTTTGGATTTTCAATTCTTCTCATTGTTATCAATCAGGTAATAATGGAAGTGATTTCTATGATTATAATAGTAAGATTAATTGATTTCCTTCATTGATATGGTGATAGAAGGATTGAATACTTTATACAACTTAAATCATCGAATTTGAGGCAAAAAATATTTCCCATTTCAAGCACTCATACAAACAATATCTAATCATGATCGTTGATCAGATAGTATACTCAATAACTCATTCAATACTGATAAAATGATTATCTCGAGAGATTTCATCTGATCATTTGATCATTTAATCCAATGATCAGATGATGATATAGATTATTAGAATGATAACTGAATCGAATAATAAACATCTCAATTATAATAATTGAAAGATTGTCGGTGAATAAGATGAAAACAATTAAAATTTTGATTCAAATTAGAGTAAAAGCAGACTGTGTGCTTAGAAAAGACAGACGCAAAGTTGGTGTAGATTGTTTTGGGTTGACAATGTGACTTTCTTGAGAAGATGATAAACAGATAGGGAAAACATGATGAAATGTTGATAATTTTGAAGATGCTTAGTCTAATGAGTTATTGCTTATTTTATCTTTTCTTTCTGATCAATATTGATAAACGATAAAATGGTTTGTAATTGTCATCAGTAAATAATGTACAGAAATTCAATTAGATTCAAAAAACCATGAGGAGGAGCTCGCTTATAAATGTAAGTTGTTGAGTAAAACCTGTTCTATGTGTTTTCTCCTATTCTATCTTACTTCTCATCCTTTTTTCGGTGCCATAACTCTTGGTTATTTAAATTGTTTGCTTTAATAAGAAATTTACAATTTTGTCTTCTTTTTGTATTTATTGTGTCAGTGTTACCATATTTTAAGAAGAACCATGTGGACTGGAAATGAACCGCTGTCATCAAGTGACCCCGAGATGTGGAATCTCATCAGAAGGGAAAAGGATAGACAAAAACGAGGTCTTGAATTGATTGCTTCTGAGGTAAGTTTTAGTCTTCTGTCTAAGAATTCATGAATTTCTTGATTATACTCATGTTTTAATAGACGTTGACATTTCAAGGTATCATTTTTTGTCTCATTCTTTTTTGTTGAGCAATATTCTGCTATACTATCTCTTTCATATGTTTGCTTATCTTTTTTTTGGTAACAGAATTTTGCTTCTTTAGCTTGCCTTGAAGCTCTTGGTTCTTGTTTGAACAATAAATACTCAGAAGGATATCCTGGAAAACGTTATTATGGTGGAACAGAGGTTATTGACGAGATTGAGTTGCTTTGTCAAAGACGTGCTCTTGAAGCCTTCCGCTTAGACCCTGCTAAGTGGGGTGTCAACGTTCAACCACTTTCTGGTTCTCCTGCTAACTTTGCCTCCTATACAGCATTATTGCAACCCCATGATCGTATCATGGGACTAGATTTACCTGATGGAGGACAGTAAGTTTCCAACACACCAAGTGTTAACTCCGATGAGAAAAACTTAGTCTCTTCAACAAAAATGACAGTCTTATTATCTATTTCCGATTTATCAGTTCTTCAACGCAACTATCAGATAAGCTGTGTTAACTCCCTTTGATTAAATCTCAAGGCTTTTTTATTGTTTTACAAAGTTTTTAACCCTTAGAATGATAGACTTTTATATCATGGATAATTAGGATAAAACTTGATCTCTTTATTTCATAACACTACTATATTTAGTTTGAAATATATTCACAATTCATATTTAATAATTTTACACTTTCCTTGCTTTTTTCCAGTCTTACACATGGTTACATGAATGACCAAAAAAGGATTTCAGCCACATCTATTTATTTTGAATCAATGGGCTACAAATTGAACCCCGAAACTGGTCTCATCGATTATGATAAACTAGCTGAAATGGCAAAACTCTTCCGTCCTAGGTTAATAATTGCTGGTACATCTGCATATCCAAGACTCTTAGATTATAAAAAATTCCGTGAAATCTGTGATGAAAATAAAGCTATCCTTTTAGCTGACATGGCACATATCAGTGGATTAGTAGCAGCTGGAGTCATTCCGTCGCCATTTGAATATGCTGATGTAGTAACCACGACAACTCACAAAACTTTACGAGGTGTCAGATCAGGTTTAATCTTTTTCCGCAAAGGAGTATCAGGAACTAATAAGGATGGAAAAGATATAATGTATGATTATGAGTCAAAGATTAATTTCTCTGTATTCCCTGCTCTTCAAGGTGGTCCTCATAATCATGCTATTGCCGGTGTTGCTGTTGCATTGAAGGAGGCCAATAGTCCCATGTTCCGTGAATATTCTGAACAAGTTTTGAAAAACGCTAAAGCACTTGCTGATGCATTAGTTGCCAATGGTTACACTTTAGTTTCTGGTGGAACTGACAATCATCTTTTACTATTAGACCTTCGACCAAAAGGACTCGACGGTGCAAGATTAGAATCTTTGCTCAATGAAATTGATATAATCGCCAACAAGAATACATGTCCTGGAGATAAATCTGCTCTAGTTCCTGGTGGAATCCGTTTAGGCGCAGCAGCTCTAACAACCAGAAATTTCAAGGAAAAAGACTTTGAAAAAGTTGCGGTGTTCATTGATGAAGCTATTAAGCTTGCGTTGGAAGCTAAACAGTCATGTGGTAAGATTCAAAAATTATACTTTCAGCTAAATTTGAAAAATCAACTAATTTACCAATCTTTTTTATCTTTTCAGGTAAAACTGTTCAAGATTTCAAAAAATACCTCAAAACGGATGAAACGACAAAGGAGAAGATGTTAACATTGAAATCAGTAATTAATGAATGGGCATCTTCATTCCCAATGCCTGGTTACGAAGACCACTAACTCAAAGACAGCAATATAAAAAGTTCATGGAAACAACTTGAAAATTCCCGGGAATCAGGTTTAATAAATATTGGTCTTCAAAACATATAAGTCAAATCACTAATTGCCATATATTTAAGTGTCGTGCCTTATGTAATCTATGAACAACATTGAACTATTTTGTTTAAAGAATAAAAATATTTTGACACTTTTCATATCCAAATAAAAGATTTTCAATAATATTTCGAAGCGATGAGTTATGATTGTTGAAAGTTGGTTACAAAACGATTACGATGATTCAGATGTAAAAAGAGAGTTGACATCGTTGAATGTTGATGGCATCAGTCAAAGAAACAAAAGAAGAGTTAATTTACAGTAAAAATTGAAATCATGGTGGTGGTTAAAAGTGAAGAAAAAATGATGGATTGACAATTGATGACATCAGCTGAATTAAAACATTCAATGAAATCAAGGTGATGCAGAAACTTATTGATGATGATAAAAATGATGAACCGTTACAGCCGTCTTGATCACAACAATGGATCTCTCTCTCAGCAAATCGATTTATATCGGGATTACAGTTGGCCGAACATTGGAGTAAAATTAACCCTTGATTAGATAATCTTAAACACGACTTTTCATGGGGCTTACATTTGGTTAAATGACTGGAATTGTAATGATCACAAGGCACAAACCGATCAGATCCATCTGAACGGGGAAGATAATGTCCACATTCATAACATTTGAGGCTTGAGATGAGTTGAGGATAAAGCAAGACTTGAACAGCTATTAAAATGAAAGTTACCGGGTTGGCCATCATTCTGAGATTAATAATCATGATGTGATATAATTTAGCTAAGATTAACAATTGAAATTCAAATGGAAACCAATTAATTTGACAAGAAACACACTCCAAAAAAGTACAAGTGTAAAGAAAAGTATAAACAAAGAATGAGAAAAGGAATCTCATCAACTGGTGTTTCAAATCTTCAAAGAAACTGGTTTCTTCGAGTCTTTTTTTTTCACGGAGTCAATTTCTTATCCTCCACACCTTACCTACCATTGTTCAACCTTGAAATGATGATGATGAAGACAAAATAAGAGATGAGGAAGAACCATTTTACAGAGTTAATGTAACCTACACTTGTTAATGGCTTACGGCCTGCAGAGCCTACGCTAACCTTGTTAGATTTTCAAAGTAATTACAAATTATAAGATATTACCAATAATACAATCACAGCTATTAAATTTTTTTCTTAATGTGAATTGAATCTTTTCAAATTCTTGTTCCAATCAAATGTATCCAATGAAATGTAATACTGATTTGAAGATGAAATACTTTTACGCACTCTTCCTTTCAGGCATTTTTCTTCCTCTCTAACTTCATCGAAATCTCAATCAACTTTAATTTTCTCTTTTTTTGCTCTAACTCTCAATTAATCTGATTCACTTCAAATTTCCAAATATTTCAATTTAACCATTTATCTTTTTCTCTGATTGTTTTGTAGTTTGCTCAGCTTGTATGATTGAAGTAACAATTTGGTAAATCAAAAAACAAAAAGCAACAAATAACTTAAATCGTGATAACACGCTATTAAAAATCAGCCAAATTTATGATTTTGAAGAGCCGTAAAAAATCATTACATTCAACTCTTAATTTCTTTAAATTTCTTATTGTTACTTTAATTTGTGTTAAATTCATCATTATCATCAATTGATATTAAATATCGTTGGACAATCACTTGTAAGCCTACTAAAAGCGAAGCTAAGTGAAGACCAAGTGAAAATGAGAAGAAGAATTAAGAAAATCACAATTAAATCCTTTTAAATCACGAATAATATCCATCTGGTGTTGGTTAAAAGTTCACTGATGGTTGTTATTATTGCGCCTCATTTTATGGCATCTTTTTAGACCTAATATGATAAGTTGATTAATAGCTGAAACTCATTCAAATGGCCTCTTCATTTTGATCGTTTTGCCTTTCAAATGACTTTTGATTGCCTCAAGGTAATCAAATTGAAATTCATCCACAAGTAAACGCCAAATCAACGTGAATCCCTGGATATCCGTTAAAGGTTTGGTTTGAAAAAATTTCGGAACAAGAAATTCAGTTCATCTCCATCAAAATATTCCACTTTGAGGTTAAATTAATAATAAAAAATCGCCAAATCTTATAAAAAAAGGAAAATTTAATAGAGATTAGTTTTAATGGATAAACTTTGCTTACTTGATTACCTTTTCTTATTTCACCCTTTTTGTACTCTATGCAAACGAGATTAGATTTAGATCTTTATCGTCATCTTCATCATCATTAACATCAACAGCAATTGCCGCCTTCTTCACCTTTAGGCAGCATAATATAGTTAAATGAATCACAAAATGGTACATTCATCAAGTAAAGGATAATCAATCATTTAGTGATATAAATTACTTACGGATATCCACTGGACACTAACATAGTCAGATTAAAAATTAATGTCTTCATCGTGTGCTGTTGTTTTCATCTTACTTTTGACATCTTCTAGATTATTAAGAGCAAGAGACTATTAATTTTCATTTCATCATCCGATTCGTGATACAATTTAGAGTAGCTCAAGTTTGCCCTCCAGTGATGAAATGAGCAGATGATCATGAGCCTGGTTGAAGACGGTGAAAAAGTAAAGTCAACAACATTGATCATTTCCAATGAACATAACACTTTAAAATCTCTTTTCCTTTCTCGACCATTTAGTTGATTATTTACTGATTCTTCTTGCATTTTTTGGAAGCTTCTTGGATTCTTGATGATGCTTGACTTAGCTGATGATCTCCCAACTTGAGGTACTTTTTTCTTTCCCTTGACAAACATTCATCATTTTTTCCAGGTAAATAGTACAAGAGTTTCAACTTGGTTAGAGACTGTCTTGTTTACAAAGAAATGTTTTGTTCAATTGCTCCTTTTTGATGGGAAGTTGATGGTGATGGTGGAAAAAAATCCAACTAAAAGCGGGTAAAAAAGTCAAATATTTTGACAGTTTTTCTGTCAATTGAAGACAATTTACAAAAAAAGCCAATGACTTAGAGTTGATCTTGTTTCTCTTATCCACTCCGACTCCTTCTTTAAGCGATATTGGTGATCATCAGTGATGCTTGGTTGAATTTTGGGTTGAATAAGTCTTCTTTGAGTTGACTAAATTTTCTGCTTAGGAAAAACTAGATTGTTTGGTGTTTTGTGTAGGTTAATATTGACCTTGATCAACTGTCAAACGCTAAAACGGCTTTTGAAAATTGATTGCTGTTACCTTATCAAGGCATTTGGTGTCACGAGTAGTTGGAGTAAGAAAGTCACAATATTCAGTCGATTGATGATTATTATGATGATGATGTTCATGATAACCTTTCCTGTTGTTCACCCTCAATTAAGTAAACACCAAACAGCAACATGATAATGTAACCGCGACATTTATTTCAATTCGCAATCCTCAACATTCACCAATACATCTTTCTCAATCATGTTATCCTTCATCTGAATGGCAACGTTTTTGGCTGTAACCACCATCATGATTCCTTCTTGATTAACGGCTGAAATTATTAAACAGGTATAATCTTGAGAGCTGGTTGGGAAGATCAGTGGTAAGATTAAGATTAAGAGGGTTCATTGTTTTATATTACATCATAAATAAATGTAATTTGTATTAATCCTTCATTACTACAATTTTACAGCATGAAAAAAATGAAACTATATTACATAACAACACTTGCAACAAGTAAAATGAAAGGGTAAAATTAACAATAATTGAAATATTGAGGAAGACAACTTGTCAATTGTTCAAGATGATTGCGTTGTTATAAAAGTTGAAGTTGATTTTGATTAATAAACAAAAAAAACAGTAAATAATGAGACATGATTTACAAAATATTGGTTGAAACATATTGTTCAAGGCTTGAAGCCAGCTGATGCTGAAAGAGCCGAAAAAAGGGGCAAAATTGTAATTACGACT